ACTCGCTCATATAGCACTCACGATTCCCTTTTATCGCACGCGCCTCCTCGTGCACCGACCTCTCAATTCCCGGCATCTACGCCCCCCGCGGCCCACATCGTTGTCCCTCATCAGCATCAGCATCAACGCCGCCGCCGCCGGCGCTCCTTGTCTCGCATCGCACGTCGCATCCTTTCCGCAATCCTACTCGAGCAGACAGATCATCACTTGCGATCGATCAGCCAATCGCGAATCGCAAGTGAGACGCTATACTCACACACACACACACACACACACACACACAACACTCCCACGGCCGAGAGCAGACGATTCGACGGACAATTGGATTGTTTGCTTGCTTTGCTTGCTAGACAAATAGAGCGTGCATCTGCGTGGCGACTCCATCGCTAAGCTGCAACGAGTAGGTTCTCATCGAGCCGCATCGCGCCGCGCCGCACCGAACCGCACCGAACCGCACCGCACCGCATCTACATCTCCTACAGGCTATATAAGACACAGCAGCAGCTGCGTCTCTCCCACGGCCGCACAGCTCCCGAGAGATACGACCGGTGAGTGTGGGCTCGAGTACCCTGCACGCAAAATAATCGGCTTCGACGTGGTAGTGACTAATCGCATGCAGGCGCACGTCCCTCTCGTCCTTGCCTCTGCTATCCCTCCTCTCCTTCATCACAGTGCGCCAGATACAGGAGCCCAATGTCCGCCGGTCATTCGTGACTCCTCGATATAATCACAATCGCACATACGCACGCTCACTCCCCCCCCAACGTATCTGGCATCGCGACGCAAGGAAAAGAGACGAGCATGACTTCGCAGAGGGGCTCGTTGAGCCCCACCTTGACCGCCTTCAATAGCGAGCATGCACACTCATCAGACCCATCGACAGCTCCCCATCATCTCGACACCGACGCGAAGAGTCGCGCAGCAGAAGACGCTTCTCCCACCGACGCTGCCCTATTGCTGGCCTCGCTGGCAGCTCAACGAGCCAGCAGAGGATCGAATCCTTATCGCAGCATTCCAAGACGCTTTGTGCCCACCAGCGTTTCTCGTAGCAGAAGCAGAAGCTCGAGTCGCAGAGCGACGCGGCCAAACCTCGAGCACGAGAGGTCCACGCGGCGCGAACAAGGACCACCTCACGCAGAGTCGTCGCGCGATGGGGCTAGAAGATGGGGCTTGTCGGACTCTGCAGACGAGTCGGATGCTTCGGACGACTCTTCCAGGACAGCTGCTGCTGCTGCCGTTAGGTACGCCATGGGAGGTGGCAGCGTAGACTTGAGCAGGGAGGAGGCGCAAAATAGACCTCGCGCCAACACGTTGAGGCCACCGAGTCCTCCGAGTAAAGGCAAAGGCCGAGCAGAACCTGTGCCCATCACCCCAACACTGTTGCGCTCTGCGCGCTCCACAGCCCACTTGGCGCGCACGGCATCCTCAACGCAGCTATGTATGCTCAACGCAGAGGCTACTTCTCTCCGCGCAAGTCGCGACGCTTCGCCGATCGGAGAGCGAGAACGAAGTCGAGACTCGCTTTCCGTCTCGCCGCCTTGGATCAGATCCAACAGTCCTCGAACAGCGTCTGGTGATGCGATTTCGGGTCGAGGACGGCCTAGCGCCAGTGCTCCCGGCGTCCAAACGGCTCGCTTGCCACCTTCGTTGGCCGCGATCAGCCGTGGTCGAAGCGATCACGTCTCACCCTCCAGGCTCGGGAGGCGGGGCACCAGTGCCAGCGTCCTTTCCACGACGGGGCCGCAAGACGACTGTACGGCAGCTGGGTCAGGCAGCAAGCTTGTGCGCAAGCATAGCCTCTTGAACAGACCCACCAGCCGCGCGTCGATCGATCTCGAGGGTGCTCTGTTTGGAGATGAAGAGGATGTGCACCTGACTTTCTCCTCGTGCGAGTCGGGAGAATCGGATGTGGAGGACGCTGCCGCTTCTTCCCCGCCCAACTCTCGCTTCAACAGTCGAGGTCGCAGCTCTAGACGCAGCAGTGGAGCTTCTAGGGATCGCAAACGAGGCTTGAGGGTGCTCTTGCAACCCATCACGGACACTGACCGTATGCCAGAAGATGCTAGCACCGAGCAACAACCGTCTTCGTCCTGCGCTACTTCGTTAGGTACGAGCGGCAGCGCTGGCTCCGAGCACGATCGGCGTAGCAGCCAAAGCGTGGCTAGCAGTCGTAGTAGCAGCTGCGATCACCTGCTAGAGTTTCGCGCACAGAGGGCCGCGATGCCTCGAAAGGGTGCGGTGCTGGCTGGCGACGTGATGCCTGACGATGCCACTGGATTGGGCACGGCGCCACCTGCTTCGCGGCCGATCGCTACGCTCACGCGGCAACGCAGCAGAAGAGCAGCGACGCTCTCGCGCGCTTCGTCGCTAGCTCGATCGAATTCCGGTCGCAGTCGCGCGACGCAGAGCCTGGCTAGGATCGTGCTCGATGATCAGCGCAACAGCAGCAGCAGCAGTAGACAAGGGCGCTCTTCTAGCCGTGCGAGCGCGATCGAGGAGATGATGCGGGATGCTAGCAGCAGCATCGAAGGCGGGCTTGGTGCGCTCACACAGCCGGCAGTGCGCGTCGAAGCTGAAGATGGCGATCCTTTGCTCTGTCCTAGCACAGTCAGCATTGCTGATCTGGTCAGCGTGCCTGCGGTGGAGTGGGATTCGGACAGCGATCGGCGACAATCGATTTCGTCTGTGCGAAGCGAAGGAGCGTCTGGCGAACAAGAGGCTGCGCGCAGAAGCGGCTTTGCGGCAGCTTACTCTGAGCGCATCGCTTCGATCGGAAGTCACTTTAAGCTTTGGTCGCGCCATGGTCAGCACGAAGAGCAGAGCGGCACGATCCCGCAGCAGCAGCAGCAGCAGCAGCAGCAGCAGCAGCAGCGGGATGTCGTGGCGCCCACTACCGACTCGATGCCCGTCGCCGCACCTCAGAGGTTGCGGACGACGAGCGGACGGCCACAGGTGGGCGTGGCGCACGAGAATGCGAGTGCGAGTGCGAGCGCGAGCACGGATTCCAGCTTGTTCTCAGCATCATGGCGCACGCTCTCGCGCTTGCCGAATCTGCTGCTGCTTCCGACGTTGGCCACAAGGAGCGCCTCGCCTCCTTCTGCTGTAGTCGGCGCGTCTCCGCCGACGTCTGGCGCCACATCTCTCAGTCCGCACGACGCTGCTGCACAACTCGCCATCCCGCCTTCCCCATTGGCGCCCAAGGCGGAGCTGCCGCCCTCGCCCGACGCTGCATCGAGCGAGTCCCTGGGCGGCGAGGCGCGCGACGGTGCGCAACAAGCGTCGCCAAAGATGGGACGAGGCGTCGTTTCGCCACTGGAGGGTGACCGCGATGCTGGTGCCTACGTGAGCGGCTTGGGCGCACCGATCGACCCGGACATTGAGCTCTCCTCGGTCGTTCAGCTGCAGACTTTTCGCTCGAGATCTCGCTCTGCCAGTAGGAGTCGTGGCTATGCGGCTCATCGCATGCCTCACCTCTCGCGCCCGCCGAGCAGTCCGGATCAATCGAGCGCCAGTCGTCGTGCGAGCGCTTCGCGCGCTCGCACCAGGGTCAGCATCTCGGAAAGCGCTTCCTCCCCCGATCTCAGTCCGGCTGCGTCGCCATCGCTTCACAAACGCGAACCGGAGGCGGGCATAGCACCCCTCACCCTTCCAGAGCCGACATTGGCGCTGAGGAATGCGGATGCGATGCGAGCAGTCTCTGCGCCGACATCTCCTAGAGGCAGGCGAGCGCGCCACGACAGTAGAGGGCGTTTGCAGGCTCAGCAGCGAGACGATGACGAGGATGAGGATGGCGATGGCTTTCGATTGGTACATCGCCGCGGAAGACGAGCGAGGCGCAGAGCGAGCGTGGGTCGGTCGGAGGAGGAGGATGAGGAGGCGAAAGCGAGCCCAAAGTGCTCTCGGCCTGCCGTGCAGGCTCCCGTACCAGAGACTTTTAGCGCCTACGCTTCTTCCGCTTCCCATTCGGCATCGGAAGACGAGCGATCTTCGGCGTCCGAGACGGAGCGGCACGGGTGCAAAGACGTCGCGAGATCGACGCGCGATGAGGATGTCGAAGAGCGCGGAAGGAGGTCGAGATCGGGCAGGGGTCGACGTCGCTCTACCAGTCCTTCGGGTGCGCGTCAGAACGCGGTAGGATTGTTCTCCTTGCCTGCTAGCGGAAAGAGTCGACGATCGCTGCAACAGCAGCAGCAGCAGCAGCAGCAGCAGCAGCAGGAGCGACTCGAGAGATCGACGGCATTTCACGGCAGCATAAGCACATTGCCTCGCGTTAGGAGCTCTCCGAACCTCAGCTATGCAGCGGCTGCTGCTCACGCTGCTCATCATCTGCGACAGGCGGCCCAAGCTGCCACCTCAGCTAGTCCTCCAGTGACGCTCCCAGGCGCCCCCATCGTCGCTCCTGCGCTCGCGCCATTCGACGATCGAGGCCGCACAGGCTCGGTAAAGGTTGTCAGCGTCAGCGCGGAAACCTCGAGCATCGATGCGCTGGCGACGGATGAGCCCAGCATCACGACTGCGCCTCGAGACTTGTCGGACGAGATCAGCATGGCCAGCGAAGATGCCATGCAGCCAGACGCTGCTACCCTGTGCGCGTCCGAGACGTCTGAAGCTGCTGCTGCTGCTTCTAACAGCACAATCCCCGCACCGACGACCATTGCGCTCAGACCTTGCATGGTCTCCAACGGCGCTCACCTGCTCATGCTCTCGCTCGAATTGGAAATGATGCGCGCGAGGAAAATCAGCGCGAGCTTGAAGCCCAGGTGGCTGAAAGCTAGGATGAGAGAGGTGCGAATTTGGGATGCGTCGTCGGTCGCAGGCTTGCTTGGCGCCGAAGAAGGTCGCACTAGCGGCGCACCAGCGATGCCTCTGGAGCAAGCTCAGGCGAGCAGCGCCAGCGGCGTCAGCAGCAGAGGCACACAAATGCCTGCTCCTCCCCTCGCTTCCTTTCGATCCGTGGACAGGCCGCAGAGTCCTCTGCGCCATGAAGTTACGTGAAGTGGAGCGCGTTCGCAATCTGTAGCATTTACGTGGTTCCCATAGTATACATGCCCCTGCAAATACGTATCAGAATGCCCAAAGTCTTGCGCAAACGTCTCGCTGATCGGCTGCTAATGCTTTGCGCTCAGCTTCCTGGATCTTGGCTTGGCGTTGCACATCCCACACCGCCTCTCGCGCTTCTCGATCTTCGTCATCCTCTCCTTGACGAGCTTCGGGCACGCTCTCCTTCATGAGCTCCTCGACTTCTTTTCGCGCTTTTGCAGCAGCTTCGTCGATCTTTTGATGAGCCTTGAGCGAGGGAAAGATATGAGCGACGGGCAGGAGCTTGTGCGATAGCGCTGGCACGGCTTGAGGGCGAAGCCGGGCCCTGTTGTCGTCCTGCGATGACGTCGGTCGAAGCGTGCGAGCGATTTCCGACTCGAAGAGCTGCGAGGAAGGGCATGGGGCCGCGACAGGGTTCGTGAGCTTGCGATGCCCTCTGCGATGCATTTCCAAGAATCGTGCGAGCGACTCACAGTGGCGTACGTCATGTCCAAAAAGTCTTCCAGATCCCACCTGTCTTTGAGAAAGGGCTCGGCGAGGATGTGCGAGAGGGTGGTCACGCCTTGCAGGTAGTGCGATTGACCTCCAGCCTCGTCTGCAAAAGTGCCCTCTGACAATCCGCCGCCTTGCTTCTCGCGCGCCGACAAGGAGGCTCCTAGAGCTGCAAGCTCCCACAGCGAAGAGTCTAGCGCACCAGTCTTGAGCGGGTCTGTCTCGAGCGCGTCGTACGGGTCTGGGGAGGGGTGGGGGAGGCGGCAGCCTTAGAGGGGAGGTCTTGCCGAACGCACGCGCCGGACTCACCTTCGATGCCCTTGGGTCCCAGATCGAAGCGATCCTCGTTAAAGACGCGATGTATCAGTCCAAGGCAGCCCTTGTGCCTCTTGAGCAGGTTCCAGACAAATGGAATGACGCTAACGGCCGCAGCTGGTGGAGCTCTCAAGCTGGCTCTGGCCATGCGCTTCGCAAACGAAGCGATGAGCGCTTCGGGAAGGTGCGAGGAGGCCAGAAAATTATCTAGGAGACGCAAGAAGCGTGCTCGGTAGCGCACGTGCAGGAACGGTGGGTCGGAGAGGAGGAGCGAGTAGAGCTTGTTGTAAAAGGAGGGGTACTGAAGATTGTGCGAGAGCATGAGGGTGTAGAGCGAGTTCAATGCAAGCAGAGAGGTCGCTCCACCTAGTTCCGGAGAGACGTGTCAGCAGAGCGCGGAAACGAGCACCCTACTGGCACTCACCAGCTTCGAGGCAATCTACGAGCCAGTCCACAACGAGTCTCGGCTTGGACAGATTCGGCAAGATTTGATTGTGGAAGCGTAGCAGCACTTGATGATTGACGTGCTGCGGAATGGAGCCGCCTGCTATGCGACCCTCTTCATCGCGTCGAGGGAGCAACACTGCGTACCACGCCGCACTAAAAGCGGCTTTGTGCGCAGCCAGGTTGTGCACACACACGTGAAACGGTGGCGCCCTGCGGCTCCTCTTTCGGCCCATCGATGACCATGAGCCCTGTGTGGGGGTGTGAGTGCCGGCGCGAATCTGTTCTGGCTCATCGCGACGAGGCCCGGGTCCTCCCTTGACGCCCTGGCCGTTGCCAGTGCGTGTCTTTTCCTGCTCCTCATCTTCCGAGTCGGAGAACCATGCCTGCATGTCCTCCTCCTCCGCTTCATCGTCGCTCTCATTCTCGCTCCCACCTGCGTCGACGACTTTTTGCTTTTTGGATGCACGCGAGGCGCTTGCCAGCAACTTTTTGCGTTTGCCCTTGGCATCGGGTGCGTCAGACGAAGGGGGAGGCTGTTGCAGCTGCGGCACGATAAAGGTGTTGAGGTCCTGGACGACCTTTGGAATTTCAGTCAAGTGGAGCAGCAGCTCGGTGCCATTCTCTCGTAGCCGCGACTCTGCAAGCGATGGCGGAATGGCGTGCAAGATGGTTCTGGGGGGGGGGAAACCAAGGCGTGAGTGGGGATTGCATTTAGTGAAGCTCGACGCGCCACGCACCTGACTTCCCTGCACACCGCCAGGCGAACATCGTCGTACTCCTCCAAATACTCTTTGACGAAAGCGTCTCTCACATCCGCTGCGAGTGCGGATTTCTTGGGACCAGCGAGCAGAACAAGCATGAGCGCCCTAAAAGGCGCAGACGCCCATTGACCCAGAGACGTGTGTGCATCAAGGGTAGCATGTGCGTTGGGCTTGCTGCGTAGATGAGTAAGACAGGCCGAACAGCTGACTTGGAGCGCCACAAGGTATTTGAGGGCGAGCAGCTGCGGAAAGCAGAGTCAACAGGAGCGTCAGAGGCAAACGACAGCCGCTCTCGTCTCACCCGAACATGCTCAGCTTCGTGTCCAAGAAGCGCGCAAAAGCATTGCACGCTCTCGTTGAAGCGCTCAGAGATCCACTTTTTGAACGTCAAGCTCGCGTCCTTTTCGTTGTGCGCATGCACTTGGAGCTTTCCTTCTGCGTCTACAAATGCGTCCAGCGGGACCTTGTTCGCTCGCACCAAAGCAGAAACCGAGTGCATGAGCAGCGACATGCTCTTGGGCAGCAGCGTAGAGGCGGCATCTGGCAGTGCTGAGAGTTCGATGATCAGCGCTAACAGATCGCTGAGAGGATTAAGATCTGTGGAGCCGGACAGGGACGCCTGCAACGCAACCAGCCGAGATGTGTGCGGTGAGGCTGCCGCCGCCACCTCTGGCGTTACCCTGCCCTTCTTGGTGATGCGTGGGCTCGCCATGGCGATATTGTAGCAAGTCGCTGTGCGTGATGGGCGGCAAGATGTAGGGCGCTATCGCGCTCTGAAGCGAGTGGTGAGTACTCCGAAGCACCCCTTCGTTACAAACAAATTTCTACGCATTCACGTGATCAGGGCGACCAAAAAAAGAAGTTTCCGCGCTAATGAGAGCTGCGCCGCGATTTGAGGGCCAAGCCCACCAGCCTCAGCATGATTCCCCTCACATCAGTCCGCAGAGCGGCGAAGGAGCGCTGCGGTGTTGACCACCCTGGCGCTGTGTGTGCGCGAAGCACACCACTGACCTCCGCGTTGAAGCAGTGTGAACACATGCGTTTGCACGCTGCGTCACGAAGCTGCGACTCCGCGTTGCGATGGGCTGCTAAGACTACATTGGCTGCGCGGGTGCAGTACACGGATCCCTCGAAAACCCATGACAGGTGGGAGAGCCGACGCATCAATTTAACTGTCCGACGCGTTCTTTGGTGCATATGCTAGTCGAGTGACGCAGACGTCGCGCATGGCGAGCCACGTGCGCGAGAATGTCCTTAGGCGTCACGCATTCATTGATTCGCGATTTCGACATCTTCGTTTACCGCGACGCGAGAGCACATCATCCTGCTTCCTCGCACATAGCCACTATTCCCATCAACCCCGTTACGAAGCTGTACCAGCCCCCGATATCCCAACATGGTGCGTTAGCCTCGCCGTCGCTGTCACGCAACCTGCTGACCCTTTCGAGCCCGCTCGCAGCGTCCGCTCTTATTGTCCGGACACGAGAGAGCGCTGAACCAGATCAAGTTCAACAGAGAAGGCGATCTGCTCTTTTCCTGCTCCAAGGATCAAGTGGTCAATGTCTGGTATTCTCATAATGGAGAGAGACTAGGCACGTACGAGGGAAACAATGGTAGCGTGTGGAGCATCGACCCGGATTGTGAGTATGCGCCTGTGGGCTTGGCAATTCTGTCCCCTGCCTGACACCAGCGTCGCCACTGCAGACTCTTCCTCCTTGCTGGTGACGGGATCGGCGGCCAATCAGATGAAGTTGTACGAGGTTTCGACTGGCAAATGTCTCTTTACGTGGGAATTCGACACTGCCGTCAAGTGCGTCGCCTTCTCGGAGGACGGCACGCAGGTGCTAGCAATCACAGAGCAGAGGATGGGTTTCCGTGCAACCTTGAAAGTGTTTCGCATCAACCGAGATGCAGAGACTTGGACCCAGCAATCGTCGGAGCCTATAAGGAATATCACGTTCAGCGGTCCCAAAGCAACCGTGGCTGCTTGGGCGCCTGCGGATCAGTACATCATCACTGGGCACGAGAATGGAAAGGTGGCAGCTTACTATCACGATGAAAAGGAGCCAGAGAGTGGGGTGGATGCAGAGTTGGAGGAGAATAGCGTAAATGCGCACCCGGATGCGCAGGTGACGGATCTGCAGCTGAGCGCAGACGGAACGTATCTGATCACTAGCAGCAAAGACAAGACTGCCAAGCTGATCGATGCCAAGTCGCTCGCCATCCTCAAGACCTACACCACCTCTACGCCTCTCAACAGCGCTGCTATTCATCCAACTCGACCCTACGTCATCATCGGAGGAGGGCAGGATGCCATGAACGTCACAACGACGAGCGCGAGGCAAGGTCGTTTCGAAGCTCGATTTTGGCACAAGGTGTTCGAGGAGGAATGCTCCACCATCGCTCAGCACTTTGGCCCGATTCACTCGATCATCATTCACCCCAGCGGAAAGTGCTTTGCGTCGGGCGGAGAAGATGGCTACGTGAGGGTCAACTGGTTCGATCAGGCCTTTTTCACGGTCAAGCCTTATGGCCCTGCGCTCGACTTGTCGCCCGAGGATAACTAGACGTTGTATTCTGAGCATCTCCCTCCATCAAAATGTCATCGACGAGCGCGCTAGACTGATAGTGATACAAAGAGGGGCGCGAGCACAGCTAAGAGAGGCAATGTGGCGCCAGCGCGAGCGCGAGCGCGAGCGCATCCCGCGTTGCGTCTGGTGGAGCCTTTGGAAGTGCTGCCTCCTCGATTACCTCTGCTTCCATTCGAGTCGAGTATCAATTGTCTGTTGTTGGTGCCTTGCGGCTCAAAGGCCGACGTGCTGACAGAGGCCTGGCTCTGCGCTTGCTGCGTGAGAAAGACGAGGACGACGCTCGGAGCAGGCACTCGCAAAGTGCATCGTTGGGAAGGGCACGCTAGCGTCTGGACGTCCTCGGTGCCGATCAGAGTTCCGTCCGAGTAGTAGGAGAGCGTTTGACCTGCCCAGGTCTGGCGTGGAATGGACGTCAGCGTGCGGCGCATGAGCTAGCGCAGGAACGTGCGGCTCACAATGTTGGCCTTTTCATCGACGCTCGCGGCGGTCAGCGTCTTGAATGATACAGCAGCGTTACCATTCGCAGGCAGGTCGAACTCGACATTCATGACCTGGGTCTGATCGTTTGAGGAGGCCATGTTGACCAGGACGAGCTTGACTGGAGTCTCCTCTTCATACACACCATAAGCTGCCGCCATCGTCTCGTTCAGACCTAGATTCCGAACGCGTGACTGGTCGCTCGAGGTGGAGCGAAGGGCTTCGGCTAACACGATCAGCGAGTAGTAGATCGGCGCTGTGCGCCACGCAGTTGTGGTCGTGTTGCGCGTCGGCGGATGAAAGACATTGTACAGGACGCTGTGGGAGAGTCACGAGCGTGAGCGCGTGCGTGCACAGCGACGAGACTGCCTGCCCATACTCACTTTGCGCCTCCGTTGTGAAGCAGCACGGCGGAATGGTTGCGGTAAGCAAGTTCCAAAGAGGCAGTGATGGCCCAGAGGGCGCTCGTGAACGTATCGCTGACTCCAGCGACTCCCACGCACGACGCGGTGTTCTGGGGTGAGAAGAGGGGTGTGGCGAAGTCGTGAGTGAGAATGGATGGGCAGAGAGGTGACGCTGTGTACGCACCGTCTCGGCAAGCACATACGGGAGGCCCATTTCGACTGCTGTGCTGACGGCAGCAACATCGTACATGGCAAACTGCAAACGCGGTGCGAGAGTCAGACACGAGCGCAGACTCGGAGACCGTAGCGCCACTCACGTTGACAATGTTTGTCATGTTGAGGTATCCCGCATGCCCATACACTGCATCCGATTGGCACAGGCTTTGCGGGTCTGCGGGATGAGAAGCGTGAGCATGGGTGACTTGGCACGTCCAAACTTTAGCGTTCCCTCACACTTTATGGCGCTGATGGCTGCAAAGTATTGTCGGTCGTGTGAGCATGCGCACACACTCGAGGATGCTCGTGCGCCTCACCTTTGAGCCGATCAGAGAAGCGCGATCGCATCCCAGCGTCTAGAACTGCGGGATTGTGCGAGCGTCAGCATGAGGGGCTGAATGCGCGACGTCACACGCGCTCGCTCACTCTGACTAGTCGTCCACGAGCAGCAGACGCTCGGAGCGCTGAATTGGCGCACATCATCCGCATAAGCGGCGTTGATGATGCTCTGCGTGAGGGCTCCCCATTCGTCCAGATACGTGTCGATGCTGTACGACGCAGGTCTGTTGCCTGTGAGAGCATATCGATCGGGCTCGTTGCCGACCTACGCGCGAGAGGCGGCGTCAGCTTCATTGCGGCGTCTCAATGGCAACATCGAGACGCACACGCTCACCAGTAAATGCTCGAGCGAGTCTCCCACGCTTTTTTGGAGATGCTCGACCATGTCGAGCGTAAAGTCGGCGGTGTTGTTGACCATGTTGACGCCCCAGACGATGCGCGCGTCCGTAAGATTGACCAATGTCTTGAGAGACTGAAAGATGACGTCGCTATAGATGAGGTGGGGCGTGATGGGTATGCCAGCTGCGTTGAGCCCTCCGCCGACTTTGCGTATGACGCCGTCCAAGTTGCTGGCATATTCGGCAGTGTCTTGCGTGTTGCCTGGTTGCGAGACTCTAGTGTCAGGAAAGAGTGGGCACAGAGTCCATCACTTTGCCCCCCCGCGCTCGCCTCCCGTGCTCACCTCCGATGCGTACGATCGGACCTACTCCGGCACGTGCCCGTATGTTTGCCAGGTAGTTTAGAAATTGGTACGAGGGTGTTTGCGGGTCGCTGCCGACTGTGGGCGTGAAGCGCGTGCGGGGTCAGCGATTGTCGCTCCACAACAATCACGTCAACGCTCACAGTACTCGTCGGCGACGCTGAGCTCGATGCTGATGCCGAGCAAGTTGGCAGGGATTGGAATACTGGGCGCGACGTTCGCAGGTACGAGATCCAGTGCGAATAAGGCGCTTCCAAGGGCGGGGTTTGGATTGGAGGGCAAGGGCTGTGCAGTTCGATTGGGAGCAGAAGGAGGAGGGCCGGATGGTATGGATGCGCTGTAGGGCGTCAGAGGCGCTTGAAGTACCAGCATGGGTGCGTTGCTTGGAATTTGAATGTCGACCTGGGCGAATGCTGCGGAGAAGCACCCGAGGAGCAGTAGCAGCAGCAGCACAAAGCGTTGCTGCACACCGCTCGTCCACCATGTCCTCCGCAAAGGGAGCGTCAATTGGCGCCCCATCGAGTCCCTGCACTCGTCAAGGATGACCTCTCATCCATCAGCGCAGCGCAGCGCGCTCCTTCAATAAGCTTGGCGTGAGTCCACCTGTTGTGGTCATCAAGGTGGTAGTAACGAGTATAGCGTGCATGCACCCGCTTCCAAGAGTCGTGAGTCGCGAGCACCGCCGGCTCCGCGGACCTCCATCGCGATGCGCGCAAGCAGCACGCGCTGCATTAATTAGCAGGCGGTGTTCACGATCACTCGTCACGATCGCACCTGTGAGTCCACGTGGTGACCAAACAAGGAAACCGACGGGGGCGGGGACATTGTTCCAAAGCAGCCACCAATAGCGATCCAATCACGAATGAAAGGCCTTCGTTGCAACGATCAGCACGCTCTTCCACCCGCCGCACATACGCACGCACGCACGCACGCACCCCTCACGTATTGCCACGCACTCACAACTCTCAGCGACAAGCAACGCCCCCCCCCCCCCCCAACGGCGCATCCCACGCGCCGCAAACCCCTCTCAACATCCTTCGCCCAAGCTCCAACCCTCGCTTCGGCTCAGGCCACAAGTCTGGCAAATCCAGCTTAGATCTGCTGCGAGCAGAGGCAGGTAGCAGCAGCACCAGCACCAGCACCAGCACCAGCAGTGGCAGCAGCTCCTATCCGCCAAACGGCGGGGGAGGGCCAAGCCCATCATTACCGACCAGCAAGATGGCTCGCTCCCGCCTTGCCCTCTCTCCTCGCAAATTCATCTTCCTCGCAGTCAGCTTGACTTTTCTCGGCATCGTACTGCTCTCTCCCTCGAGGAAATACGTTGCGGAAAGAGGTAAAGCAGCTTGGGCGTCGGCAGGCGAACGATTGGAAGAGGTGGATCTGTCGGGCTTGCACTTTGACTGGCCTCAGAACCCTTGGATGGGAGGTGACGTGTTGGGAAATGTCAGAGTACCACCAGAGAAGCATGCGGATCCACTCAGAAGTAGGCGCTGCGAGAGCAATGGAGGTAGGATCATGGACGCAAAGGGGCATCTCAGACCGACCGTGCAGTACGGCATCATGATCGACGCGGGCAGCACTGGCAGCAGGGTACACGTCTACAAGGTGAGTGTGAGCTTTCGACTGCCGTGCGATCGCTTTGCTGACCTCCACGCCATCGCTGCAGTTCAACTACTGCAGCTCCTCGCCCGAGCTGGAATCGGAAGTGTTTGAAATGATTAGAGGAGGACTGTCTTCGTACGGCCCCAACGCGCAAGGTGCTGCAAATTCTCTGCGTCCGCTACTTCAGACAGCATACAAGTCCGTGCCGCCAAGTTTGAGGAGGTGCACGCCCATCTCTGTCAAGGCGACTGCTGGTCTTCGATTGTTGGGGGCAAAGCAGAGCAAGGATATTCTCAATGCCGTGAGGTACATGCTTGAGCACGAGTATCCCTTTCCCATCGCGGATGGGCCCGATGGACGTGGCAAAGGCGTCGAGATCATGGAGGGCAGAGATGAAGGTGGGTACGACAGTGCGGAAGAGACGTTTGCGGGGACTGCTCTCGGGGCCTCTGCGCTGACGCAAGCACGCACGCACGCACGCCACAGGCGTCTTTGCATGGATCACCGTCAATTATCTCCTCAATCGGATCGGCGTGCAGGGTACCAATGTCGCACCAAAGACGGCAGCAGTCATGGATCTAGGGGGCGCCTCGACGCAGATCGTATTCGAGCCCACACCGGGTAGCGGGCCCATGCCTCCCGGTGCGCACGTCTACACGCTAGAGGGTGAGCGAAGAGTGAACGCGTGCAATATTGATTCCGGGCGCTGACAACTTTTGTATGCAGGCTTTGGAGGAAGGAACTACACCCTGTACCAGAACTCCTACCTCGGTTATGGTCTGATGCAGGCGCGCAAGTCTATCAATGCTTTGGCGACGTTCAGCCATGCCCTCTCCAACCCATCTGCCGTCAAATTCGGCCCCTCGACTGGCACGGCGGTGATTGGCGTCACTGCGGGTGCAGACGCTGTGCGCATCCCTAGTCCGTGCTTTGCTCCAGGCACGGAAAAAAAGGCCAAGGTGGTACTGCCGGGACGTGATGGCGAGGTGGAGGTGATGCTGACAGGTGCTCCTGGTGGATTCGCGGGCTGCAAGAGGCTCGTCGAGGTCATGATGAACAAGGATGCGTGAGTTGGCTGCAGAGAGTCGCTGTTCGCATGCAGACACTCGCTGATGCCCGTCACGTACCGTCTCAGCGCATGCGCGACCTCACCATGCTCGTTTGCAGGCGTCTATCAACCTTCGCTGATGAACAGCTTTGCCGACTCGCCCATCGTCGCGCTGTCCTACTTTTACGACAGGCTCGAACCGTTGGGTGTGAATGGGACATTCAGCATCTCTCTCCTCGAGTCGCTAGCCAAGGATGTCTGTGCGGGCCCAGCCCGATGGAGCGTGCGCTTCCCGCCAAGCAAGTACCCGGAAGCGCTCAAGGAACTGCGCGATAGACCCGAAACGTGCTTGGACCTGACGTTTCAACACGCCTTGTTGAGTTTGGGATACGATCTGGGCGCCAACAGACAAGTCACTGTGGCCAAGAAACTGGCAGGAAGCGAGTTGGGCTGGTGCGCTGGGGCGCAATTGATGACGGTAAGTCGAAGCGTGGTGTACCCATGCGCTGCACGGCTGACCGTCTTTGGGCCCCCTCGTGCGCGCACAGCTGGACGAAGAAGGCGTTCTTTGCAAGGCTTAGAATGCAGCAACGATGACATGCGTGCTCGTCGAAACTGCCATTTTGTACCTTACTAATCGTGAATGTGTGTTGACCAGTACGCGCTTGTGCAATGACTGCGGTCAAGTTAATCTCAGCCGCGCTTCTTGATCTTGATGTGATGATTTGTGGAGGCTCATCTCCATCGACGCGTGCGCACTGCCGCGCGCGAAGAACAACACCGCCGCCTTTGTGAACCGCTGTTGTCGGTGCGGTGGTGGTGCGTGCTGCATGCATGCATGCATGCGTACGCACCGAGGAGGTGTCCCTGCGAGTGGACACCTTCATCTCCTCACCATGATGACGATCACCATCGTCGAAATTGCGCCTTCCCAATAGGAGCTGCCTACCCACCCGCAAGACACACAACACCGCTTGCGCCGTCCGACACCATGGCGTATGCCAGAGCAAAAGGGTTGCCGGACCAGGATCGAGGTTGGGAAGAGGTCCAGGTGAGTCGCGTCGCGGCGAGATCGATGTCTTTGGCATCTAGTTGATGGAACGCGTTCCCACCCGCAGGCCAAGACGTTTTGCAAATGGTTGAATCTCAAACTGGAGGCGAGAGACATCCCTCCTATGACTTCGTTGGCAACGGACCTTTGCAACGGGGTCAGGCTGGTAGAGTTGATGGAGATCATGGGCGATTGTTCGTTGGGCAGGTACTACAGAACACCCCGGATGAGGGTGCAGATGGCCGAAAATGTCAACTTGGCATTGGATTTCATCAGGGCGAGAGGAGTGGTGCTCACCAATGTTGGAGCTGAAGGTGAGTGGCGCAAAATGCAGCATCGAGAGACGAGGCTCACGCTGCGCCCCTCCATAGACATCATCGACGGCAATCTCAAGCTGATTTTGGGCATGATATGGACGCTGATCCTGCGCTTCACCATCGCCGACATTAGCGCTGAGGGACTGTCTGCAAGAGAGGGTCTGCTGCTGTGGTGTCAGCGCAAAACCGCTCCATACGACGACGTCGACGTCAAAGACTTTACATACTCTTGGCAGTCTGGCAGAGCTCTCTGCGCGCTCATACATCGACATCGGCCAGATTTGCTCTCCTACGCCGACCTGCCAGCCTCTTCGCACGAATGCACCAGGATAGCGTTCGACACTGCCGCCAAGCACCTCGGCATTCCTCAATTGCTCGACGTTGAAGATTTGTGCGACGCAAAGAAACCAGACGAAAGGAGCGTCATGACGTATGTCGCCCAGTACTTTCACGCTTTCAGCTCGATGGAACAGGCAGAAGTGGTCAGCAGGAGGGTGGCCACATTTGTAGACGTCATGCAGAGCGCTTGGGTCATGCAGCAGGACTACGAACGGAGGGCTCGAGAGGTGAGTGGAGGGGGGAATGCGTGATACGACGCGCGACGAGCAGGAGCTGAACAGCGAGCGCACACGCACACGCATACAGCTACTGGCTGCCATGTCTGCAGAGGAGGAGACGTGGAACAGGGCGACTTTTGCAGGCAGCTACGCGGATGCTCGGTTGCAATTGAACGCCTTTAATGCCTACAAGGCGGGCACGAAGCGCGTTTGGGTTCGCGAGAGGACAGACCTCGCGGCGCTCCTGGGCAACATTCAGACCAAGCTGAGGACGTACCATCTACGGCCCTGGTCGCCCAGCGAGAGTCTGCACACTGCCGAAATCGACCTCTCATGGACACAATTAGCGACTTCGGAGGCAGCGCGATCTCGGCGCATCAATGCCGAGATACGTCGAGCCAAGGAAGCGCTGAGGATTAGGTTTGCGGAGCAGGCCAACGGTATCGAGGCGGCGCTGAGGGACATTGCAGCGGGCGTGGCGCGACTTTCTGGCGAATTGACAGATCAAAAAGCCAAAGTGCGCGCTCTGCACGAAGGTTTGGGGCCTTTCGAGGAGAGGCTGCGCGCGCTGGCAGAGACGGAAAAGGAGTGCCAAGAGGCGAATGTGGAGGAGAATGACCATACGGTCTTTTCGAGAGATGATCTCGTCTTTGAGCTGGAGCTCGTGGCCACCAGCGTCACCAAGAAGCTCGCCTTTATCGAGAATCAAGTGAGTTCCGCTCGAATGCGGTGTTGCGCGGCACGAATGCTGATCGACCACGCTGCCGCAGATCGTCTCGAGGCAGCACACGAATCTCACCCCTGCCCAGCTGGAGGAGTTCGAATCCACTTTTAGATATTTTGACAAGGATGCGACGAACACGCTAGCTATTCCGGAATTGGGCGCTGCACTCGCATCCCTCGGCATCATCTACACCGTGAGCCAACGTCCGAATTGCCCCTTGACTTGTGAGCGAATTGCGCCGCTCACACTTTTGCTCTTGCAGGACGAAGATGTTGAGACGATTCACCAGCAGCTCACTATAGATTATGGTGCAGTCGACTACGTGAGTGGTGGCAGTGCATCAGAGCAACACGCACGCGTGCTCATCTCAAGGCTCCTGCCACAGTCTGCTTTCTTGACCTTTTTGGTGAGAGCTGCGGTCGGACCGAAAAAGATGTATCAGCATACTCACCCGATCATGTCCCCGCAGCGCGAGATCACAGAAGACACGACTTCACCAGATCAGCTCCTTGAAGCGTTTCAGGGTCTGGCATCGGACAAGGTGAGTCCCGAGCGACGCGTGGCCTTGAGCATGCACTCACACCTCCCCACTCTGGCGTCAGCCCTACACGACAGAGTTGGACCTCCGACAAGCGCTTCTTCCTCAGGGCGCCATCGACTATCTCAAAGCGTCCATGCCACGAGTCGACGTGCCGGACGTGCAAGGCGAAGCGTACGATTACGAAGCGTACTTGTCGCAGGTGGGTGACCCTGCGGTGTGCGTCGTGTCGAAGCCTTGCTCACCCGCATAGCGCTCTTGCTGGCGCGCAGCTCTTTGGCGCTGGAGACTTGTCCGCCGTCAGCGGCAATTGAGCCGTTCAGCTCAGCTGTGGACGCCGCGCTTGTGGAAATACATGCGGCGCTATGCACAACCCTGTGTGTCGGTCTGCATACCGAACGTGAAGGAGTCAAGCGGAGCAGCTTTCACGAATCATAAGCTGCCCTCTTTGAGCGCTCGCTCGCGTGACTCTCGTCGGGATGCTCCAGATCGTGTTCGTGGCATCACCTCATGGCCCGACAGTGACCAGGTGAATGCGGATGGGGAATGAAAGGGCGCGTCGGAGGACCACACGTGTTCAAAGTTCTTTTTGCGCTCAACAAACATTTGTTTGGCGCCTTATGCTAGCTCTGCCAGACTCTGGCAATTGGCTTTGCCATACCTACACCTCCGCTCTTCTACAAGCTTTGTCTATTCTCAGGCGCCAAAATGCAGCCCTTTCCATCCACTCTTTGTTCAACCTTGAGCATGTGGTGTGGGGCAAGCTTTTACATCAGATGTATATACGCCTCGTACTTTTGACGTGCTCATAGTCGTGCTCACCCCTGTCATTCCTAGCCCTTTATCCAACGACTTGGACAGCGAACTTGCATGATCGTGCTGGCAAGGTGTGGCCAAAAATTGCGAAGGAGTTGGACGGACATGCGACCAGCACGTTATGCTGCTGTTGCATGACATGAAATGAAATTATAGGGCTACACCAAGCCCATGCGTGTGCTCGAGACTTTGTGCTTGTGTGCAGATTGCGGGCCTGTCATAGCACGTGACCGCGATTTTAAGTAGAGGAATCGTCGCACATGCGTCCATAAAAATGACCATGCTTTCTACCACCACCTCTTGTGTGACAGGGCCTTGCTGTGCTGTCGCGCAGCCTGAATAGAGGCAGCAATGCACATGAAACAGTGTATTGGGATCGCGTCCTCTGGCGAACATGTGCACACGTCTTGTTTGTCAATGCCAGTTGGCAAGCAGCAAATGAGCAACCTTAAAATACCTAAAATACCTAAAGGATCACTGGCAGCAGGCGGCGCAAGCTACAATTGTGGAAATGCTGGATGTTGCTTGCGTTTAGCACATGGTTCATTCAGAAGTGTGTTGCTACAGCCTGGCATCTCAGTTCTCCTGGTTGCAAAGATGCAAAGAGCAAATTCTGATCACAATAGAGGTGGTGCAGTTTTCAGGTCTTACTTCCATGACAGTACAGCAGTGATGCTGAATAATTGAGCAGCCAGGGTCAAGCTTGCAGGCAGCACGTACAGACCATTGTCCTGATCAAGTCTACCTACTGACAAGCGACCTTGCTCTGGCCCTTCAGGAGCGCAAGCAGCTGGAACTGGTAATTTATAATCTCTCTCTTACCTGCCCTCATAGCACCCGCAAGGTGTGACACATCTTTGCAATCATGAAAGCTTGGCCGCACATTGCAGCACAAGGGGTGTGTGGATTTGTAAACCTGACTCTGGTTGCGTAGGATTGTTTTGGAGTGCCATGTGATCCATCTGATCCACCATGAACTACTTCCGCCAGGCCTGCGGAGCAACAGCACGCTGAAGGGTTTTGCACACTGGATATTACTCAAGGCACTCTGTGCAAGGTCTTCAGAAACTTGAGCCGAATGTGTGTAGAGGGTCTGCGCCAGTGCATGCACTTCCTTGCTTTCATGCTCATCTGCAGCAGCGACGGTGGCCATGAAGTTCTTGAACTCGAGCTCAACATCACCAACAACGTGTCTTGATTCAGCATCTTAAGCTCATCAACACCTTTGTGCGTGTCACTTGGTATCCACCAACCGCAGGGTGAAAGGTCCATTCAGATGAGCCTCAGGCAAGCTCTGGTGGCCAGGCAAAGAGTGCATGGAGCTTTGACCAAGGCCAGAGCATATCCAGAGTGCCGCTAGGTTGGACAAGGACCAACCACATTCAGCAGGAAATAAAGTGTCAAGCTGTTGCAACACTCAGCAGGACTAGGTCAGAGTACGCTTTTGCAGTATGCAGATTCTCAGAGGCTCCAGCAGGGGAGACAGGCCAGCTCTAGCAAGGTATGGGTGCCCTCTCTGAGCTCATGGGCATTAACATGGTCACTCCTGCCCTCCTTCATGCTTGGACTTACCTTTCCTGTTGAAGGACAAGTCAATATTTTCCTGGAGAGACTCAACCTCACTAAAGAAATTCAAGCTTGCCAAATCAAACCTCAAGATGCCTAGCGAAGGGTGCGTGCGCTACAGAGGCGCAGTTATAGGCGCATTCATCCGCTCATTCTGTCCTTTGCTGTCCCAAACAGAAGCTCTCGCTCACCTTTGGGTGACCTGACCAACCACAGCGCCAAGCGTGCAGCGCAAAACAACTCTTGCCAGCCCACCGTGGCAAAGAAGTTGAAGACGGCCCAGTCTTGCGTCGCTGGCTCACTTTATGCAGCGTCGTTGCACACGCCGTGGGGAACGGAGGGGGCCGAGCCAGACTCGGAGGACGACAATGCGGGTATTGACTACCCGTACGACGCATTCTCGGAGTCTGACTCCCAACGCGACGAGCGTCCTAACTACTATGAGCGAGAGTTCCTCGACTGGCCGTCTTCCGATGACGAAGGCAAGCGGGACTATGAGCTCTACGACTCTGATGACAAGGCGAGGAGTGACTGCAGCAGCAGCAGCGACAGCAGCAGCGGCAAGAGCAGCAGCAGAGGCAAGAACAGCGGCAAGAGCAGCAGCAGCGGTGACAGCAGCGTTGCTGGCAAGCAAGCTGAGCGTGGCAAGGGCGGTGGCACCATTGATTTTGTTTGGCAGGACCAAGACCTCTATGCAGATGACCAGTCACTGGAGGATGCCGTCGACTGGGTGGCACTGCTCTCGTGAGTTAAGCTGTTGAGGGCCAGGGCCAGTGTCGCGGCGCGCACGCGCTTGTATGTTCTTGCTACCGCGGACGCGGAGCATCTCTCTTTCTCGAATACTTTGATCGTCCTTCTGTGTCTCTTGACAGTCAGTAATAGTTGCTCACTCAGCGTCACTCACAACTTGGCAGGGACCACCAGCCCATTGAGCTGCAAACCACGATGCAGCCACAAGCTGCAAAGAGGCATGCTGGGAAGCGGCACGCAGCAGCCCAAGCAGCAGCCCTGGCCTGCCACTCAGGACCAAAGGATATCAAGCACCTTTTGAGCCTTGAGGAATCCTTGAAAGCTGCCCAACAAGTCTGCAACCGGCTGCAAGTGCGTGAGGACGTCAAGGCGACGGTCAACAGCAAGGATTTCCTTCAGAAATTTGTCAAGAGCGCCACTGTCCATGGCAAGCTCTGCTGTTCTACTATTGCCAACCAATCTTGCAGGGTAAAGGCAATTGGATTGCAAGATGGGAGAAGCATGGCAGAGGAAGGTGGTGGTGGGGTCTACAAGGGCACTTTCTTTGATGAAGATGGAGAGCCAACTCACCGCTACACCGGCATGACCACCAACTTTGCCCGCCGTTACCGAGAGCACGTTGTTGCTTGCCTGTACTCACCATCGGTCCACTACAATGCTGCTCAAGAGGCAGAGCACTGCTCTTACAGAGCACTTGCCATTGTCAGCAAGGGACAGTACAACAACTCTGAGTATGCCCATTTGCTCGGATGTCTAGAGTTCATATGGACCATTGTACTTGGAACCTGGCAGGGCAGCAAGGAGTACAACAAGATTTGAGGTGAAGAATTTCCTTCCCCTGGAATCCTTGGCGTCAATAGCAACAACTGCTCCGGTGTACAGCGTGTGGTGCTCACTGGCCACAAGACAACTGCTGCCAGAGCTTCTGCGCTCAACCCTTCCCTCTCTCCTCACTTTGCGGCACTGGTTGATGCAGAGTCTGACCGGCTCAGGGCTTCCTCACCTGCTGAGCTTGAGCTTGTCAAAGGAAGAATGTTGGTGGCAAAGGTTGCCTATTGCCATGCAGTTGCAGCTTTGTTGCTGGCAGGCCAATACAAACTGCGCTTGTGCTACAGCAAAGAGCACAACAGCATCCAAGCCAGCAATCTTTACAGCCTTGTGGTGCCAGCCCATTTGCGCCGCATTCTCCTGAAGAAGCTTTCAGAACTGCAAGACAGTGGTGTCACAGTTGCAAAGCTCAAGCTGCTTCTGCCATCAGCGCAGAAAGCCAGCCCTACAGACTTCTTTGCTGGCAGTTCCCTCCATCAAGCTCACCTCTTTGCGGGCATACACCTGCAGCTGCTGCTCCCCAAGCTAGGCTTGCAATGTCTGCAAGAGGGTACAACAAATCTACATGAGGAAATGCAAGCAGAGTGTATCCACAAGATCAGTGAACTCTGAGGTGCTTGCACAAGCTGCTCGCCTTTGGCTTGCCATTGATTGCCTGCCCTGTGCAGATCTTGGAGCAGTGTGTCAGCACAGCATGAGCAATCTTAATCCCAAGCAAGCAAGCAAGCTGGGAATCAAGTGAGATGCATAGCCAGTGTCAGCAGAGCAGGCAGAAGGTTCATTTTGTCCTCCTCCCAGCAGCCAGCCATTCTTTGTGGACTTTGTGTCCACGCCTTGCGAAGCTTGATTTGTACATGCAATCGTTGCGCATGCACTCAGAGTAGCTTGGGTACTTCAGCTGTCTGTGGCTCCCTCTGAATGGTGGCATCTTGAGCGCGTCCTACATTGCTGAGAGCGCTTGTGATTCAGTTTCTCTTTCCAGGGATCTGCTTTGGCCACTAGCCTGGAAAAGCCGTTCGGCCAGGGGTGATGATTGTAGGTTGCCCTCTTGCCTAGCTTCCAAAGACGCAGCACCGGAACCAGAGCCCATCTGTGCGCTGTGATGGCAGGATCCTCTTTTGTAGATGTGACATGCTTAAGAGTTGTGGAGAGATACAGTGAATTTGGTGCCACACACCAGATGAAAATGTGTGGAAGGGACCAACAAAAGTCTTGAGAGTGTAGAGGCGAGTCTATCGTGTTTGCCTGTGCTTCAAGAGCGCTGCTCTCTTGCGGCTGGCATCACTTTCAGCAGTCAGGGGCGTCTTCCAGTTCTTGCTCTCTCTGCTTCACTATAGCATCGAGCACAGTTCTACATGTGGCGCTCTCTTTGACATTAAGACTGAACATCAAGAGCAGCTTCTAAGAGTGCAAGCCTTGGGCTTGAATCTCATTGTAGGCAACTTGCCATGCAAAGCTCTCTGCATCACGCACACCCCTCAGACAAATAGATGCACCTTGTGTAGTATGACAATCGCTGATTATAGGTTGCGCAGATGTAGTCTCAACAAGCTTCAGACTCTCTACAGCAGAGGAGGGTAAGGCAGCCTGACACACCCATCCCTGCTCTCCTCTCGCATCAAGATTTGGGCCGGTAGTGCCCCTCTCCACTGTGCCAAATGGTTGCTTAGGAGGGACGTTACCTCAGTGCGATTTGATAGCTTGGTTGACCTCTTAAGCATAATTAGGAGCCCCATCGATGGTCTTGAGGTAGCTCCAAAGAGCATCAAAGACCATCTGAAGAGATGTGATGTCTGAAGCTGCCAAATCAAGGATTCACTGGAAGCAAGGAAAGCAATGCATCTAGGGAGATTGGGAGCAAGAAGGTGAGCACTGAAAATGGTGGAGACCATGAGGTGGGCAATGAAGACGCTGAGTTGACGCAGTGGGGAGGAAACAACAATCATGAGGTGGGCAATGGAGACGCTGAGTTGATGCAGTGGGTTGAAACAACAACAAGTAAAGTCATGTCTACCAAAAGCAAGAGAAGATAATGCATGAAGGTCATGAAGGAATGGAGAGCGCAGCGCAGGAACAGGAGAAGGAATCCTGGCTTGGCGGTAACCAGACAAGAGATGGCAGACAGCTTGTACAATATCCACAAGAGGCAATGTTGATTCCCAATGGTCTGCAGAAGCACAAGCACAAGCACCTGCACTCAATGCTAGCGCCTGTGCGTGACTCACCTTGAGGGCAAAAGTCACACCTATGCCAAGGATTTCAGCCATTTGTTGACCTTGCAAATAAATTGAGGGGCTAGAGTGCAGAGCATGATCCACTCTGCACTTCGCCCGCAATTCTCTGGTGGGTCAACAACCCTGAGCCAGACTTGCGCATGTTCAGGGCTCTTGTGCTGCGCAGCCACCACCACCTCAACTTGAGCCCCATCATCAACTTTGCCAGTGGGTAAGCCGTATCCCCATTGTCGACAGAAGGGGTTACCAAGGTAGAGGAAGGCTCCCTCTTGCCTCTGACCAGTCAACTTGAGGTTTAGATTGGGCTTGCTGCCAAATAACTTGCTGATCTCCCGGAAGACGGCGCTTCCACGAGGAAAGGTGGGCAGCTGAGCACAGCGCACCCAGTCTCCAGGAGCCTCCAAGTTTTGCCCGTCTTTGCAGCCAAGAGCATCCGCACAGCCTACCAAGAGCCTCAGCAGTTGGCTACCCCTTCCCAACTCAAGCTGTTCAGATGCTGCCTTCCAGCCCTTGGCCATTGTGCCAAACTCAAGGGAGACATTACCAACCCTGCAGCGGTCCGCAGGAGCATTTCAAGGAAAATCCAAGAGACACCTACACTGAACCGCTTGCAAGTAGACGGGCACACCTGCTTGGACTGCAGCCTTGGCATCTGGGTTTTTGTTGAGAAGAGACTTTGGGACCGCCATCCTCTCCCTATGAGCCAGCTTGACGCCTCTGTTGGAGACCTTGGAAAAGAAGGACTGCCACCTGACATCAAAAAGCTTGTTGCTTGGCTTTGAGCTTCCTGAAACCTTTGATCTCTGGATGATCACAGGCAGCCCATTGAGGAGCTCCATGCATTGAGCATCCTTGCACTGAGCTTGCCAGACTGGGACTCCGATGCACGCGTCTGTTGCAGCTCTTCTGGCAATGAACGCTCTGCCAAGGGCCCCTTGGACAATCCAAGAGAGCTTCAGGCTCACCTGACCAAGCTCAGCACGGTCGATCTCCATGCAAAAGATGGTGTCACGGCGCGCGCGCGCGCGTCTATATAGTCTCTCTTTGTACGCGTCACCCGTTCGTCTTCAATACATCGATCTTCTGCCTTCACCGACTGACAACTTGGTAGCTCGGAGCTGCTTCGTCGATCCTTCTCTCTCTCGAGCGGACGACTCACTCACCCTGCTAGCACATAGCAATCGGGATCTCCCCTCTGCGGGCCCTGATCTGCGGCGAATTCCATCCACTAGAATTCCTCCGCCACTACTACTCGTCTCGACTCAATAGGAGTCTCTCTCTCACTCTCTCTGACGTCTCTGACGCTTTGCGAACGTATCTGTTCTGCACACCAGCTCCGTTGCGCCTTGTCGGGTCGCTCTCTCTCTATATTCTTGTCCGCGACTTTCGGCGACCAGCCTCGGTTGGCCGTTGAGTCCGTTGAAGGCATCCTAGAAGATCTAAGCGCATACACACTATAGCTTCCGCATAGATACCCAACCTCTCTTGCGCCGGGTACTCAGTCTCTCACACTGAGCGGAGGAACAGCTCTCGGACCCCTCTGACGTAAGTCTTCGGGCGGATTCGTAGCTCCTTAGCGTAGCCTTGGGTCAGGCGCGCTGAGAAGGTGCTCGAGTTCCGCCCCCTAAAAAGGGCGTATCAACGAAATTCGTTTCGCTGCAGAACTCGATTCCTCTTTGACCCACTGGCATTCTCTTTGTCCAGTACTACAGCCGCTCTGAGATCATGTCGTCTACGTCCCTGCTTCAAGCGCAGGCTCAGCGCGAGGCGCGCACCAGGAGCGAGAAAGGGAAGGAGAAGTCTGCCAGTCAAGCGGGTGCGAAGAGGTCCCCCTCCTCCATATCGTCGGACTGGGCACTGAAGGCTGTGTTCCTCCTGTCTTGCTCCCACTCCAAACCCTCACCAGGTTCCGTAACTGGCGGCTCAGAAGGTAGCGCGCAAAGCGCTGGATCCAGGATCTCCAAGAGGAAGCTCCCTGCAGGAAGCGTCCCCGACGTTCCACTGCTGAAGCCGGTGTCAGTCGGATCTGCTCCCCCCGTCACGGCTGGACTCCCCGTCGCTAGCACGTCTAGTCTGCCACCCTTGCCCAGCGAAAACGTCACTGCGCAGCCTCTCACTCAGGCAGCTCTGGATGCAGTTCCGTCCGGACCTCCCAGCTCACGCGGACCTCTGATCGATCTGAAAAGCGGAGAAGCCTCTTCCGAGAGTAACGCCTCCAGACACGAAGCTTCTTCGGGTATCGCGAGGCTTCAGGGTGCGGCTTCTCGTGTCCAGTCGGTGCGTCAAGCCCTTCGATCGGCGCTCCGCGAAGGCGAAGAGGACGACAAGGCTGTCGACGACATTGTCCACCGTATGCTCAGCGCTTGGATAGAAGGTGGAGCTAGTTCCCAAGACGCGTCGCCGCTAGGACTTGAACATCGCTCGTCCGTAGCTCCTCTACCCGAATCGCCCAGAAGAGACTCCCCAAACACCAGATCTGCATCCACTGCAAGGCCGCTCGGTCGAAGCGCCCCTCTGCGTGTTCGCTCCAGCCCGCCGCTGTCTCCACGCCCTCCGTCAACAGCAACGACCGGCGTTCCACCACACTTGCTTCTAGGCAGAAATCGCACGACTCCTTCAGCAAGGCAATCGGTCGTCGTCGACGGAAGCCACGCGCCCTTGCACCGCAGCCTAGCTCCATCCGCCGGCCGCCGCACTCCTGCTACTGGCGGATGGCGCGCTTCGCTCAGCCCATTCAGCCCTACCATTCGCCCATCTGGGATTCCTGTGCCCACTCCCCCTCCCGCTCCGGGACCTCCTGGCGGAGACGGCGACGGTGGTAGCGACCCTGGCTCGCGATCCAACGCATACAACGGCGGATACTACCGGCGCCGACCTTCGCACCCGCCTGGCAATGGTGGTGGCGGTGGCGGTGGCGGTGGCGGTGGCGGCGACGGCGGCGGTGGTGATGGCGGTGACGGCGACAGCTCAAACGGATTTTATAGGCGTCAGGCAGAACCGTTCAGGCAGCGCAAGGAGATTCGCGCAAAAGACTTGGGTGATTTCGATCCCGATCTCACCTCCATCTCGCTATGGCTCGGACGCGCCAAGAACTTCCAAAAGGCGTCTCGCCACACTGACGAAGAGATGGCTGCCGCCGTCGCTCCGTGCTTGAAAGGCAGAGCTGCCATCTGGTTCACGCACATGCTCAACGTGCCCGACTCGTGGAACGAATGGCAGACGATCTTATTGCGCAAATGGACGGCAAATCATAACGAACTTCGGAAGGCAGAGGCAGACTACGTCTTCTTGCCCGAGAAGCACTCGCTACTGGCGTTCGCAACGAACAAAAGATCGCTCATCATCGAACACGCTTACGCCGCCGGCATCGAGATCCGCGAGGAGGACATCATCTGGCGCACGTTCGATGCGCTCCCGGCGGTCTGGAGAAACAATCTACGTTCGATTGCTGAGGACTGCGAAGATTGGGAAGACTTCGAAAGGCAGATTACGCTCCGCGAGCCAGACTTACGAGTGGCCCTTGGGGCGTCCATGAAGCCGAGAAAAGTCCACTTCGAGCTGTCGTCTGAAGCCAAGCCCACGGTGTTCCAGGCCATCTCTGCTGCAACAGACGCTCGTCCAACCGCTCCATCGTTATCACCAGCAGCTTCTTCCGCGCTACGCAAGATTCCCGCAGACGTAAGACGCGACCGTCGAGCTAAGCGCGAATGCTTAGGTTGCGGAAGCTCGTCGCACTGGGTCAAAGAATGCCCCGTCATCACCGGAAAGGCCAAAGCGAACTTAGTCAGGCTCCAGGAACGCGTGGACAGTGGTGAAGTGGAGCTGTCGTCATCCGAAGAAGACAGCATCAACCTCCACTCCGACGAAGGCGACGACACTCCTGCCACGGCTGCCACGGCTGGTACAATCGGAGTAACGGTCGGATCCCTAGGAGTAGGAAGGGTCGGCGCCAGATTCCTCAAACAAGAAGCGTCGTCGGCCATGGTCCGCGTCGGAAGCAAAAGCGGACCCCTTCGTTCAATCGCTTTGGACAGCGGATCTCAAATCTCTTTGTGTTCGCTCAGCGCAGAGCGCATGCTCGAAAAAGCTGGAGCTAAGATTGAGCGATTCGCATCTGCTGGAGCGTCTGTGACCGGTTACGCAGGTGAACAAGACGGAAAACAAGATGTCCTGAGGGTCATCCGCTTTGACGTCTGGTTCGTAGCATCCAACACTCAGGACGGATCTAAAGCTCTGGTACACGTCACTCCCGAATTCCACGTGGTAGAGCGATGCGCCGAGGGCGTGTTACTCGGCAACGATAACATGGCTCGCGCTGATCTCATCCTCAGAAAGGGGACAAATTCGTGTTGGTTCGCTTCGCGCCCTCATCTGATGATAGACCTCGTATCGTCTGAACGAAGCCGCAAGAACGTCGCTCGCTCCTCCAATGTGTCGGTTGCTCGCGACTGTTCGATCAGGCCTGGTTCGTCGGCTGTGGTACCGGTGTCCTTGCCGTGGATCAAGAGCAGAGCGGCCAACAATTCCGCCCTCATCACTCCAGTCGGCATCCTAGACGAGAATGGGACTTTAGCTTCGGCTCCGTACGGGCTTGTCGGAAACCGCACTAATGCTATCACTGTGACCAATTTTGGGGACTCGCCTATATCTCTACATAAAGGTGAGACAGTCGGAGTTCTCAGCGCTGTCTCTTCCATTCATGGAGAGAATTTTCAGAGCGCATCTCGCCTAGCGGCGAGGTCTCTCTGAGCCAGGCCAGTCAGCCCACTGCTGAAGACGGAGCAGAAGGCTATACGAACACTCGTTCACCGCCACCTGGAGCAAAGTCGGGCTCTGTGGTGACTTTCAACGCCGACGAGGACGATCAAGAAGAGGAGATCTTGCCCGAGTTGGACATTCCGCGCCCGTCTGGACTCGAGAATGAAGTAGCCATCGAGGCGGGCCTTCCTCAGTGGGCTCGAAGTCGTCTCAAGAAAATACTTAGCAAACACGCAGTATGGCCGACCGCAGAACGGCCCTTGGGTTTGCTGAAAGGGGAGATGGTGTCCATCGACCTAGTCCCTGACGCCAAGCCTTTCTCTGAACCCCCCCGAGCAGCGGGTCCGGCGAAGCGTCAAGAGATCGACAAGATTCTCAAGGAGCACAGCGAGCTAGGCATTTCCGAAGAGGCGGAGAGCACAGCGTGGGGCACTGGCATCGTCTTGGTCTCGCAGAAGGGGAAGTTTCGGTTCTGCAACGACTTCCGTCCAGTAAACGCGCAAACCGTGACGGATTCGTACTACATTCCGTCTGTCGACCAGGTCCTATCCGCACTGAATCCTGCCGAGTACTACAGCACCATCGATCTTAATAAAGGGTACAATCAGACGCTGATGGACCCGAGGTCGAGAGAAGCTACGGCGTTTGTCACGCACCTTGGCAAACGCTGGTACATCCGGTCGCCGTTTGGACTCAAGAATATGGTGGGATTCTTCCAACGAGCGATGGATAAGACCTTAAGCAAGATGGTGTGGAAATTCGTGCTCGCATACCTTGACGATGTAGTGATCTTCTCGATAAGCCTGGAGTCGCATCTCGACCACATCGATCAGGTTCTTGCCGCTCTCGCAGCAGCCGGCCTTACGATATCTCCCAAAAAGTGTAACTTCTGCTTTTCGAGTGTGGAACTCTTGGGACATAGAGTCGATCGGCTAGGGCTCATGATGACCGACGACAAAGTCAGAGCAATAGTGGAGTATCCAACGCCTACTTCCGCAAAGGAGGCCCTGCGATTCTATGCTATGGCATCTTGGTACCGTCGCTTCATCCCTGGATTTGCCACGCTAATGCGGCCGATAGCTGCTTCCTACACCGCTTCCTCCATCGCGGCACCAGGAAGTCTGCATGCGACTTCGAACGTCACCGGCCAATCCGCAGAAGAGGCACGAGACGCCGCCAAGACTCTCCAAAAGCTTAGGACGTTTTCATTCACTTGGAACGACGAAGCGGAAAAAGCATTCAAGGAAGTCAAGGCGATCATCTCCAGCAAGCCCCTTTTGAGTCACCCTCGATACGACCGCCCCATGATACTCCACGTCGATTTCTCGCAGACCGGAATTGGCGGCGTCTTGGCTCAGTGCAACGACAATGGCTACGAACGTCCCATCCTATTCCTCTCACGTCAATGCAAGCCAGCGGAGTCGCGGTACCCACCCACGCACGGGGAGCTGCTTGCGATATGGTGGTGCCTGAAGAAGGTGCGGCATTACATCGACGGGTGCGAATTAGAAGTCGTATCGGATCATAAAGCGCTACTATGGCTATGGACCTTGAAGAGCGATGAGCTATCAGGACGTCTCGCAAAGTTCCGCCTCGCTTTGTCGCCCTTAGAGCACAAGGTGCGCGTAAGATATCGCGAAGGCAAAGACAACGTCGTTCCCGACGCCCTGTCGCGCTCTCCGGTATCCGCGCCCACACTGCCCGAAGTCGAGCAGCTGCAATTCGTTGCATTGAAGCCAGCCACGTCCAGCAAGGAAGACGTCGAGCTAGCCTTGGCTAGAGTGTCGCAAGTGACTGTGGTAGGTCTGGCCGATGCCGAGAGAGAGGAGTGGAGCTCCGAACTCGCAAAGGACAAGAACTTCGGCCCGACCTACCGAGCAGTAAAGCGACGAAATGAGAGCACCGGCACTTTCGTCATCCGCGACGAGCTCTTGTTCTTTGTCGATGAAGGAGCGGACAAACTGAGGCTCTGCGTTCCTCTCTCGAAGACTGAGCAAGTGTTCCTAGATGAGCACGCCAGCCCAGCGGCCGCCCACCCGGGTTTCGTCGAGACTTGCAGGAGGTTAAAAGAACGCTACTTCTGGCACGGGATGACGAAGTCCATCGCCAAAGCCGTCGAGAAGTGCGAGGCATGCCAGCAGAACAAGCCACGACACCACAAGCCGTGGGGCGCCTTACGACACGTCCTATCTCCGGCCGAGCTGTGGCATACGCTCGCAATGGACTTTGTCTCCGGCTTCCCGCCGTCGGCTGACAAGGAGTTTGACTGCGTGACCACCGTGGTCGACAAATTCTCTCGCTTTGTGTTCTTCGTCCCCAGCAGGAAGGACGACTCGGCTTCAAAAGTAGCGGAGAGATTTCTGTCGCAGGTGTTCCCCGTCACCGGATTTCCCCGCGCCATCATCTCCGACCGCGAGAGCCGTTTCACCAGCGACTACTGGCAAGCCTTGACCAAAGCTTTGGGCATCCGCGTGCGGATGGGCAGCGCGTATCATCCACAAAGTGACGGTTTGACCGAGAGGCTTAACCAGATCTTAGTGATCTCGCTGCGCCATTTCGTTAACTCACGACACGACGACTGGGACAAATTGCTGCCGCTGCTCGCCATGGCGCATAACTCTCACGTCCAGAGCTCGCTCAAGGTGTCTCCATACGAGATAGCTTTCGGGAAGCCCGCTAGTCTGCCCCAAGATATCTTGCAAGGCTCAACGGACCCTCGCTTGATGCCTGAGGTGTGGGAAGAGGTCAGGAAAGACGCTGCGGACGCTGTCAAAATAGCTCAGGACGCCCACAAACGCCACTACGACGCTCGACACACACCGCTCAAGCTCAACGTTGACGAGTGGGTATGGCTGAAGACGAAATTCTTCAAACTCGAGTCGAATGTCGTCTGGGACAAGCTCTCGCCGACGTGCGCTGGCCCGTATAGGATCGTTAAAGTGCACAGCGGAGGAAACGCTTACGAGCTCGATCTGCCTGGAAATCGAACGATACATCCAATCATCTCTGTGGAGCACCTAGAGCCGTTCGTCGGAGAGCCACCTGACCGTCCTGGGCCCGTGGAATCGGCCGGCGAAGACGAATGGCTTGTGGATCGTGTCATAGGACGACGACCAGACGCGGAAGGCTCGTTCGAGTTCTTAGTGAAGTGGAAAGGCTGGCCAATCGAAGAGGCCACCTGGCAACCTTCGACAGACTTGAAGAACGCCTCCAGCTCAGTATCGGCTTTCACGAGGAGAGCGAAGAAGATCCATAAGGTCAAGAGACTCGACGCGAGTAAAGAATGGCTCGTTCCCGGCTAGTGTTCTCCCGCCTCCTCCTTCCGTCCCCGGCTAGTGTTCCCCCTCCGTCTCCCTTTCGTTTCCTATCTCCTTTTCGTTACTCTCCTGTACGCCACTGTCTCGACTAATTCCCGACCCCTTTCGTCTTGTATTACTGAACGTTCCCCCTCTTCCATTTCTTGCACTGACGACTCGCTCTTCTTTGGAGAGGCGGGTTGTCACGGCGCGCGCGCGCGCGTCTATATAGTCTCTCTTTGTACGCGTCACCCGTTCGTCTTCAATACATCGATCTTCTGCCTTCACCGACTGACAGATGGGTTGGGCCAGGTCATAGGAAGAGGGCCAACAAGATGCCCATGCAGATGCACTGGCTGCATCTGGGAACAAGGATGACAGCTTGCAATGCGATACATACCTGCCGCCGTCCCACTCAGAGAGCCACACTGTTGACACACTGGTGACTCCAATCTACGCACCGCAATTAATCACCAAATCACAATACTGACTTTCATGCAGCTCAGCTTCAGGCTAGGAAGAGTGAAAGTAGCCAGTATTTGCCGATGCTTAGTCCATAGGAAAGCGACACCTCGTGCACGCACGCATGCACCGCGCGACGCGTCCACAGCGGACGCGACAACAACACGCTAGTGCGCCCTGTGAATTCGAATAGCAATCACGAACGCTAATCACGAAGCACAAGCACGTCCTGCGCGTTCATCTCTTTGCTCATGCACACCACTTTCGCCGCTCACGCAGGCCAATCAACTCGTGCACACGTCTCTAGCTCGAACATCTAGACACCGCCAACGTTTCGACGAGCGCCGCGCACTGTAACAAAGCGGCGAGATGTCCACCACCACCACGAAGGAACGTCACTACGCTCACTTGGCAGCACGGCTCAACGCGCTAAGCAACAATTTGGCCAACACGCATCACCACATTGGGGTGGCAGCGGAGCAAGCTGTATATCTTCGCAAACTCGGAGCTAGCCAAGGTGCCGTGTGAGTGAATAAAGTCAGGCGGCCGAGCGCGAGTAGGGAAGGTGCGTCCGGGACGGATGGATTACTTCGTCAGGTGTGCGACCGAAGCAAGGCAGCGGACAACAAGCCGGAGGAGGCCCTGGCAACGTGACCTTTAGGATGTATCGAATGCGCTTTGCTGATTATCCGCTGCCCTCGACAGCTTCATGGCCGCTCTTGATCAGGTCGATAGAGAAGGAGCGGCGGGATACGAGGATTCTCAAGTCCAGGGGACTTCCGACGCCGATGCAACAGCTCAGCGAAAGGCGTAGGCCAGGCGGATCTCATAGCAGCATCAGAGGAGACGCGAAGCTTCCCTGGCGCCAGTCTTTTCGATCAGGTGCTGCAGTGAATGGGCACAAGTGGGTGGAGGGGGTCGGGCATCGAGATTCTGGACCACAGGGCTCCGACACAGGTGGCATTCGGCATGCCATGTACTTGTAAATGCAATGGGTCACGCAGCGTGCTTGTGCGGCGAGTGTTGTACCATTGCAAGTACTGCGAGGGATGCTAACAATACAGACGGAGCCTGACAGAGCGCAAGAGAGTGCTCAAAGACGAAGCAAGAAGCATCCGCGGACAGGCTTGTGATCCGAGGTGCAGACCTGTGGTACAGAGGTGTATTCGATTGGGCGGACGGCGTCGAAATCTTGGCCCCGGTCAACGGAATCCCTTTCGGCTCCCTTTGAAGCAGGGCCATCGTTCCTGAGTGGCTTGCGCGATCGCCACAGGATCCGGTCAGTCCAGGCCGGCACGCGTTGCTTTTCACTGGTGTCGTAGTCGTCCGTCCCCACGTCAAATTTGAAGGTCGGTGGGAATCTGTCACAGGACAGCACAACAAGTCAGCTGAGTGCTAGCGCAGATCCTCTCACGAATACTTACGCAATTGCACCTTCTTTGAATTCCGCAAAGCAGCTGCCGGACCCAATCTCGTTGCAGAGCTCATCGAAGCTGAGAAGCGTGTCGAAAGGCAAAGGGCGAGTAAGGGTTGCAAGTGCAGCTGTCTGGTGACTTCTCGACAGCGAGGAAGATCCTTTCCGGATGAGTCGCTTGACTTCTCCTATGCCAAGCTCGATCCGGAAGTTGAGATCCCCCAGGAAGAAGACGTGGCTGCCGAGAGGGGGACAGAGTGAGAACATCATTTCGCCCAGGTCTGCTAGAGGACTCACTCATGATCTTCGATATGCAGTGGACAGGGATCATCGTTCTGCTCAGTATCTGCCAAACCCGGCATTGGAAGCTCAAATTTGCAACGCCGGAAGATCTCCCTGACTGCCCAACGCCGGTTCTGCAGAGCTTGCGGGTTCTGCATCGCGGGCAGATGAGCACCAACGAAGCACAGCGAGGTCTGGTCCACCGTCAAGCGGACAGACACCGCTCCTTTGTTGGCCACCCAGCCACCCAGGCCCACCCCTACTGCGTCAGAGACCACATCGCGTATGCGAGGCACAACATCTGGCGTCACAAATACGTAGAGAATCATGCCGACCAGTTGACGGGAAATGAACTGCGGGCCAGAGATGCGGATCAAAAAAAGTGTCTGGATCTCAGTATCTCGATGGGACGAACCTCTATATAGTCTTCATTCTTTCCCTTAACAGCAAGAAGCAACTCATCTCCCCAGGCCTCCCTGAGCCCAGGCGTAGCGTAGAAGTACCCCGTGTTTGAGATTTCCGCCTCTTGAAGCCTGCGTGAGTCGCCGTGTCAGATTACGAATCGCGATGTAGCACGGCAGGCGTCTAGACTTACGCAACGACGACGATTTCGCAGTCTCTGCAGGCCGCAGAGGACAGCCATTTGCGCAACTCCTCCCTGAATGTTATTGTGCCACTCGGTGCTATGCCAGCAACGTTGAAAGTTCCCAACAGGAGCTTGATCTCCCCCTCCTTGGGCGAGGCTGGACGGGCGGGGGGAACGAAGGCAGAGGTAGTGACTGTGTGTGGGCGTAAATGCATCGGAAGCCCTCAGTCACTGCGATCTAAGCGGGAAGAAGTACTCGGAATGTAGGACTCACATCGTGAAAAGAGAGGTGTCGATATGGACGTCTCATCGTCGCCAATGTATCGAGCGAGCCAGGCGTGCGAGTTGTGAGCACCTCTGGAGGCCTCGGGCGCTAAGTAGGCATATCTATCAGTCTCAAGGCTAGCGGGCCTTCCAATCCTATCAGCTCACTTGAACATAAGTCCGGCAGAATCTTTTTGAGATCTGTCAAGGAGCGTCTGAGCGCGAGTAGCAGGCGTGTCAATCCCGAGCCGGTGGTACCACTGGCGGAACTTATGCTCACCGATCATGGGTCGTTCCGGCACACCAGTGCCCATCGCATGAGATGACGAACATATCCTCACCGGCATCGCGCTGCTCCTTCTCTTCCCTCGTCGCCGCATGCTCTGCTTCGGCTGCCAACACTTGCTCAAATGACGGCAAGCGAGGTTCTTTGGCACTGATAGCGGTGGAGCCAAACCGCAAGGAAGAGCGTATCGGTATGGCAGCAGTGACAGTCCCTCTACTCGAGTCACTTTGGCGCGGCTTCACGACCAAGATGCTTCCAGATCGCCGATATCAAGGCAGTCAGACGAGGCAGATGCTCACGCCACGCCCGGAGTGCACTCACGCCGCTTCTTCCCTTCCACTCTCCACGTTGGAGACGACTCCGAGCACATGTTGCGACGCTATCGTGCTGCTCGATGCCTTCGTCTTGTCCGCGGCCCTTTCTCCCGGAGTCGTGCTCGGCCGCTCCACTGCTTCGTAGAATGAGAAGGCCATCTTCGGAACCTCGGTCGCCTTCAAGACTGAGGCCAGGCGCATCAGGCTCGCTGCCACGTCTTCGCAATCTAGGTCTTGCTGGGCGTCGGCACTTTTCCCGTTCATTTGCCCGACGTTGACCGAAGGGCCGTCTTCCTCTCGCTGTGCATCGCTGTCTGCTGCTGCTGCTGCTGTTGCTGCCGAGAGCTTTGCGCTTGTTGCATCGCTAAGGAGATCTTGCTCCGGAGCTGAGGCAGACGGCGCTGACACTCCGGACGATGACCGCAGAGCGCCCGGTATGCCTGAAGAGTCGGACAGCTTCGCTATATCCCCCTTTGTCCCTACTAGAGTGGTGGCAGAAGCGACATCCGAACTACTGTCGCGGCCCAGCGAGACACGCGCCTCGGCCTTCCCTTCGCTCTGAGATGCGCCTGGGCAGTCCTCGAACGGCTCAGCCGTGCAAGTCGCTGTTGGCGGAGCGACCTCGCTTGCATGTTCACCGGTCAAGCTCATTGGACCTTGACCCTCATGGAGACGCGGTGCGTCGCCTGTCGCTGAAGGAGCATCTTGCTCGTTGTGTGGGTCCATCAGAGTGCCAAGCTCCTCGCGCAGGTAATGTGGAGCGCGTAGAGCTTGCCTCGCTTCAGATACTGGGATGCTGGCGCCAATGCGCAGAGACGCGTGGTCCGTCAGGTGAGGGTAGACACTCGGCGAAGGAATGCTAGACGCCTCATTAAGGGAGGGTAGCCTGTGGTGTCGGGATGTTTGCGCGAGAGGAATGTCATGGTCAGCAGGATAGGTGCCAAGCCACTCACACTCGGAACCTGCAGGGGCGCGCGCGGCCTGTGCGTTTGCTACGAGTGCTAGGCGGAGCAGATGGTCTGGTGGCCGAACGTACCTACATCAGGGCTCCGATGCGTCCACCGTGGGAACGCCATCCACGCTAAATGAGCGCTAACCTCATCAGGGTCTCGTGTAAGCTCCCACGGCAGCTGCTGCATTCACGATTGGCTGCAGAGACGTCACGCGAGCAGTAGTGCCCACCGCTGAGAATCAAACGTCTGACAGGGGAACGTTTGCAATACGCATGCTACTCAATCAATCGTACACACTGGCACTCTCCACGGCTTCAGCTCGGATGCGCCTGGACATGAAAACCTTTTTCGAATTGCATGCCCCTGTAGATTGAAGATATTGCCCTTGGTGAAACAATGTAAATCGCAAAAGCTGAAACAGAAAGAAGCGGTGGACAAGCAGCAGCTCAAGAAGCGCACAGCAGAGATCCAGAAGTGAATTTAGAGGAACGTCAGAGAATTTGGCCGTGGATATCTTGGTCCCTTGTCAGTAAGTGCGCTTCTGTTGCTACTAGAGCTGTTGGTGATATCTACCGCTCAAGTCGAGCTGGCATCCTTGTCCTCCTGGACGGTCCCTTCGGTACTTTGCCTAACTTCCACGTTTGCAGCAGAAGCCTGACCGGCGGCGGCGGCGGTCTTGCTCCCGGCAGAAGACGCAGCAGCGGCACCTTCTTGGGGAGATTCGACGATTTCGGGTTGATGAGTCAGGTCGGGTCGGCCCTCTTGACCTTGCTGACTTCTCTTCTCTGCCTCATCTGAGCCTGCCTCCGACAGTTCCTCGATCTTGGCGGCGTCCTTGCTACTCGGTGCGTTGTTCGACTCTTCGGACTCGTCCGAGTCCGAGTTGACAACGTGTGCTTCATAGATGACGTCCCCATCATCGTCGGTTTGATTCCCCGGTCTAAAGACGATGCCCGCTCCGCCGAGTGCCCCAGCAAGCCCACCAGGGAGTCTAAGGGAGCCAGGTCGCTCATCATCGTCATCACCAGCGTTGAGGCCGCCAGCCAGAGCGGACAACACAGACCCACCGCCCATGGCGCCAAGTCGCCCCATGGAGAGACCGCCGCCAGAGCTACCAGCACCACCTTGGTTTGACCTGTTGAGGGTGTTGAGTGGATCCGCCGGCTCTAGAGGCGTGTCCCAACCAATTTTCTTTTCGACCCGGTCCTTGACCCAAGCATACCATTCCTCCTTGGAACGCCCACCGAGAAGTGCCACGACGCAGATCGTCATCTGGCCCGAGATGAGGAGGCATTCTTCAGTGCTCCACTCGACGTATTCATCCTGCCCGCAACTCGGCGTATTCATTCTACCCGCACTCACATTATCGCAGCCGACACCTCCAACATCCGGGTCGTGTGCAAGGCATCTATCCATGGCCTCCTCGCAAATGTCTTTGAGCTCTTTGCCTTCGGCGATGCGCCTTCTTACGAAATCTGCCACTTCCTGGCTGCTGAGACAGTCCCAGATTCCGTCGCAAGCCAGCACCAAGAATTCTTCCTCTCCGTCCACATCATGCGAGATGATCTCTGGGTCCGCTGTGACGATCTGCTCCTCAGGGGGCAGCGAGTAATTTTGCTTGAATTCAAAGTCTCCAATGGCTCGGGAAAGCGCCAAATTGCCATTCACGCGACCGAATTCGACGAAGCCGCCAGCCATATTGATGCGAGAAAGCTCGTCTGCGGGATGCATGAGGAAGAAGAGCGTGTCAAACTTTCAGCGGCCATTGCCCGCTCTGATGCAGAAGCTGCTCACTCTTGTTCTGCGGTTTGTGATCAAAGCTCATCGGTTTGGCCTCGCCCTTGTAGCTCAGGATGCTTCGCGAGTCTCCCGCATTGGCGACAATGATACGGCGTGGCACGTTTGGCTTTGCAGTCTCTTGACCCTGACTCGGGGGACCAGCGACGAGAAGAGCAGCGACAGCCGTGCAGCCAGATGGATCGAATGCGAATTCCTTGTCTGATAGAGGACGAGCGTTAGGCTACGTATCCTCAAAGACCGTATACAATTGTCACTCACTGCTCTTAAGGTCCTCATCAGTGCCCAAGAATGCGCGTTTCAGGGCAGCTTCGTATTGACCGCGCTGGAATTCGTCCGTCTTTGCCAGTCGTTGGTGGACGGTCTCACCACTGTATTTGGCCACTGTGGAGCCTCCGTGTCCATCGTACACTGCAAAGAATGATGCCTTCTCGTCGCCCTTCAGAGACGGGTCCAGCGAGAGTATAGTAGCGTGGGCATCCTCCATGCCTGCAAGAGCAATGTTTGGCATCAGCCCAAAGCAAGCCCACGCAGAGCCCCAAGACCACTCGTGCTACGTACTGATTCTCCATCCTTGCATCTCCGACACTCCGTATATCAAGGTGTCATCCTCGCCGGTTTGGGTATGCTGCAGATTACGTGACAAGGTGCAAAGCATTAGTCATGTGATGGTACCAACAAACGTACTGAGTGCGCAGTAGTGCGCAAATGCGTCCTGAGTCGTGGATGAAGATGTAGCAAGCATCTGCTGATCACTGGAAGCGCCTTGTAGGCGACTAGCCAAGTGCTCATGCGCTGCACTTTGCCCAGCCTCCGCTGCTGTACCATGATCATCATCCACGCTCTCTTGGGCGCGAGACGCACCTTTTCCACCACCGGTTCACTTAGTGTCTGTCCCATCTTGTAGTGATTGTGATTCGCGAACGACTTGCTGGCGACTGACGAGGTGTTTCAGGAGCCTCTGGGCGCACGTGTGATGTGTCTTGCGGACAGGCAAGATATGTGCTCGCTTTACAGGCCGTTCCTGTGCTTGCTTGGGCTTAGCAGAGGTCGTCGCGATAGCACAGACCTAGAGAAAGGCCGTGAAGAGCCGCGCTTTGTCGGTGAAGGGTATCTAGGCAGGTAGCCTGAAGAGAGGTCAATTAGGCCGATAGTGCCAGGATGGATGCGCAGCCCGCGTGTCGAAGGTCCAGAAACCGGGGATGGTGTCTATGCAGACTATCGGACGAATATGACGGAGCGGGTGCTCTGACGCTGGCTGTGCAAGATGACGAGGCTGACGTTGTGTTAATCGACTGGCGATGATGATGACGTTCAAGAAGCTGGCGCTCCAAGTTGGTGGTGTACAGCTTTGATACGCGCAATCAACCAATCTGCCAAGTTGCCAAAACGGGCTCCGGATCAGTGCACGCGATACGCAGAAAAGAAGCCTCGCAGGATTTCCTGCATGTGCTGATGCCCCCGGCCGGCACCAGCACACCATGACTCGCAGTCATGAGAGTGTCGCGGTGCAGCACGCCATGCCCACTGCACCGTTCACGCGCGCGCACGCGCGCGCGCCACCGCGGAAGTCCCGCGCAGCAATCGTGATCGAATGAACGATCGATCGACGCGAGAGACGGCCGCGGCAGCAGGCCGCGCGGCCTCGTTGGCGTGGCCGCGATCGCTGATGCATGAGAGCCTGGCCCAGCACCGACGTATGACTACCTACGGTCCAAAGCGCGCACACAGTTGCCAACCATGGGTGTGATTGACGGTTGTCACGCAAGGTACTAGTACACGCGGCCCTGATGATCATGAGTGTGGAGCTGTTGCATGCTAGTAAAAGTACAAAGTCGAAGACGAGTACAGATTGTAACATCAGTAGCCTCCACCACCGTCTCCTCGGGAGAAGCCAGCAGTCTGTCGCTTCTGGTTCTCCTCCAGCTTCGGACAGTCCTTGACACTGTGTCCAAGACCGCCACAGACTGCACAGCCGGTGAGCTTGCCTCCAGCACCCATAGCCCTTGGGTCTTCGATGGCTGCCAGGAATGGGGGTATGCGCTGCTTGGCTTCCATTAGAAGATACTTGAGATCTAGAAGCGTCTGCTCGTTTGTGTTCATATTGACAAAGGTCGTGGCTATACCAGTCTTGCCGCTACGACCCGTACGACCCTGAGCAAGGAAAGCAAGTTGCTGAGCATTCTGCAAAGACCTGGATCAGGTCGTCCACGACACGACTCACGATTTGATGTACGTAGTCCTCAAGATTAGGCATGGTGTAGTTGATGACGTGTTGAATCTCGTTGAAATCGAGACCCTTGCTCGCGACACCACTCGCAACCATCACGTCCTTTTTGCCGCTCTTGAAGCTTTTGATCGCATATTCTCGCTCGTCTTGCGTTTTGCTGCCGTGAATGGCAACTGCCTCTACACCTTTGAGCAGCAGGTACTCTTGTATGTCATCGACTTCGTTCTTGTTGTCCGAGAAGACGACGACTGGTGGCGCCGTCTTTTGGAGACATTCGAGCAGGTAGACCATCTTGGCTTCTTGCTTGACGTACTCCACTTCTTGAATGATGTCCAAATTCGCTGCACCGGCTCGGCCAACGTTGACGACCACTGGTTGTATCAGCGATTGCTCAGCAAAGTCTTGAATTTTCTTTGGCATCGTCGCAGAAAAAAGCAAGGTTTGCCTTTGTTGCTGCGTGAACGGAAGGAACATGTTCATGAGCCGATGCGAGGAGATTTGCATACTTGTCTGCCCTTTCAACGCACCTTGAAAAAGCTCATGATGTTCCTGACATCCTCTTCGAAGCCCATGTCAATCATCCGATCTGCTTCGTCCAGGCATAGATACTTGCAGCACTCCAGCGTAAATTTTTTCTTCTCCAGCATGTCTTGCAGCCTACCGGGTGTCGCGACGACAATGTGGAAGCCTTTGTTCAGAGTGTGACCTTGTTCAGCCATACTGATACCGCCTATGCAGAGCAATACGCCAATCTCGGGGTATCCGCTCTGAGCTAGCACCTCAGCCATTGCCTTGAGACCGTCAAAAGTTTGCCTCGCCAGCTCTCGGGATGGGCAAACGATCATGCCAAGAGGACCTTCGCCGCGGATGTACGGCAACTTCTTTTGTTCCTCTAGCGAAAACATGACGATGGGCAGACTAAAGGCGAGCGTCTTTCCAGAACCAGTAAATGCGATGCCTATCATGTCCCGCCCTGCAAACGCTGTAGGCAGACCTTGCATCTGAATTGGAGTGGGTTTCTTGATGCCTTTGCTTTCGAGATAGGCGATCAGAGGAGCCGGTATTTTCATGTCCTACAGGGGCTCCTCATCATGTCAGCTCGAGCGGCCAGTGCAATCTGAGAGGCGCATGTACACACCCTGAAATTTGTGATGAGCGGTGGCACGTGCAAACCGTCTGCATCTACATGATTCTCTTCCCTCAGCCGCGCATTCTCCTCTTCTGTCCTCTCTCTCACAAATCTTGGTGCAGTCCAGCTGGTCTTGATGGGTTCGGTGTAGCTTATGCCCTTTGCCAGCTCCATATCGGAAGCCAGCTTCCGCCTAGCAGCGTGAGCCTCCAGGATCTTTCTTTCCTCCTCCGCTTGCTTCTCGGCCTCCGACTTTTTCTCCTTTGCTTCGCGCTCCCTCAGCTCGCGTGCGGCATGCAGAAGAGCAGTTTTGCTTTGTCTTACGCCAACATCTTCGTTGTCTTCGGGGTCAGAGCCCTCGCCTGTTTGCCTTTTCTGAGTACTGGCACTAGCCCCGTCACCGTTTGACTTGCCCAAACCTGCAATGCGTTGCAGCTCCATCTGCCTTCGCTTGGCCGCAGGTATATACCTCTTGCTGTCGTAGTCCTCCTCCTCGGAGGTGTCTCCGTACGTCATCATCTCCGTGTCCTCATCCGCAATCCGACGAGACCGCTTGGTGGCGACTGATCCCGTTTGGATGTGATTGCTGGCATTCGCTGTGTCTGCAGACGGCGCCATGGTGGCGTTCAGAGCTCAGAGCACGAGGTTAGTGTTGGCGATCGTGCAGAATGGTGTGATCAAAAAGAACGACCACGCTCCAGAAGCGCGAGCGATTTGGCTGAGGGATGGAGATGTGGAAGTCGAAGCGAGGGTGGCGCGCCAAGTGCGCCGGTCAAAGACGTTCAATCTAAATCGCACTAGTCAAATTACGCGCAGCAGCGGACGCACCGGCCACCTTTGCCATGCACGCGAGCCTGACCTTTCCCTGTTCTCATCCACCCATATGCCGCAGACGCAATCGCGAATCTCCTCGACGGCAAAGGGATCGCGACCCTGTTCATCACCGCTTTTCTGCTGCCCTCCGTGCGTCGCTCGAGCATATTGGGCAGGCATGCGTTCGACGTCAGAAGCAGGAGTGGTGGTGGCGCAACTCTTCCAAGCTGCTCGGCTCAGAAACCAGCGACCGACAGCGCAGTCGAGATGCTTCTCTTGTTTCGCAGTCTCAGCCTTGCCGCTTCGCAAACAGCATTGCAGACCAGCCGTGGCAGCAGGATCGATTCGTGCGGTGCGCCCGTCTTCCCTGCGCTCATTCCACGCTTTTTCACGCTCGGCTGCAGCGAGGTCGAGCTCGCTCACGGTGCTAGGTGAACATTACACATCAGACGACTATACCAACCTGCCTCCTTCAATCCGAGAGCGGCTTTCCAGCTCGCCTCAGCTTCCATACAGCGCGTCTCATCCACTCGCGCTGCTACGCAAAGAGATTGAAGGTCATTTGTGCCACCACACCGCCATTTCAGCTTCGTCTCCAGTCGTCACCTCTGCTCTCAATTTCGACACCTTGGGCTTCCCTCTTGATCACCCCGGTAGAAGTCCGACAGACACGTACTACATCAACAGGAATATATGCTTGCGCACGCATACATCCGCGCACGAAGTCGAGGTCTTTTCCCAGGGTCATGATCACTGGCTGCTGACGGCCGACGTGTATAGAAGGGACGAGATTGACGCTTCGCATTACCCCATCTTTCACCAGATGGAAGGTGCCTCGGTTTGGCAGCAAGATGATTTTTTACCGGGCGGTAGAGTCGAGAAAGAGTGCCAAGATATGGAGGCACATCTGCGAGACGCCAAGATCGAGATCGAGGACGAAGTAGACATCACGGAGGCCGGTGGATGGCAAGCGGGTCACGCTACCAGTCAGGAACGGCTCGTAGCGGCTCAGCTCAGTGCTCGGCACCTTAAAGCCACTTTGAATGGGCTCGTCCTTCGACTCTTTGGACCACGACATGCAGCAGACGCTGCTGCCGCTGCTCTTGCCGGCGGTGCAAGCACGGATCAAGCGGCGGATCGAGCAGCACACGCTGAGCCCCTCAAGGTGAGGTGGATCGCCGCCAGCTTTCCTTTTACGAGTCCCAGCTTTGAGGTCGAGGTGTGGTTCAGAGGCAAATGGCTTGAGATTCTGGGCTCTGGTGTCGTCATGGAGAAGACGCTGAAAGACAGCGGTGAGTTTGAAAGGGCTGTTAGCCGAACAACGCGTTGGCTCACAGTTGCGGCCTTGAACTCGCAGGCGTGTCGCACAAGACCGGCTGGGCATTCGGTCTGGGACTGGAAAGGATAGCAATGGTCCTATATTCGATTCCAGACATTCGTCTATTCTGGTCCAAAGACCCTCGCTTCCTTAACCAATTTGCTATGGACGGCAGCAAATCTCGTGGGTCAACAGCCTCTGAAAGTGTTCCGCCTTCCGAGACTGGCGTTAGTGCTGCTGGAGGGCTCGTCACCTTCAAGCCCTACAGCAAGTATCCCCCGGTCCTCAAAGACGTCTCCTTTTGGCTAGCATCTCATGAGCCGCACGACAATGATGTTTACGAGATCGTAAGGGATGTGGCAAAGGACCTGGTGGAAAGCGTAGAACTCACAGACAGATTCGAGCATCCAAAGACGAAGAGAAAGAGCTACTGCTACAGAATAACTTACAGGAGCATGGACAGGAGTTTAGAGCATGAGGAGATCAATGCGTTACATAAAGCGATAGGCGAGCGGTTGGCAGAGGACATGGGGGTTGAGCTGCGGTGATGAGGACGGAATGAATGATCTTGCACGGTCATACATCGCGACAGGGATTCGATGCGCCGCGGTCGTTTGAACTTGATGCATGGCAACTACGCACTCCGTGATGAGTGGCGGTGTGACGTCTCATTTCTAGACTCGACCTCAAGCGGGGCAAGCCTCACAAATCAAGGTCATTTAAGGATGACAAGGTAGCGCTCGGTGCGAACGGGTCCATGCCGCCGCGAATACGTAACAAGAAGTTTTGTGAGAAGGTGATTTAGTTTTGGCCGCTTCAAGCACGGCCTATGCGTTCGGTCCAGGCCGCGGCGCCACAGTGTCGCTGCTGAGCAAGGCGTCATTAAGGCTTGATTACATGCCCTGCCCTTCAGCGTTCGTGCGTGGCTGACAGGCATAGAGAGTCATGTGAACCGTGCCTTCAAGATCATGATTCGCAGAAGGCGGTAAATGGACCACCACGAATGAAGTGAACTTCAAGCATGCTTCACATGCTCCTTATCGCAAATTGCGAGTACGACCGGTACCTGATGCCAACATACTTCCGAACTTCCCCCCGCAAGTCGCACCTCCATGCCACTTTAAATGTTAGGAAGCTCATTACCGACCGTTTCTGATCAGGCTTCATTCTCCCGTCCAGACTGCCCGCTCCAGCTTGACTTCTTCTGAATACACTTCCTATCTGGAGCCTCCAAAATGTATCATTCTTCAGGTGTCTGCAGCACTACTTGTGAACGTCGGTTGCGGATGACTCTCATCATTCTTGATTGTCTTTGCTCATTTTACGGGCTCGTCCAACCACAAGAGTGCCTTTTCGCGAGCGCATCAAAGCGCTTTGATGCCTCCGTCTCAGCTTGGCTCTGCAGCAGCAGCCGGTGGTAGGTTCTTTCAACCGGTGTCTCTATAAGGTTACTTTGTTGGCTGTATGGGTCTTTCTGCTAATCTAGCTTGATGCATAGTTGGGAAAAACAGAGATGTTGAGTCTGGAGCTTCAAAAAGGCAACCCCCGGAATCGAACCGGGCTCCTCAGAATATGTGTTCATCAGAATCTGATGTACTAACCACTATACTAGGCCGCCCAATTAATCCAACAACAGAGGTTAGTACCACTGCGCCAAATGGAACTAGTGCAAATCGCCAGATTTGAGACTACATCATGGCTCATTCGAGGGAATCGATAGGAGATCGTTTGAATCCCCCCTCACCGATGGCCGATGTGTGCGCTCCTTCCGGCACGTGCTAGTCGCGAACTATGAATTTGAATCATAGACGTGACTCACCGCAGAGAGTAGCGCTCGCGACGCTTCAAGCAAAGTCAAAAGTCACTATCGAGTCGGAGATCATAAAATGCGCTCTCCTCGCACCATCGCGACCCGCTGGACCGCTCTGGCGACCAAGCAAGATTCATCAGTAACGCCGACATGTCTGGCATGCGCTACCTCTCGACGCGGGGTGGAGCTGAACGACTGACGTTCGAAGAGGTGGGTAGCTTGTCCGACCTCGCCTTCGCGTGATCAATCGCTGACCGCACTGCCCTTCAGGCAGTCTTGCGAGGCCTCGCCCCCAATGGTGGACTCTACATTCCTGTGAACCTTCCATCGATTCCCGCAGACTGGTCCACACGCTGGCGCAACCTCTCCTTTCCCGCCCTCTCCTTTGAGATCCTCTCGCTCTTCATTCCTCCTACTGCAGAAGAGGGAGGCATCCAGCCAGCCGACCTGAAAGCGCTGCTGGAGAAAAGCTACAGCGAGTTCAGGGATCCCAAGACGACGCCGTTGAAAAAGCTCAACTCTTCTGCGAGCGGTAGCGCTCAAGAATGGTGTCTCGAGCTTTGGCATGGTCCCACGTTTGCTTTCAAAGACGTCGCGCTGCAGACGCTGGGCAACCTATTCGAATACTTTTTGCAGAGGCGGAACGCGGGCAAGGCAGAGGGCGAAAGGCAGAAGCTGACTGTTGTGGGCGCCACGAGCGGTGACACTGGCAGGTAAGTCTTCGCGCACCAATCATTGCAGAGCCTCTTGTCGCTCAAGCTGCTTCCTTCTTCTATCAGCGCCGCGATCGCGGGACTGCGCTCCAAAGCGGACATCAGCATCTTTATTCTGCATCCAAAGGGCAGAGTGAGCCCCATTCAAGAGGCTCAGATGACCACTGTGCTCGACGCCAATGTGCACAATTTGGCTGTCGAGGGAACCTTTGATGATTGCCAGGTGCGTGTTTGCGGGGCACGCGGGGCAGGAGGCGCGGCTCACGTCCTTCGCACGCCGCCAGGACGTCGTCAAAGCGCTCTTTTCGGATGCGCAATTCAACGCCAAGCACAGGCTCGGAGCGATCAATTCCATCAACTTTGCTCGCATCCTGGCACAAATCGTCTACTATTTTAGCGCGTGGTTCCAACTCTTGCAACAGACAGGCGAAGCATCTCCCGACATAGAGTTTGTCGTTCCGACTGGCAATTTTGGAGACATCTTGGCGGGCTACTACGCCAAGAGGATGGGCCTGCCAGTTACAAACCTTGTCGTTGCGACCAACGAAAACGACATTTTGCAACGCTTTTGGTCCACTGGCGCGTACGAAAAGGAGGCCTCCGGGGATGCCGGGGCTTCTCAGACTGAGCCCGCGCAAGGAAGCTCCGACGGCGCTCAAGCCGGCACGGCAAAGGATGCGAGCGGTGTCAAGGCTACCCTGAGCCCAGCGATGGATATCCTGGTCAGCAGCAACTTTGAAAGGTTGCTGTGGTACATTGCCTCCGAAACCGCTTCCGGATCAGACAGAGAAGGCGACGCGGGCAAGCAGTTGGCACAGTGGATGAAGGAGCTCAAGGAGCAGGGCAGGTTCCAGGTCGACAAGAACCAGCTTGAGGTTGCAAGGAGAGATTTCGAAGCTGAGCGAGTAAGCGACAAGGAGGTGAGTGTGGGCACGTGCGAGAGAGCGAGCCGGACTGCCCCTCTCACGTTTGCTCTCGAACCCGCAGACCAAGGAGACGATCCTGCGCTACTTTAATGCACCTCCCTCCTACCTCATCGACCCGCACACGGCAGTAGGATTTTGCGCAGCCAACCGCCTCTCGGCTCGTCGAGCAGGCGCCAAGCATCAAGTGGTGCTGTCCACAGCGCATCCGGCCAAATTCAGCGAAGCAGTCACATCGTCTTTGGAATCTGCGGGTGCATCTTTCGACTTTGAGCGAGACGTCTTGCCAAAGGAGATGCACGGCTTGCTTGAAAAGGAGAGGCGCGTCAGAGACGTCAAGCTGGCCGATGCTGACTCGCAAAGCGCGCCAAAGGTGGAGAGACTGGTGGAGGCGACCAAAAAGGTCATTGAGCTGGAGGCAGGAAAGGTCTCTGCTGCGCAAGGCAAGGGTACCGAAAGCGTATAGGGAGAAAAGCTAATTCTGGCCTCAGTCAATTCATGCAAAGACATTCCACATCGCGTGCGTCGAGACATTAGCCTGAGTGTGGTGACTGATGTAAGTCACGAGTCAGAGATTCCCTCGAATGCATGGACGCGCATCACTGCACTAGCGGACGCCTGCTCCGGCCCCGGTCGAAGGCCGCTGTCGTGGCTGATGAGACTCTGAGCGGGCGTCTTATCCGCAGACTTGTCTCAGACACTGGGTGGCGCTGGCACCGTGAGCGCAAGACGTTTGCTTGAGATACACGGATGCTCGAGCGAGTCACTCATTCACGTGGTCTGTGCTCCGCTCGTCACTCATTTGTGACTCACGTGATCTGTGTTCAAGTGGCTCATCGCCCACATGCAAGATGGCGTGATGTTCAAGATGTGAATCGAGCCTCAAACCTCTCTTCAACGACGCAGCTGAAACTCACGACTACAGACCCGGCGGGGCGCGCCCGCGGACGCGTGCAATCCTCCGATTGATACGAGTGCCTGACTGCATATATATGGCTCGACGTGGGCGAAAGACGCGTAGACAAGTACCTATAGAGGTTTTGCCGTGCTCCGCGTGTGCCGTACATATATGCGATTCGCATCTTCAAAGAGACGCCCATACCGAGCGTTTCGCGTCGATCGTGGTCAGGCACGGCGATTCAAGATTGCGCCCTGAACGGTCCATGATAACGGCTGACATTCGTCATTGGCAGCTGGCTGACTCAGACACACGAAACGAGCGTGATGAGTGTGTGTAAAGAAGCAGCGCACGGCAGCATGCACCTCGCCTGCCCGCGTGCGTCATCACCGGGGCATTCCAGAAAAGGCAGCCAAAGCTTAAATAAAGCCCAGCGTGTGAGGTACATGTTCTTCTCCTCGCCCGCAGTGCGGTCGGGATGCAGAAGTGCCAATGCACAACCGAATCCAGACGGGCTTGTGTGTAAGCGTCCCGCACTCGATCCCACCAGTGACCAAGCGACGCTCCGACACGGATGGGATCGAATCTCGGATATACTCGTGACTCCCACTTGCCTCACCTCCAGACGCTGCTGACCAGGCAGCCCTGGGCGCGGGCGATACCCGCGTCGCCCAACACGACCCGAAAGTCGCGCTCATACTCCTGCACTTCGTCATGACCTTCTTCAGCAGCGTCTTCGGCGCCTCCTCGCCTGGCCAAGTCAAAGCGTCGCAAGCAGGCACTCGAGTCGAGGCCTTCCCACGCCTTTCCTCTCGTCAAGCTCCTCCTGCTCCAGCAAATGCGACGGAATACACGCACATCATTCTGGGAGCTGGCACCAGCGGCTCAGTTCTGGCATCAAGACTGTCGGAGAATCCCGATAACAAGATCCTGGTGCTGAATTACGGGCCGCGCGTCGATGATGTCCTCTCCCGGCTACCGCTTTTCAGCATCGTTCGAAGCTACGATCCAAAGTATGCGTTCATTAGGTATACTACACCTCAAAATGGTCTGGGAGGGAGAAGCGTACGAATGCTCTCAGGAAAGTGCGTGCTACCGCCGCGCTGTAGACCATTCAGGCACTTCTAACACGTCCTCCTCCTCTCACCTGCAGAGTCGTTGGAGGATCGAGGTGAGACCCGAGCAGCTGTCCGGCGGGACGACAACGCTGACGACATGCGATACCTCGCAGCGCCATCAATGCTTCCATCTACACGCTTGGCCCACACGCCGAGCTAAACGCGTGGGCAGAAAAGCTGCAGGCTCCAAGCTGGTCAGCCTCCGCTTTGGAATCTGTTCTCAGACTTCCCAAGCATCGCATCGGCTGGTCGAGCAACAAGACGGCGACTGCGCCTCCTGCGCCCGACTCCAACGGTGCAAAAGCTGCGAAAGGCCTGCAAAGCTCGTCGACAGAGCCCGTCGGGCCCTGGGAAACGTATCACCCTCGTCAGCACAAGTTTGAGCAGACCGCTCTCATCCTGAAAGAGCTGGACAGCATGGGCATCAAGACCGTCGTCGATTCCCACAGCCCTGCTGCCTCCTCGAGCAAAGGCCCCATCGGAACGGCAAGCTTTACGCTCCAGGCCTCGCACGCTAGCGACGGCACCAAGTGTCACGCTGGCAATGCATTCCTGACCGATGCTGTGCTCTCGAGGCCAAACCTAACAGTGAGTGTGTCTCTGCAAAGCGCAGTGTGCGACACTGACATGTGCGCACGAACAGCTTTGCACAAACGTCAACGTGCTGCGTCTGCAACTCGGCGAAGGGAGCAGCGGCAACCTATCCGCCAAAGGCGTCTGGTTCGAGGAGCTGCAAAGCGCAAAACCAAGTGCGGACTCCAACGCCGCGTATTACGCAGCTTCGAACTCGGTCATTCTCTGTCAAGGAGTCTACGACACGCCCATGCTGCTTCATCATAGCGGCATTGGACCTACACATCTTCTCAAATCGCTCGACATTCCTGTGCGCCTCTCGCTGCCTCAGGTCGGCGCCAACCTGCAGGACCACGTCGCCGTACCGCTGCACTTCTTGGTACCGCGGGAAAAGTCTGGATTAAAGATGGTCGAAGGTGCCTCAGCTCTTTTATACGGCATTCGCAACGCGTGGGACTACTTTCGGCACGGCAAGGGCCTATTCACGAGCACTGGTTTCATGGAAAGCGCTGCGTGGTTCAACACGCAGGACGTTGGTCATGATGAAAGCGGAGATATCATCGTCAAATGTGCAGACCCGTACCGTGTGGTGAGCGCATTTCGAGATGCAACACACGTGTCTCCTGGCTCAAGGCTCCTCCACGCCCGCAGGCCGACATCGAGTTGATGTTCTCGACGTACTACATCGACGATTCCTTTCCAAGATATGCGGGGCTGGAAGATGGACTCGGTGTGATCGGAGTCCTTGTTGTGCTCGCTCAGCCAAATGCCGCTGGATCGGTGCGCCCAGCAAGTGCAGACCCAAGAGACGTCCCTTTGATCGATCCTGCATACCTGTCAGATCCCGACGACTTGAAACGTCTGGCTCTTGCGACAAAAGTCGCTTTGCAAGTCGTCAGGCGTCTAAAGCAGACTGGTTTCGAGGTGTCTCCCGCTAGTATACCCGGCAGAGATGGAATGACTGGCAGGTGGTGTTTTGACGGACCCACAGATTTCAACGCATTTCCTCATCCAGAGGAAATACCACAACCAGTGAGTGCGCATCCCAATCCGCTTTGCTCGCCAATGTTGAGCATGTTCGAACACCCCTCCACAGGTCTACGAGTCGTGGATCAGGGCGAATGCTAGACCAATCTACCACGGCACCTCCACCATGGCTCTGCGCTCCCCCAACGACACTCCCATCGATGCGCAAGAACTTACCCTGAAAGGCGTCGATGGCTTGCGCGTGTGCGATGCAAGCATCTTCCCCAACGTTCCAAGCACGCACCCTCAAAGCTGGATCTTCGCGCTGGCGGAGAGGCTCGCCAGAAGGATGAGCGAGTAACGCGGCGCTTGGCCATCTCGCTTGGCTTGATGCTGACCATATATATCCGCTGTGGCAAGTCTCGCACGACTCACTGTTCTAGTCGTCCGCGTGCAGTACCAATCTGAAAACAAGACAATTGACGAATGCTAATCAAATTTGATCAGCGCGATTGGACGCAAAGTGACGCCCTGGTATGAAGGCTACATGTGGAAACGATGTGTGCGGGCTGCGCGTCTAGTTGCCAGTTGCGCCCTTGACTGCACCCTGAGCTTGAGCGCTGGCCTCGCTGGCCTTTTGCTGAGCAGTGGCAGCAGCGTCGCTGGCCTGGTTCTGAGCACCACCAATAATACCAGAGGCTTGCTGGATGGCGTTGGATGCAATGCCGCGAGCCTCTGTGAGGGTGTAGGAAATGGAGTGAACATGTGAGCGACTGGGCGCGACGAGGTAGGGCAGGCGCCGCGGCGGCGTCCACCCTGCACTCACGATCGACGTATCCAGAGGCGGCGTCGCCAGCCTGTTGAGGCTTGACGTACTCGTTGGCCTGATTCAATGCATTGGCACCGAGCTCACGTCCTTGCTGAACGAGGTCTGCCAAGGACTTTTGAGCTGCCTCAGCATTTGCGTGGCCCTGCATAGGGAGGAAGCATCCAGTCAGATACCACCGTAGAACGCAAAATCGACCGGGGACATGCAGCTGATAACGATTCAAGAACTGCTTCACTAACCTCCTTGGACGCTTGGTTCGTCAAGTTGGAGGCATCGCGGCTCGCCTGGTCAGCAGCACCAGAAGCCTGGGCGCGACCAGTACGCAGGCAGCGGAGCGTTTGAGCATACACGGACCATCCAAGATGCAGAATCGCATCACCACACTCACCTGGTTCTTTGCATCACCAGCCTGCTGCTTGGCGCCACCGAGTATAGCGCCAGCTTGCTGCTGAGCGTAGGCGACAGAGTCGGTGACGAGTTGGGTAGCCTGCTCCAAGAGGGACTATGAGAGAAGCGGCCAGGTGCAGTAGTGCAGAAGCGAAGGTCAGGAAACACTTCCACTCGAAGCGAAATGCACTCGTACTCACGCCTCCCTGCTGGGTAGCTTTGCTGGCAGCGTCCGATGCTTGTTTGGAAAGATCGCCAGCAGCTTGAGAAGCTTGGTTGGAAAGGTTGCTGGCTTGCTGAGAAGCAGTCTGCGCCGCAGCGTTGATGTTGTCGCCAGCGGCGTTGGCAGTGTTCTGAACAGCGGACATCTTGATCGAGGCAAAAGTGTGCTGGAATTAGTGTTGAATGCTGATGAGAGTCGTGGGTGTTCAACTCCTGTCGTGGATGTGGTGGTGGGTGGGATTGATGCTAAAACACGCTCCGCACAGCAACTTGTCGAGTCTAGTCAGTGTTCGACATCAAAATCACAAATAGATCTCACGATTCGCTGCAACTGCACGCGCAGAGGACGCTAGGCTCCGACGCTGCTGGTTGCCTTTCATGAGGATCGAGTCTAGAACCTCGTACACTCGCTGCAGATTCATCGCCCAGGCGACTTCGGCGCGTTGGAGGTGCAAACGCTGTCGAAGAACGTCATGGGACGTGCGAACGAAGGAGCCAGCATGCGCTGCGCTCAAGACTGCACTACCAGCCGTGATCGGTGACGTCATGAGGCGTGCACCATCAGGCGCGCGCCTTGCATCATGGGCTGGCAAGCACGCCTTGTCGTTTGAGTCACGAGCCAGAGTCGCTTCACCGTTCCAACGTGACTTGTGAGTTACAGTCGTGAGTCAAGAGTGTCTATGAGTGTGTTAAGATTTGAGTGGACTCAGACTTCTATTCTTCGCGGAAGGGAAAGGCCATCCTCGTCACTGGACTCGCTATCTATTGACGATGCACGTGTGCATTTCGACGGCGTGTGTACCGTGTGCACACGGCTCCGCACAACTTATAGCAGCATACATCCTGCTGCGCCGAAAATCACTCGTTTTGGCACCCACACGTGACATTCCTCGGGTGCACCGTCATGAAGGCCGAGTGGATATGCGAAAGTGATGACACTGGGATTACAATGTGGAACAAGATTGTAGAGGAGCACAGATTTAGAAAAAGAGTGACGCAGAGTGTAGACTCGCAAGAGGAAAGTCAACAGGTCCAACGTGCCACCGTTGATGACGGGGCGTCCCAGCGATATGCTCAGCCCTCATCCCGTGCGTTTACGCACCGCCTAGACATTGAGCAGGTTGCCGACATTCTTCAGCAGGCCGGGAACATCCTTTGAAGAGAGAACCTGGTTGAGATTTGTCATGATGCCCTTGGCGTTTGGAAAGACGGCGCGCTTGTTCTCCTTGTAGCGATCGATCATGAATTTGGCTAGCGCGGGAATTTGACCGATGTAGCCTCCGAACAGGTGGGTGTCGTGGTCGGTGCCGCCAGGCCAGCAAATGAGATCGTTGAAGTTGCACGGCTGGGAGAGTGTCCTCTCGCCATTTGAAGGCCAGGTGGAGTTGAGAGCCGCGGGAGGAAAGTAAGGTCTGATCCTCATGGCGTCTCCGATCACGACCGTCGCAGCTACGCGTGGCCTGACGTCTGCTGCAGGGAACATCTGGTGCACTCCAAGCGTTCCTTTGGAGTATGCTCCGACGACGTAGCGTTGATTGGGGCATTGTGCGGCTCTCTTGTTGATCCACTGCGTGGCATCCTGACCACCAAGGAAATTGGTGATCGTCTCCTCGTAGGTAGCCTCGTTGAAGATGACATTGTACGCGCTAGCCTTTGGCTCGTACTTGAGGATCTCCGAGTACATGGGGTCACCCAGCAGACCAAGGCGTGCTTGCGATTCAGCAGCGGATCGGAACCAGATCAGTTCCAAGGGGGTGCACTCGTTCGAGTTGTCCGAAGAGCCGGTAGGAGTCCATCGTCGATGGAGAGTCTCAGTCTCTGCTGGCAGGCGTCGTCAAGAATCAGTGTTGCGCTTGTCGTGGCTCAGATTGGCGCATACGTACCTGATCGAGCCCCCAGGGTGAGAGCGCTACCTGTGTGCACGATGCCGGCCAATGCCAGAGCGACCAAAGTGAAACGAGCCATGGTAATGCTGGAGCGTAAGCAGAAAGAATGTTGATGCGATGAGAGTGGGTTGGCTGGAGAGGGTGAAATTCGAAGGAGCGAATCCCTGAAACAAGCAGAGTTCGCCTGGTATTTAATTGGCAGGGGGGCGAAGGACGCGTGATACTCGCGTGTTGGAAGAATTAGCGGCGGCGGAGTGGATGGAGGATAACAAACAATTCTGGGCCGTCTGAGCTCATCATCAAAAGTGAGCCGATCCTCAATGACATTTGTATCGGTCCTGAGATTGTCAAGGCATCATGCCTCTTCGTCGCCGCTTGCCAACAGGGACGATCGTTCCCCAGCGTCCGGCTTCTGCTCAAGGCTGGCTCCCTTGAAGCACAGTCCCGCCACCTTAGCTTCGCTGAGCTCGAAAGTGGATGAGCAAAAACGCCGGGCAAGCGGTCAGGAGTTGATAGCGATTCAAGCCGCACTTGTAGCGAGCGTTCCTTCGAAGCCATTGTCCTCATTTGCCCCTTCAAAGACGGCATCATGAGCTGAGCGAGCTCACGATCGACCTTCCTCAAAGAACGCTCCTTTTTCGCGTCGGCTTGGCGGCATGACCCATTAGCGTCGGTCGGGGCTCGAAAGCTGGGCGGGCGTGGAATACAAAAAAATGGCGAATTCGGATTTGTAGATGTGTAGGTACCGGTACTGGTACTGCTGAAGCTCGCCGGCGGCTACGTCGCTATCTCCCTTGGCCAGCCTCCTAATCGTGACCTTCGGTCAAATGATGCTCGAATTTGTGAGCCCTGCAGCTCTCACATGCATGTACCGTCAGTTCCCGTGCTTGTCCTCCTGGCATGCGTCGTGTTTGATTGAGTCGCGCAGCAAGAGCACTGCATGCAGTCTGAGACCAAGGCTCCTCACGAGGCACGACGAGCGCTTCCCTACCCTGCCGCTCCTTAGCGCAATTTCATCAGCAGGACGGATTGCGCACGCGGGAATGAAGCGAGAGAAGGTCCGCGTGCTGCACGCGCCCCCACAAAATTTCGCACGCGAAGTGACCCTGTGCGACCTCATCGACGTGCCTGCCGATTTGGCTGGAAGAGCAGGCAGGACCTGCCTGATTACAGTATCCAGCGTCGTAGGCGCAACTGCAACTGAACCTGTTAGGGCCCTTCTTTGAGAGAAGTCTGAACGAAAGCAACGGGCGTAGCGCTGAGCGCGACCTCGCGGCTGCGCGGCCGTGAGCACGCAGTGTGTCGTACCTACTTCCATACGCATGCGCTAGCGTCCTTTTGAAATCACGCGCTGCGTGAGGAAGAGGGACCTCAACGTGGCCGTGACATCGAATAATCTCTAGAGTTACGAGTTAGGGCTCTTCAAAGGCATAGAACTGAGACCAATCAGAATGGCAACTGCAAGGGCATCCATCCCTTTGACTTCGCGCAGTGTCTTTGCTATCTGCAGCTTCGCAAACCTTTACCTCGTTCGTGACCGCCGAACTCTGAGCACCACTTTCAGCGCTTGCGTCTGATATCGTGACTGTACCAATCAATGGCTCCCCAAAGTGTGAACCTGTGCAATGACCTCGTCCATTCGCACTCCGTTCGGATATGCGCTGGTCCGTCACCAGGCTCCGGCCATTGGGCTTTTGACGAGGGCACGGTTTCGCGGGGCAACTTCATCTGAAAAAGCTCCCGGATTCATTCTTCTCGACTGCACTTCCTTTTCGCTCTTGACCCGCCCGGCAGCATCAGGAGACATCGCTCGACTTTTGCCACGGTCGATCCCGCAGCATGAGAGGCAGTCATTTCAATTGCGAATCGTGAATAGAGGCAGGGCGAATCGAGATTCGACTCTGCACCGTGCAGCAGGTCTGCAAGTGCACGCAGTGCGAAGCAATGCAATGCACGCTTAGCCTCTCATCGTCCCCACTTTGAAGCAAGCACGGTCAGCTAAAGTTTCACTTTACAGTTCCTTGCTGATGAAGCGCATGTTCACTGCCTGCTACTCCTCCTCCTCCTCCTCCTCCTCCTCCTCTTCCTCCTCCTCCTCCTCCTCCTCCTCCAATTGCTTGCAGGGCAGCTTGTGCGGCTCGCTATGCACCTAAATACGGCAGTGCCGCGCCCTTGCTCGAAGCACCTCTTAGTCAGCGTCAAGGGACTCGGCCTTGCCGAGAACTAATCTAAGTCGAACGCACTTGTGCTTCCGAACAAAGATCGCTCGGCGATAGGAAGGGATCTGGACCGACAAAGGCTTCCCGGATGTGGGCATCTCCGAACAAGTACATTCACATTAGTGAGAAAGGCGGATCAGTCTTGAGTGTAATGTATAAGACGAAATCGACGGTGACATGCTGTGAAAGCTGCGCGAACACGCTGCGAGGATTGCTGCTGCCGCTAGGACTCTGCTTTCTGCTTTCTGACAAAGCGGATACCTCTCCGCTCTGCCAGGGCTTGAGCTGCGTGTATTTCCTGTCGCCATCTCGCCCCGATGCGATGCGAAGGGAGCCTCATCAATCCAGAGATGGAAGCAATCCTTTCACCAGATCTTGCCATGAGGTAGGCCCGAGCGCCATCTACTCCGTAGGTCCAGCCGTATGTGCTTTCACTTCGTTGCGTAACCCGGCGCTTGCCCTTCCAAACGGGCGGAGCGTAATGTGCGTAAAAGTCATCATAAACCCGCCAAGCGTCTTCGAAACGCTCAGCCCGAGCCAGAGCTACGATGAGCCGTCCCACGTGGCCACTTTTTAGCAGAACCGGCGCGGCTTCGGCTGATGGCGTGGTCGCGGCGTTGAGCGGCAGGTTGAGCATACCGCCCCTCTCATACCGAGCATCCTTGGCAGCGTCAAATAGGGCCAACGCTTCGTCCAAAAAGTCGTTCCGGGCAAAGTCGAACACGTCTGCCTCCTCTAGACCCATTTCCGGCCACGAGGGCGGTCGCGAACGAGAGCGTCCCGCTTGCTTCGGCTTTTGATACGGCAACAGCCAAGCGACGATGAGCAAGCCCCAGGCTCGAGAGTCGAGCTGCACCCCAAGGTCATCCTCGAGCTCGGAGAGGATTTTGGAAAAAGTGGGATCGACCGAGTCGGGGATCTTGTGCGAAGCGCCGCGAGACGGTTTTCCCGGTGTGAGAGGCGGAGACAAAAAGTCATCAGGCAGAGGTTCGAGTTGCACGCCAGCAAGTCCGAGCTCGTATGCTGGCTCCGCTAGCACGGCCCGCGCTGCGCCATTGTAGGCCAGCCGAATCATAGACCGGCTGATCGGGTAGCTTTGAAGTGCTCCTCTTTTCATGAGCTGCTCTATCAGAGACTCGATTCGACCAGACTTGTCGACGTGGAAGTACCCGAAGTCGAGGAGCTGCGGATACGCGTCTAGGCGCAGATTCTCGGGAGCCAGACTGCCTTGTCGATTGGAATTCTTGATGGAAATCTCCAGTTGCTGGCGAAAAATGGTAAAGAGACCAAGCACGCGCTTGCGCCGCGTCGGTGACCACCCCACGAACGAGCGACCACCAGCGTCGATCGCATAAGCCAGCATGCTCAGAGCGAGCGCGGGATCCCGGTGAGACTGTTTCTCAAGAAAAGCTTTCCAGAAGGCCTCGGCGATGCTTAGAGCTTGGTCAGCCCACATATCTCCTGCTTCTGCGAATGCCTGAACAATCCCTCTCGCTAGACCGGGGTTCAGCGGGATCGAAAGATCTGAAAGATGCTCCAACACCTCTATGGCCTGTGCGCCCGTCTTGGGAGACGTCAAAAGTTCTCGCACCAGACGTACGATCAAAATTGTGGGTAGCGCAAGCTTGGCGCCGTGCACGCGAAACACCTCCAGGGCCAGCTCAATGTGTGGGGCTGTCTCACTCCACCTGGGGGTCAGTTCGTAGCCGCCTTTGGGAGAAGGCAACCGCCACAATGCCATGGCGAGCAGGTCTCGCGCGTGAGATTCAGGCAATGCGCTCGAAGCACTTTGCGCCGTCAGAGAATCCCTCGTGCCCTCCAAGGTCTTGGCGTTTAAGGGCGACCAAAATGTGCTTGCAAGGGAAGTGTGCGCGCACACAACAAGGTGCTGGAGGAGGCGCAGATGCTGTTCTAATGGCAAGTACCTCAGTTGAGGGTCGACGGCGACGAACTTGTGAGCAACCTCGGCGATAGCGCCTCGTGTAGTGTTGTCGGGCCTCCTGACCTCGCAGAGGACTTCCGATGGGACTTGCTCCGCTGAGCTGATCAAGGCGTCGAATGCGCCTAGAAGCGCATCAAGCGCCCGCGCTGCGTGCACAGAGCTCGAGCGAGGCAGTCGTGTAAAGAGCTCGACCGCTGCAAGCAGTGCCGGTCTGGCGTCTCGTGCGCGTTTGCACGCCTCAAGGGCACGCAGGGCATGTGCGCGAGAGATGGCGTATCCCAATTTGACGTGTGGATCCCAACCCACGAAGGAGGGGAGGGCGAGGTCGCTGTCGCTTCCTAGCGAGCTAAAGTCGGCACGCCAGAATTTGCTGGAGCTCGGGGGTCCGGCCAAAGACGTTGTGTCCTTTGCATGATCTGACTCCGACGCGCTATCCTCCAAGCTTACGCTGGCATTTCGACTGACTTCTTGAGAATACCCTGAGTAGTCCAACTCCTGCGGCAGACCTAATGGTATGCTGCCGAGACGTTGGTGGAGCATTCGCTCCGCTTGCCTCGACACGTCTGATACGGCGTCCTCCCGCACAAGCAGCTCCAGCATTGCATGGGGGCGCAGCGCTTCGTGGTGGGCTGGATCGAACGCGCATACCCTCGAGCTTTTGCTCGCTTCTAGATTGCGGAACGCCCGCAGCTCGGGCGTGGACCATTGTTGAAAGACGCTCGCTACGATATCGCTGGGCGGCAAGGCCACTGGTCCCATCCGCATGGCAATGCTGATGGCTTCCTCTTGCGCGCTCAACTTGTCCTTAACAGCGGGGCTGTGCATGATGACATGCATCAGCGCCCTATGAAAGCTCTTTCTGGTATCGCGCCAACCTTGGAGCGTCAATCGTCGGACCAATTTTGCAATGTCATCGTCCCAGCCGTGTGACCATATTAGCCCCATCAATGCCTCGCGATGAAGTTCGCAGTCTAGCACAAAGTGAGGATGCTGCGCGAGCAGGTTGATAATCCTGGGCGAGTCGAGCTTGCGAAATTCGTGCCGCTCTGTATCATCCAAGGTGGCACTGAGAAGCTGGCGGGGAAGCAGATGTGCGTGCAAGAGCGCGTGCAGCTCGGTGATGTGCAGTCGTCGGTGAGCTTCCTTGCCGTATCTAGCCAGCGCATCTAGTCGCTTCAGATGAGCAAGCGCTTCACGTAAATCAGCCGCTTCCTCGCGCACATGGTCAGAGCAGCCGCTCGCAATGCTTTGAGGCCTGTCTGAAGATAAACGCGGTCTTGCCCCGGGATGTGTGCGCGAGCAAGCCCAGAAGAGTCGGGTAAACAGCGGAGCAGGCAAGATGCGCTGTTCTACTGGCAAATCGTTCCACACGTTCCAAGCTGCTTTGTACCAGTCCCCGTCACGAGATTCGAGCATCTGATGAATGGCACGATGTGATTTGACCCCTCTAGGCGTCCATAGCGGGCCGTCTTCGGGCAGAGGGGGCTGAGAAGGGCTGAAGCGGCTGAGGACCAGATTTGGCGGGGGGGTGGAGGAGAGCCAGGACCGACCCGTTTTGACAGTCGCGACAGTGTTGCTCGCGGAGGCGCTAGTTCTGTCGTCAGCTTGTCTTGCATTGGTCCTGCCGTTGCGGTTCGTAGGCAAAAAGTCCGGTCGAGTCGGATTGAAGTATAGCGGGGCTCGGGTGGCCACGCCTCGTGCATGTGTAGCTGGGTGTGCGGATGCGAAGCTGCCACAACACGCTGGCACCGCATTCGACATCTTCCGAGACAGAAGGGAAGCAATGCGGTGCGCCGTGCTACCTCTGCGGCTCCCTCCAGGCATGACTGCGTTGCGATCGATCGGAAGCGCATTGCAAGCTGTGAGAGGGCATCGCGTTGCTGGGAGGAAGCCGTTTCGCAGCATCAACCGAGGCGACGTAGCAGACGGACGAGTGTCTTATGCGCCGTTTGTAAGCTTGCTCTCGAAAAGCTGCGTGATGGGAACTTGTTGCTGGAGATCTGGGGATATAGCAGAAGTCTACAGTCGGACGTTCGGATGTGCTGAACGATAGCTGCACGCACTCACGATTTCAGATTCATCAATTCATGATTTAACAACTCGACAAGGCGTAACACGTGACATTGCCCTGCGAATGCATTCTTCTTCTCGTACGAGAGTTGTGTCCCAACCAGAAAAGCGCCCTCTCTCTCTACGCAAGGGCTACTCTGCGAGATATCCTCAAATTCATTCGTGATTCAAACGTAAAAGTTTCGATTGAAGATAGGCTGAACACAGCGAACACAGCTGTAACCAGGCCTCCGTGATGCTGAGCTTGGCGAATCACTGCAGCTTCGTCCCTGTTTGGTCGCAATCGTGAATGCTACGTCGGTTGAGCTGACGCTCGACCGCTGCGTCGCAGTGCAACGTGGCAGTCACGAGTGCATTCGTCCTCGATCATTTGTCGAAATGCTTGCTCGTAGACTTAGGAGATACTACTGACACAGCGTCATTCGGCATAAGTATCAGACACATGTGCCCAAATCCCATGATGAATTACGAATACTTGCGCGCATCGCCAAGCGAAGTCCAAGACGTTGGGCAAAGCGATTTGAATGGATGACACAGAGCCCACCTCTTGCAGAGGAGGGCAAGAGCTAGGTACAGATTTCTCGGTACGAAACGCAATACATCACTCACCAGTCGCGAATGTGCAAACAAGACTTCTCTGGAACTTGTGAACAGTGATCAGTCCACGTCAAGAGTCGAGGGGATAGGGGGCGAGAATCTGGTCCAGTGCAGGGCAAGACGAGTCAGCGCAAGCTCACAATTGTTGCATGCTCAAGTGATGCTGCCGGCCCCCTGCGGAGCCACGTCCAAGATCCGCCATCACCATCACCAAATCAGAAGGAAGGCAGCGGAAAGATCCACACGATTTTTATGCGCTCTCGGTAAGCGGGGCTCTCGCATGTGCGATGAACCCCTTTTACATCCGCAAAATACTTCATCATGCTTGTGATTGCCCCAACTCGATGCTAAGCACAGAACGAGAGACTCACACTCAATTGCTGCTGCTGCTGCCACAGATTCGTGATTCGCCGGAGCTACTGTGCATTGGCGCTACCGCGACCTAGATAGATATACCGTCCTTTGCCTTTGCCCCATGCAGCGTCTTGTGCCCCTTTGCAATTTGGCTCCACGCAAGCCAGCTTGGAGCTCTAGTATGTGAATCGACGTGCGAGCATCGAAGGCTAGTCGGGATTTAGGTTTACCAGGAGGACGTACCACAATGTGCAAAGGGTGGCGGTAGTGACGCAAAGATTATGAGCAAGGCAGCAACTCGTGACTGGCAGCAGATCTCGGCATTTTCGAGCCCAATGCGCGTCTATAGCTCATACAGATGCGAGTCAATTTCAGATGTAGCGCAAGCGCTTACAGATGCACGTGGCACAGCGAAGTTGGCCGGTGGCCGGGCGTTGCTACAGTATCCAGATTCGAGACTTATGCAGCTGGCATGGTGTGCGAAAATGCACAGCCACTTGCTCACGATCGGGCATGGAGTACGAAAAGGCTGGCATGATTGCTCATTCACCATTCACCATTTCGAATTAGCGCCCGGGACAGGTCTTGCTTCGATGACCTGTTCACTTCGCCACACGATGCTTCCAAGAAGGAGGGCCGGCAGTTGGGTGAGTCAAGCCGAGTTCGGACTTGATACAAGTTAATCACTTTTGATTGAATCAAAACGCGTTAGGCGCGTTAGCCATGGTGACACACTGATACTGTCACGTGCACTGAGCTCAGCGCGTGTTGACACGCGTGCCTACGTCTGCTGTTGTTTCCACCGTGGAGGCTGCATGATCGTGCTGCTTTCTCTCGCGAGTGACTTGATTGGGATCAAAGAAGTATCGGTAAATATGATTATCCGCGTGACTAAATTCACGAATCACAACTAATGAAGAAAGGCTTCCAGGTCGCAGTGTCGAAGTAATTGAATTCACGATGATGAGCGGCGTAGCTTCTGTCAACGAGGACAGCTTTCAACGCCCTCAATCTGTAGTTCTTGCGTGCGCCAGATCTCGCAAGCCCCGCGTACGTAGAGCGAAACATCCGTGTGCGCGTGCCAGAGTCTGATGCTTGTATATCCGCGGTGACCTGACGGGCCGGGCCGCATGCTGCGAGCCGGTGTATGCTGAGCACGCAGCACGATGTACGAGGCAAGTCAACCCGCCGAGCCAGGCAACATCAGCAACGGCACAAGCATAGTCAGGAAGCAGCAACGCGGAGGCTGTCGCACGCAGCGTCAACCGTGAACACATATCGAAAAGGGTTGACAGTCGTGAGGGATACGACGAGAGAAGAAAGCTCTGAGCATGCGGAGCTTCCTGACGACCCAAGGCTAAGACTGCCCACGACGAGGATTGACGGCGGGTCTGATGGCCGATGCTTAGGCGTGAGAGTAGCATTCACCAGCTGTGAGGTTATGGTTTCAAATCAGAAGCGAGCAGGTCTCAGAAAGCAAAAACATGGAAAGTCAAGGTCGGGTGGCCTCAACAGACGGCGCGCAGCTTTACGTATATACCGCACACACGAAGCGGCTGTGGCAGGCTGGCCAGCAGGGCGCGCCTGTTGCCTAGCTGCGATGCATACGCGGCGCGGACGCGCTCACAAGCAGCGGCAGCAGCAGCAGCAGCAAAACCTGGCAAAGTCTTGTGTTGCTGTCTGCTGAAGCATGTGCTGATGCATGCGCTTATAACGATGAACGTCAGCAGCAGCCAGCAGCCGCGGGCAATAAGTAGCTGCATGGCGAGCAGCAGGCAGCCGGATGCTTGCTGCATTCCCCGTCTCTTCCCATTCCACATGCTTTCGCCGCGCGACACGCAACCTCTACCGCGGTCAGGCAGGCAGGCAGGCAGGCAGACAGGCCTACGTAACTCACGACTCACAACTGCATCCACGGCTGTTGAGCCAAGGCCACGGCTACGGCAGACACGTCCAACGCTCCCTCCCCATCGCAGCGCACCCTACCGCACAGCGTCGCTTGATGGTGTTGATCGACCCATCCGTCGTGTCACGAGCAAAGCATAATGCCTCCGGTGTCAAGTAGGCATGAAGCCCCTGTATGCGTCATTGTTTGCCATCATGCGATCAGTGACAGTGCGGTCGTCACAGCTTCGACGTGCGGGTGTTCAGAGCGAAAGAGCCAAACGGAGAGACCGCGTCACGTTTGCAAGCACTCTGTCACACTTACCGTCCATCCGTCAGCAGAGCCATCTTGACCGCTGACGCTGGCCAAGTGACGGTAAAGTAGAGCGAGCTCTAGTCTAGCTCTTGGGCCCTGATGAGCATCATCGAAGATGCTTCAACGGTCGTCGCCCCTAATTCCCTTAGCCTATCATCTCTCAACGGTGTGATCAGAATTGTTTGCAGACCCCAGGCAAGCTGAGCGCAAAAGCTTGTGGCGCTTTCCTCGTTGTCTCCAAATTGCTTCGCACTGCCCTTTCAACACCATTTCACCACATCCTTCGCTCTTCCACTCATCTCCTTCCCCGTTCGTCTCTTGAAGTCCTTCCGCTTCACAACGCTCCACTTCCGTATCTCTGCAACATTCTCACCATCAACGAGACCACAAGCGGCGAGCAGCACCGCATTTAGCTTGGCCCACAAAGAGAGTTGCTCCTTTGCCCCAGTCCGACCAACCGCTTCGAGCGATCGAAGCGGGCCCAACGCCCAACACGTCTTCCACCATCGCTGTCTCCCATCCCTCGGAGCCGGGGTTGTTCGGCTCCAGCGCTCAATACAGCGGTGCGCACATGGACCCATCCCTATTGTCTACCGCATCCATCATCTCTGCGTCTGCTTCCACCACTCCTCGGATGGCTTCCGCCAGCTCGAGCGCCCTCCATGCGGGAGGAGCCAACGCGAACGTCTTTCGCACGCAGTATGGGACCCTCACGCGCGGAGACCCTGCTGGACTTGCAGAGCTGGCTGGCATGACTACAGACGGCGGATCGAGCAATGCGACACACGCAAGACGGGTAGATGATGACGACGATGCAGATCTCGGCATTTTCGAGACCGGATCCGGTGATGAGGATGGAGACGACTCGGACGAAGAGGGCGGCGGCAAAAAAAGACGCGGCAAGCGCACAAAGGCTGGAAGCGGTGGTGCGTCTGGATCGCAAGGCGACGGTAAGGGCGAAGCAGATAGCACGACTGGACGACGCAAGATCCGCATCGAATTCATCGAAGACGATAGCAGAAGGCACATCACCTTTAGCAAGAGAAAGGCAGGCATCATGAAAAAGGTCAGTTGTGCCGCACACCCATTAGCGCGGAACGCGACCGCATGCAGATCATCGATCTCGCCCATCGGTGCCCTGGGACGTCTGCGCTTTCTCATGCTCACACGCGCGACTGTTTCCCGTGTCATCCCTGTTGTCCCCCCGACAGGCGTACGAACTTGCCACGCTTACCGGCACGCAGATCCTGCTGCTTGTTGTGTCTCAAACCGGCTTGGTGTACACCTTCACCACTCCCAAGCTAGCGCCCGTGGTCAAAGAAACAACTGGCAAGGACCTCATCCGAAGGTGTCTAGAGTCCGACGACTACGGCGCGGATGGACTTGCCGGGGACGTCCCAGCAGAGCGCAAGAAGGGTGGGGAGCAGATGCCTCGAGAGCCGAGCGCATCGGGCAAGCGTAAGCGCAGCACGGCCTCTTCTACTTCTCGACGAAATGCAGCTGCAGCTGCTTCGGCAGCCGTGGGCGAATCCATGTCAAGGCAAGGAAGCGGTAGCAGCAGCAGCGATCAGTACAGTCACGACTCGCACGTTGGAGAGTACGCTCGTAGTGCCCTCTCCTCTCATCATATGCTCCACCAAGGTGGCAACGGTGGGATGGGAATGATGAGCGGTGGACCGCACAGCAGCCCTCTGGTCGGCGGGTATGGATTGCCTGGTCTTCCTTACTATTCGCCGACGACGACATCCTACGATTTTTCGACCAACACGCAGGCCATCAACAATGCTCATCAGACCCATCTTTCGCCCCACGCAAGCATGCAGTACGGTCTTCCACCTCAATCGCCGACCACTTGGGGTTTCAGCTTTGAGCAGCAGCAGCAGCAACAACCGTCGCACGGTCAGACGAGCAGCGGCATGTCTTCGCATCAAGCCCAACATTCCGGCAACGTCGGTCAGCCTCAACATCAGGCGCGCGGGAGCGGACAAGCTCATCTGCTTCCTTACGATCAAGATGCTGCTCAGCACAGTCTAGGACTCAACCTTGGCAACCAATGGTCGGTGCCTGCGGGCGCCATGAGCGCCACCGACCTTCACCGTCAAAGTCATCTCTCTCCGCATGGATACACGACTGGCCTGCCCAAGACCGATGCTGGTCCTCAGAACTGGACTCGCAGCTAAGCGGAACCCGCTCCCCACCAATGCATCGCTTCGATAGCAGCGATCATCTGCCGCGCAGCAACTTTACCCGCTTGCCAGGCATTAGTCCCCCCCCCTTGTGTATCGTTGCGGCTTGTGCCGCTCGCTCAATGCGCACCCGTTTGTTGGCGCTTTCACCCTCCACCTACCCCGCACTCGCAGATTAGGATTGACGTCTAGCCCACCCTCACTTCTCTGCAGTGACTACGCCCCGAAACCTTTGTCCCCAACGCATTCTTCGACTCTGTTGCTAGCTAGCCAATCCCTCTTCCGGCATCTCCCTCGCGTACTTGACAAACCAGACGTGTGAAAGAACGTCAGTATACCTCCGCATCACTCCCACACGCGACACACCTCGTTCTCGTCATAATACACATTTGCGTCACGAACGTGTGCTGCAGGGTGTGACATGTCGCTCGCAATGCGCATCTGCTCGAGTTGTCTATATCTTTTGTAGTAGGACTTTGGATGAGCCACTTAAAAAGGCACCTTTTTGCCCTCCCAGTCTCTGAAACCGCCGCTGTCTTCGACGGTGAGGCCTCGAACCACGTTGAGCAGGTTCTCTGCCGCGTCAGGGGCCTCAAACTCTCCAGGACCTGGAGCCTTACCGTCCTTGCCTCCTGGACCTCCTGTGAACTCTTTGCTCAGCTCGGACCTCACTGTGCCTGGATGGAGGCCAATCTGTTTTGTAGCGGGCGAGTGCTTATACATGCGTCAGAGGCTGTAACCCCCAAGGAGAGCCGAGCAGCAGCGAATGTTGACCGCGGAGATGCGAAGAACGACGAACAGAGACACTCACGGAAATGGCAGGCACTTTTCGAAGTGTCAACTCTCTGGCCAGAGTCCTAGTGATTTGGTTCTGTGCGGCCTTGCTGGCTCTATAAGAGTACCAGCCTCCTCTTCCATTATCTTCGATGCTTCCTACCCTTGCCGAAAGGCTGGCAATGAGTGCTAGACCGTTGGGAGCCACGTCTGATGCAGAGTCGGTGCCTCCTGGAGCACCAGGCTTGCGCTCCCCACCTCTGCTGATCTGCTTGGGCAGAAGAGGGACCAAGTGCTTCATGGCGAGCAGAGGCGCGAAAGTGTTGATTCTGGCGCCGCATGGGACAGGGGAGGCCGAGTCAGCATCGTGATCAACAAAGTCGACACCTTCATCTTGCGCCTATCGAAGGACTCACTGAAATTGGCGCAGCATCTCGTCATAATCGACCTGGGCCAAATTCTTCTCCGGTCTCAGCTGTATGCGCGGGAAAGAGGAGGGGAGGGGGAATACTGATGCATCAGATTCGCTTTCAAGATCAAAGCGATGGGCTTCTTACTGTGCTGATGACCTCGATCACTCACGATACCAGCGACATTCCAAAGGGTTCTGATTTCTCCCATCTCCTTGATCTGTCCAGCCAGCTCTTGAAAGCTGGCCTCTTTAGTCACATCGGCTTTCAAAGTGGTCAATCTGTCCTTGGCATCCGATGGCAGATCTTTGAGAATGGCTTCGCGCGCCTCGTCGGGCGTTCGACTGGCGCAGACTACGTTGAGCGAGGAGCGAAGAAGATGGCCTCGTGCGAGGTTCAGTCCTAGGCCGCGAGAAGAACCTAGAATCACTGCGAGCGACATGTTGGATCTGGTGCTTGATTTTGACGAAGCTGGAAGCACGTCGAAAAGGTGCTCAGAATCTGTCTTCGAGCTGCGTGAATGCGACGGAGGGGATCTCGAAGTTTACGATTGATGGTGGTTCGACTTAACGAGACACAGGGTTGTCATGAAAGCAAGCAAGTAACTGCAAATGTCTAATCGACCCCCTTTGGACGAACAGGTGGAGATCACACCGCACATGACATGCCCGCAAGTCTAAAGTCACGACTGTGACTCTTGAGTTTTGGCAAACGTCAACGAGCGGTTCAAACACTCAAGACTACTCGAGGTGGGGATTTGGGTGGACTCTGCTGAGGTCAGCTTGCCTTTCCCATGCGTCTGCTGTGCATGCAGGCAGCGAAGCAGCCTTGACGCGGTTCATCCGCGGCACATCTCACCGTCGTTGCATGCATGGGTTTACTCTTCCTTGACGTCTTTGACCCAGTCGACGGCTTTGTCGCTGCCTGTCAGCTTCCCACACCGTCGCTATTGAGACTCTGTGGGACCAAGGAATGGCCGAAGATTTGAGAGTCTCTGGCGCAGTCACAGCCAACACCTGGACTCATTCGAGGGCGGTAGCCGCCACCTTTCTTAGGTGTATGACATGACAGATTCACCAGATTCTTCCCTCAGATGCGGTCAGGGTCCACGCTTGCATGCACGCTCGCAGCGTCAGACAAGCCAAAATTCAAGTGGAGGTGTCAAAGCGTTTGGAGCAGTCTAGGTCACGTGGTGTTGGCTTGAAAAGGTTCAATTTGAATCAAGAATCAAAATGACACCAAGGATCGATGCTCGGTGTACGAGAGATGTACCCGTGCATCATGACCCTCACTCGCCCCACTCGCCCCACTACCTCCAGTTCGCTTCTCGATGACACACTCACACAGCCAGGCGCGATCAAACGCGCTGGCCAGCTGCTCAGCATGGCTATCGAGGGAACCAAGCATTTGCGCAGAGCGGGAGTCCGCCGGCGGACGACAGACAAACACTGAAGTATCGCATTGACGCTGATGCCTGTCGGCAGCACAGAAGAAGGGTACAAATAGGTCTTGAAACGGTCGCTCTATTACTACGTGCATTCAAGCCGCCGCCTCAGAAGCTGGATATGGCGGCAACCACGGCCGAAGCTCCGTTATCGCCTGTCTGGGAGTATGACGTGGATTCCTTCCTTGCGATCTCCTCCGCCTCCTGGTACTTTTCCAGTGTCAAAACACCGTACTAGGCGCAGAACAGTGTTGTTGATCCGAGTAAGCGCATTGAGCAGGATTCAAGAGCGAGCAAATGGCCAGCTCGAGACCGAGGCCGGTCGCACTCACAGTATGCTGGGCTCCAGGATCATTCAACAACTTCTTATAAGTCGGAAGCGTGGCAGTGACACTTGTGGAGCCGTAGCCATGTAACATCCATGCCCACGCCTGACGCCAGAATCTGTGAAGCGAAAGTGGTGCTGTGGCTCAGCACTAAAGAGCTTCAGACAGTCTGAAATCGGAATTGGCGACTCACGCCGAAAATGTCACAAACACAATGGCTTGGTCCAGTGTAGGGTCAAGAATATCGAGGGTGTAGTCCTTTTCACGAGCAGCCTTTTCTTCTAGGAAGCGGAACCAGCCCACCCTAACGGATGAAAAGTGGTTCAGAGGCATACAAATATGCTATTGGTTGCAATCTACTCACAGTCTACGAGGACTCTCTTCGTACAAGCCCACGGTCGTAGCATCCCACCTCGCTCCTGCAAAAGAGCGCTTGAATGCACGGTATGCCTTCCTTTCAACCTCTTGCGGCGCTGGAAGAGGAGCATCTCAGCAACTCACGTGAGGTTGATTGGACTCCCAAACATACTGCTTGCCCTTCCACGGAAACTTCAGCTCGTCTCGTAGCGTTTCTCTTCGATAGACCATCTGAACCTCTCTCTTCTCTCCTTCTTGTTCCCTTGCGGCAAAGTCTTTCTGCTTCCACCTCCACACAGGTTTGCCCATCTCCGAGATTGGCGAGCCTTTGAACAAGTCTACCCCCTTTCCACCTTTAAACTTGGCACTAAAAGAGTATCTGAAGGCCATGTTCCAGCTGTTCCAATCCAGAGCGTCCTGATTCAGCTCATCGCTCTGACCCTCGACACGAGGAAGTGTCTCGGCTTGCAACTCCTCAAGCGGATTCTGCCACTTTTTGCGCTCTTCTTCGTGAAAGAATGCAGTGTACCAGCTGCGAAGACCCATCTCGACCAAAGACTTGTAGTCTAACAGGTCAGAGTCCTTGAGAGCAAATACGTCCTTGTGCGTGAGCTTGTAGATGTGTTGCGGATTGTGCTTGAGGTACTCGCCCATCTGCGTCAACCAGGACTTCAACGTCGGCTCCAGAGCTTCTCCGTTCGTCGTCGGCGGCCACTTGCCAACAGCATCGACGGACCTGAAATTGCCATCATCGAACACAGTCTTGCCACTAAAGTAAGCTGGAGGTTTGACATCTTGAGAAGCGTCGAGCTCCATTTTCCCAAGCGATGCGTCTGCGGCCGAGTCTTCGTCGGTAGAAGGGGCCGGCTTCGTCGTAGGGTCGACATTGACGGGCCCGCGGTCATCGATCGTCGTGCGCCTTTGAGGAGCTCGGGGAGGTGGGTAGGAGCTTTGTGACTGACCAGGTTGGTCATAGGAAGGAGGAGCGTAAGATGGATAGCCACCGCTGGGGGGAGTTGGAGGTGGGTAGGGGGCGTTAGATCCGGCGGGTGGGTGCGGTGCTTGATTCTGGTAGCCGCCTGGGCCGTCCTGGCCTGGCACTTGGGGCTGCGGGAATTGCATGTTGAACGAGGCTCGCTTGGGTAGAGTGATGGTGGTGCTGGATCAAGAAGAAGGCTGGAGCAAGTTTGCCTGACGTCTCTGTCAGTCACCAACGTCCCTCTGTACACGCAACTACCACCATTCGTGATTGCCAGGCCTGTGCATAGTCACCAGTGCCACCATGCATGCATGCATGCGCGCAGCCGGCAACAGAGCAGCACCAGAACCATCGAAACTGGTGCTGTATGGATGCTGGTAACTCGTGACTGACTGACTGCACGCAGGCAAGCAAGCATCATGCATCGTCCGCCTTGCTTCTGACTTCAGCAATCTCTGGTGCGGTGCAATTGTGATTGTGTGGCGCTGTTGAATGCGCCAACATGCATGATGTCCAAGGCTTGCGAGGTTCTTCCCTGCTAGCTGATGCATCCACTTAATTACAGATTGACTCACTGACTATTCTGTTTCACGATTCACGATCCAAAGATCAGCGAGGTCGAGCATGGGCGAGGGTCAATCAAGAATGGTGAATTGCATGAGGTGGGCGGATCAAGCTGGCGCGTGAGTGACTCGAGTAACACGTCACCAATCACGACTCTCACGAGTGCTCGGTTCAAAAGTCACGTCTCGACTCTCGACATGCAGCAAAGCAGATCGAGCGATGGTCACGAAAGTCGATGAGATCGTACGGCTCTGAACATCCTGCCATACTGCTTGGTGTCTGCTCACTTCGTACCTCTTGCACCGTCGTGCTCGTGATGGCTGCTCTATGGTGCCGAGCGAGAATTACGAGGTAGATGCAACCGTCGCAAGTGAACTGCGTACGGCGGGCCCCGTGGTGACTGGCGGGCGTAGTTCCGGAGCTACGATAGAGACCATGACGCCTCGCGACTACGCCTTGACTTCACCAGGCGCATCTTTGCTGAGCAGGTGAGACACAGGCACCATCTCAGCAAGCACATGCCACGTTCCCTGAGCGAGATGGAGGGCGAAATGTAATGATTGGGTGAAGGACCGGTGACAAGAACACCAGGACAGAGAAAGAGTGGGGGAAAGCCGAGAGGTGAAGCGTCGAGCTGAAAATGCCAAGGAGGCTTGTCTGCGTGTGTGATTACAGCTGATGAAAAGTATCGCAAGGGCTGCTGATGGCTCTACACGAGCGTGTCTACCCATGCCTTCAGGTCCACCTTTTTCTCCTCGCTTTCCTTGACGTATGGATGAACCGTCAGGTCTGTTGGGGAGGGTCTTGCCGAGGGGTCCTTGATCAAGCACAGATCGATGCATTCATGCATGGCCTTTGGAAATTTCGAATCCTCCGGCAAATGCGGTGGAGGTTCGTTGACAATGTGCTGCAGCAGGTCCAGGATGGACATCTGCGCACCCGACCCTTCGAGTGACACGCCTGCCCTCGCCCCTACGTCTGCCCTTTTGGGTCTCGATGCTGCTTGAGATAATCCGTCCGGCTTCGTAGGAGACAACGTCCCCCGCAACTCCTCCGGAATCTCGTCATCCGAGTCTTCGGCAGGATTTGCGAAGGGAAACCTGCCTAGTGCCAGCTCGATGACCGAGATCCCGAGGGACCAGACGTCGGATTTGACGCTGTACTGATCACCTTGAATTCGTTCCGGCTATGGATCACACATGGTCAGCCTTCGAAATCCTTTCTCCAGTTGAAAATTGTCCACAGCCACTCACGCTCATGTACGTGCTCGTGCCTACAAATGTGTCCGCAATCGAATTGATGAGCTCGCCAGAGACACCAAAATCGCAAATCTTGATTTGACCTTGACCATTGACGAGAATGTTGGAGGGCTTGACATCTACAGAAGATGCTCAGCGTCAGCATCTACGCACGATCTCCACGCCTCTGTGGCCAAACTCACCCCTATGAATAATGCGGTGCACGTCGTAAAGATACGTGAGGCCATGAACGACTACCACAATCACCTTCCCAAGCACATCTACCGGCACAGGACCCCACTTCTTGTATATGTTGTCCAGCGAGCTGTATTGGCGGCCAATGTGTGCAGCGTGTGAGCGAAGCGCCGTGGCGCTGCAATTCGATAGCTTGCCCATGTACTCACGTCTTGTCCATGAACTCCATGCACATGCATATGTGCGGTTCGCTCAAGTAAGCTCCGTAGAAGCTGACGATGTATTTTGAGTTGCACTCGTGCAGTATCTGCAGTTCTCTCAATATTTGTTTCCGCACTGTTGGCTTCGCATCGATGAACACCACCTGGCAGGACAGCGATCTCGTCAGGCTACATGACGTCGAAAGCTCGAGCCCGCAGACTCAATCTACACACCTTTTTTGCCATTGTTGTTGCTGACTTTTCGTGTAAGACCTGGATGAAGTAAACAGCGTGAATGCCGGGCTTAGCATCGAGATCTGAAGCGCTGCGTTAGTCTGGTCGTGACGCTGTTGAAAGCTGCCGCAAATCTTGGGGCCCAGCCCGGACATCACTGCATTGCCCATCCCCTGTCATTATGAGGAGAATCGGCCCTCGTCTAGACGGAGAAGGAGGCACCAGCGCTTTCAAACTACGCAAGACTCACCTTTGAGACTGTTCCACTATTCCCGCTGCCCAAGTCTGACAGATGTTTCAAGTCCTCATTCTTAAGGTCAAGCTTGTACTCTATTCCCAACTCTAAGTTCGCAAGCTGTTCGCTCAGCTTATTGTGATAATTGGCCCCACTCGAAGGGTCGATCTCCGCACTCGCACCAGCACCCAGCCCCACACCTGGCAATCCTCTAGCTTTGACCGCTTGAGATGATACCAGGCCAGCTGAGGGACCCGAGGAGCCTGAAGCCTGTCCTGGCGAGGGCGTAGAGAGCGGTGATTCTGCCAGCGCTAAGCCCTTGAAATTCCTCTTCTTTCTGATCGAAGACATGTCAGCGCACGTGAAGAAGAGGGATCTTGCGTGAATGGTAACTCTTTCCTCTGCAATCTTTACCCGACGCTGCAACCGTGTAGTGTCGCTCCTGAGCCAGACAACAATCGCCAAGCGGAAGAATCACGGCGCCCCAGCTGGACTATCGTGTGCGGACAGTGGAACCGTATGCAGTCGAATGATTCGCTGGTGGTGGGCTCTGATGGCCAGCCGCAGCTCTAGCAGCTCCAAATCACTCGGCGATGAGCAGCGGCGGACTTTCTTGTGCGTCTTAGAACGAAGATGGAGTTCAGCGGATGGCCGTAGTTCTCAGGGTTTGACCTCAATTGCGGGGAGGGGCAAGTCGGTGAGAGGGGCGCGTTTTCTGGCTGCTGCGAGCGAGATGATACAGTTGATGAGCAAATGGCAATGATGAGCAAATGGCAAGGCCTTGCACCCACGTCCAGCAGCGATTTCAACTTTGATGGCGCATTATACCTACACTCACACTACCGCAAAGTAGCTATCAAGAGCCGACCTCTCATACTCATCAGACTGCTGCTGCTCGGTCTCTGCGCCTATGCTTGATGCTCGATGCTGCCTAGCTGCATGCTTGATGTGTCTGTCGCGTTGGTCTCTGCCGCGTCTGCGCCACACCCGCGCAGACGCCCACGGGCACGGGGCGCCAGCGCAGCCAAGCTCACGTACCATGCAGATCAGTCAAAAGTTGCGTCCAGCACGCGCTCATCCCCTCATCAGCAGCGGGTGCGTCGGCGCGAGGGGCGGTGCTCACACGTGACCGGCAGGGATATGCGCTCAGGCCAGCGTGCAACACGCAACAAATATTCACCGGCACCTCGCACGGAACAGCGTCCACGTCGACGGCTGCTGCCATGAGTTTGAGTGCACGTCTTGGCGTGTCGAGCTGTTTGGAGCTCATTCAACCCTCCATTATCAACCTTCTAACATCTTCAGCTGCTGGTACGAATATTCTACACTCGACAACACCTCACTACGTTCCACGATGCGTCTATCTGCTGTGCCCATCATCGCAGCGCTCTTCGTGGCGCTGCCTTACGTCGTGGCCTCCGCACCAGAAGTCACTCACAAGGTCTACTTTGACATGACACACGACGGCAAGGACATTGGTCGCATTGTGCTGGGCTTATACGGTAAAGTCGTGCCCAAGACCACCGAGAACTTCCGCGCCCTGGCCACCGGTGAGAAGGGCTTCGGATACCAAGGCAGCAGCTTCCACAGAGTCGTAAGTTGGCTATCCGCGCGAGCACAGAGTTGAGCCATGCTAAATACGACGGCGTGATCTGCTTCGCCCGCATCAGATCAAAGATTTCATGATCCAAGGTGGTGACTTCACCTCGGGCGATGGACGGGGAGGCAAGAGCATCTACGGCGATCGGTACGTCGGCGCGCATACATCCTGGTCCAGAGCCTTTTCTCACAAACCATACTTCTCCCTGCAGCTTTGCAGATGAGAACTTTGACCTCAAGCACGAAGGACCTGGCACCCTCAGCATGGTGCGTTGCTACCAGAAGGTGCACAAATTCCTGGGCTAACGCACTCACTGCATTACCCCTTTAACAGGCCAACGCCGGCCGGGACACGAACGGAAGCCAATTCTTCATTTGCAGTGAGCATGATCTTACGAAGGCCTGTGGAGGATTGCTGTAGGGGATAATTTTCGATGCTTCGCCAAGCTGAACCGATTTTCTCGACCCCACAGCGGTCAAGACCTCTTGGTTGGACGGGCGCCATGTCGGTAAGTGGTAGCCCGTGCGCCAGCGCAAGTTTGCTTCGCTCACCACCGGCCGCTTCAATCCCTTGTCACACGCAGTGTTCGGACGTGTCATTGAAGGCATGGACGTTGTTGAGCTCATTGAGAAGGTTCGTCTAACACCGCGTGAATGTGGATGAAGAAGCACACTGATTGCGGCGCTCGCGCCTTCGTTTGCCTCTGCACAGGTTCCCAAGTCTCCTGGAGATCGACCCAAGACCCCCGTCACGATCGCCAAGTCTGGAGAGCTCAAGGAAGCTGCACATGAGGTGAAGGACGAGCTTTGATGGTCTTGACTACTCTCCTCAACCGCTTGCTGGCAATCATGTTGCACACCCTCAATGTAAAAGACGAGACAATTCCACGCGTCAGGCGAGTCCGTCCTGCTACCGCAGCATGCACGCCTGCCACTCGTGTTTCAATCCTCATTTCTCCCTGTCACTGCGCTCTGCGAGAATGTCCGCTTGCACCGCTTTGTGCGCACGCTTTCTGATCCATTGTCTTTCTTTGCCGTCTCCTCGTGCGTCTTCAGGTCGTTGTCGCCCCGCCTTCCACGCCGGCAGCTGCTGCAGCTGCTGCAGCTCCAAAGCCAACGCCAATCGTGACGCCTGTGGCAGATCAAGTGAGCGCCAGCGGCACCAAAGCTGGGACGTCATCAAGCGTCCAGACTGCTGGAGGCGTCTCTTTCCTAGGCTTTCTGGTTATCATAGGTCTGTTCGGAACGATTAGCACGCTCGCTGTTCGACATTTTGGTGGAGTGGCATCAACGCGGGACAAGATCAGACAGGTGCTGGGCACCTTTGGTGTTGGAGATGGCGGGAGAGGATCTTACTCTCGCGTTGGCGGTACTTCTTCCGCTGGCTTGCCTCGATGAGGCTCGAAGTCACGGGATTGGTTGCGTCTTGGCGCAAGCTTCATGCGTACACTACTGCCATCTCCCATGCCAGTCTCCATCCCGATCAGTCTCGAGACCATTCTGCGCTCTGGATGTCCTTGATCGTGAAGTTCTGGTCTTGATGCTTCAAAGCGAAATGCGACAGATACACCCCGAGATCTCAGCACGCAGGTGAGATATGGAATTTCGCACGCTAAACGCCGTCATTTTTGGTCGCTTGGTGTGCGAGATGCACAACCTGCGGGAGGTAGGCTCCGGACTCATGGCCGTACGATCCGGACTTTCAGCGAACCTGTCAGGCCCTTAAGCAAGATTACGAGAATTGGTGTGTAGGGGACGGTCAGGTCCTGACGCATGCAGAGAAGGTGCACTCTAGTGGTGACTACTTGGCAAGGCTCAGCGCAGGGACTTCTGAGGTGCAGTACATGCATGGTTAGCCTTCAGGCTCACTGCTCAATCAAATGAACGCATGCGGCGTCGGGAGCGAGAACTCGATCGACCTCCTTAGCGTCGAAATCTCTTCGGCCTATTTTGCTCTCTGGTGGGAGCATCGCAAGTCAAGGTGGTGTCGCTCTTTGATGGGCATGGCTAAGCGGTTTGACCATTCGTCGATTCGGTGGATGCGGCAAAACTAATGACGGACGAATCGCGAAGTACGCAAGTGCACGTGGGCAGTTGATGAGCATCAACATTGCGGCGTCTCATACCGCTGAAGGTGGCACGAATGTTCGATTCAAGATTGTGCTGAAGCCTTCGGCGGTACCGTGATGGAGAGCCGATGCATGGACTGGCCTTGATTGAGAAGCCGCAAGACGGCGGCCTCTATGCACCTCACATGGTGGGACTCTGAAATTTGTGGCGCGATGGAGAGGAAGTCGCGAGAGTGCGGGTATGAAATTTCGGTTGTGACGCATCCCAACCGACGAACCTGTCCGCATCGCGTGGACGCAGGCAGCAGCATCCGCCAGTCCGATGCTTGGAATCAAGCGTGCATGCATGCATCTCACGGCTCACCTAGGCTCTTCGCCAGACCGCCGCCAGGCAGGCAACGCACATCAACCACAGAGGTGGCACTAGCTGCGACTGCGCTCCTTTGCGCTCGTGATTACCACACCAACCTCTACATGTCTCACACGCTTGTCTTGCTTTGTGATCGAGCACAGCAGCTAGGACGTGGCCAGCCCGCGCGCACGCTCACCACCCACAACTCACGACCGACTGCTGGCCACGACCGCGCCTGCCGCTTCACTCCCGCAAGGCGTCTCGAAGTACTGCGTGCCGATTCATGCGCCATGTCATCTCACCCTGCCCTTCCCTTCACCTTCGTTTCGACCAAGCCCACCTTTCTCAGCGCTTGCTCCTATGCCCAAACGCCTAGTTAGGCCATCTGCCCTATTCAGATCTTGGCGCCCTCGTCCATTCGTCACTGCATTGCAACGCTGGCCTCCAGTACCGCCTCATGGACACTACTACTGTACCAGTACCGGTGTGCCACTTCAAGGAAAATTCATGCTCCGCATCGGGCTTTGTGCAGACATCTTGCAGATCCTCTGCGCAGCAACAAGCTTCTCGGCAACTCTGTTCGAAGCCTGGAAAGTACCTCGCTTTCGTCGAGCAATTGAGAGTGTAAAGTGCAGAGTGGTGAGAGTGAGAGAGGGACGAGGCAGCGGTGCGAAAGATGTGGATGCTCTCGTCATCGCGTGTGAGTCCTCGAGGCTGCACTGGAGTGCTGATGCGCGGTGTGAGTGGGGCGGGGTAATGGCGGTAGCGCTCTGGGCAGCGTCGGACTGTCGGATCGGATGCTTCCAGCTGCGCACAATCAATGAGACCGCATTCGCATGATTCGCATCTCATCCGACGAGCTTCTTGTGAGCGCAGAGTGGTAGACGCCGTTGCGCTCTCTCGCAGCAGAAAGGTTCCCCGCACAAGTCTCGGACGATGCAAGGCCGCCGCTTTGCTTCCTACCGCATTCGTTTAGTCCTCTGCTTGACCAACGGACGACGAAAGTCGATGACCGCTCCTCTCGCAGCATCTCGCAGCATTCGGACAGTTCTACACGGTCAACCTTCCCCAAGCGGGGTTGAAGCATCGCAGTCACCGAGGATCGCTCGCCAGCGGCAATGGCTGGCTCATCCTCATCCGAGACAAGCACAGACATCATGACTTGCCCAGCTTAGCCCAGTGTCGGGACGTTTCCCCCTTCTCCCAACTCCGTCACGTACAGCTCTGTGCAACGAGTCTGCTAGCTGGGTAAGATTGCGGGCGATACTTGCCCTAGACGGCGTGCTAGCATCCTATGACGGTATTCGTTCGGCGACTCTGCTGTCAGTGCCTCACCACTCCGACCAGAAGCCAGCTTTGTTTGTGTGCCTCTCACTGGTACCACAGCACGAGCTATCACCTGGCTGACTTCGAATCTTGACGCTTGGCTCTTCTTCCTGTTCCATTTCGCTGGTCAAGAGCGTCGCTTTACCTCCGTTAGAATCCGACGACGAAGTTGAGGGGATTCGGTCGACCTCGCTCCCGAAGCTTCTGAGCGTCGAGGCACCCACGTCTCCGATACGTGTTTGCTTTACAAATCCCTCCACCATCCCAACCCACAGCAAGTCGACCCAACTTTTTTCTCAACGCCGTTGATTCGCGCGCTGTGAGCTGTCGAAGAGCTTGCACTCCTCGACTCCGGAGCGTGCTCGGTACGCATGCTACCACGAGCTTCGACCCTTCGACTGGTCAGATCAAGCCATTGGTCGTAGCACAGAGCAGGTGGTGCTCAATCCGCGGTGCGCGGTATGCTGCTCGACACCTTGTCAAGCGTTGCAGGACACACAGCAGGACGATCATTCGAGGATACTCTGCGTCAACTGCAAGCCGGGTATGGATCGCAAACGCACGACCCGTTCCCTGCCGATTTGGCGCAGGCCCTTTCTCGGCCCGAAGGTGCCTCGGCGGGGGCTGTACGAGATCTCGAGGCGTTCGTGCACCGCCTCTTCACCCTCGATCTCGACAGCACGTTCTTCATTCAAGTAGCAGCTTGCATCGCGGTCATCGCGCTGCTTCTTGTATGCGGCGGTAAGTCTGGGCACGGTAGAGCGGCGGTAACGGGGGGGGGGGGGGGGCACCGCTGACGCTTCCCTTCGACTTGGCAGTGATTGTCATCTTGATACGGATCATCAAGCAGAGGTTCTGGCTCATCAAAATTACAAGACGGTCAGAAGGCGTCTACATTGTTCCCAATGCTCTCAACTGCTTCTTGGTCATGGAGGGCATTTTTGGATGCGTGTGGATCGTCTTTAGCGTCACGCAATTTTTAGCTTACTGGCGGGCTCAGAGCAACCCGCAAGGCTGGCTTGCCGTCTTCAACACCATCATCTGGCTTCCGCTGTGGCTTGGAGCCTATGTGGCGGGCTGGGGTTCCTTCTATACCGCTCCTGGTGCACTCGACCGTGGACCGCTCAGTAGCTCGACGGTCGGTCGTTGGCTACCTCGACCACTGCTGGTCAATTTGATCAGCCTCGGAACTCCCTTCGTGCTGGTCGCGTCTGTTGCGCCGCCTATCATTCTAGCGCAAGTCAATCTCAATCGTTCGTTCTCCCTGTATCAACAATTTTCGGCGAACGCCCTGCAGCTCGCAAATGCGTCTGGCAGCTCGGTCGTTCCCCGTTCCACTACAGAGCAATTGCTCGAACAAGCTGATCGAGTCTGGGTTGCCCAGCTCCACGCGCAGTGGTTTCAAGGCCTGACCTACACGATCTGGTCAGTCTGGGCAGGTCTTTTCCTGATCTTCTACATTCCGGCCGGAGGGGTGCTCCTCAAGCTGGTGTTGAGCCAAGTGCGAAAGCAGCGCAAGGTATTGGAGGAGTTTCAAGAGCGACAAGTAGCGGCGGCCAAGGAGAAAAGGCCTTTGCCGACTCAGCCGAAAGACTCACATCGCTTCTCGGCTGCGAGCGGTGATGCTCCGCGGCCATTCGAGTCGGAAGATGGTCCGTCAGAGTCGCTGCTGTTCAGGCCTCTGGGCGCCAGTGGCGTCGACGGTTCCACAGCAGTGCCAGACGAAGGTCTTACACCGCCTGTCACACCGCGCACTGCAGTAGGACAAAGCGCAGCGTTGGAACGACACAAGTCGGAACAAGAGATTTTCTTTCCGCCATTGCGATCAGACGTGGAGCGCAAAGCAAAGCGACGATTCAGTCACGCTGGAACTCCGTGGTCGCGCTACAGATACCTGCGGCGCTGCTACATCAACCTGCTGCTCCTGTACATCAGCATCACCATCGGTGCGACTGCGTACCTGGCAATCTCGGCACTTCTCGGCGGACGTTTACATAGCAGCTTCGCTGGGGGACCAAAGAAAGCATCGAACCTCATACAGGGTGCAAGCCTGGCAGCAGCGTGGACTGCAGTGGTTTTTGGTACTCTCGCACTCAGCTCCATCTTTTCTCGCTTCTTCGATCCAGCCAATGCGCCTTCCGATGATGATAGCAGACGACAGGCTTCACGTCTGGGAAGCAAGAGGCCTCGCAATGGCTCGACGACTCTTAACGCTCTCAGCCCGCACGAGAAGACTCGAACGTTGCCGGCCGTACCAGAATCTGTGCATGCCACCTTTGATGCGGGCACAATGACCGGTGCGGGCGAAGCAGATACCTTTCGCTCACACAGGCAAGTGCCCGATCCAGAGGAGCAGAGCGCAGATGCTCTAGACGATGTGGGCATCAAGTTCAGCTTGAAACGGGACAAGCGCAAGCCAAATGCTATCTTCATGCGTCCCGTTGCAGATGGCATCATGAGCCAAACTGCATCAATGGACGATCCTCAATTCCAAATCATGTCGATCAACGATGCTGAAGATCCGCAGACTGCATCCCGCATCAGCAGCTCGTCGAGACGCTCAAAGAAGACGATGAGACCAAAGCTATTCAACAGATCAAAGAGCAGCGTTCACGTTCCGATGGATGAGACGGCAACTATGACCAGTCTCGTCGAAAACCTTGATCTTGACCCTGGTCGGGTGCAGCGCTCCCTGCGACAAGGCAAGACGGTGTACTACCCAACGCCTTTTGGACCTATGCCAGCTCCAGTGCGCGGAGCTGGCATGCCACTTGCGCCAGCCCGCTCTCCCTTCGCCTCGGCTGGTGACTTGGCCAGACTTGCAGCCGAACATGCGAATGAAGGGCCAAGTAATCCTGAGTCAAGTGAGGGAAGTCATCGCTACACGCACTTGGACAACAGCGCTAGCTCCCTGGGCGCGAACCACGCACGCCTTCTCTCGAACGCCAGTCACTCGTCTACCTTGCTACCAGCAGGTTTCGATCATCAAGAGAGACCCGCGACTGCATCGACCTACTACCACACTCCTTCGGATAGGTCAGCCGATCACGTGCGAACGTTTTCGGGAACCCCACCTCGATCTGCTCCTTTCAACCAGCTACGTCACTCTTCGTCCGCGCATTCCGGGACGCCGCCCAGCAGCTCTGGTCGAGCGTGGGTGATGCGGGAATGGGCCTTGGCTGAAGCGGAAGGCAAAGCATGGGGCTCGCCTCGAGGTGCGGATGCCTCGGAGTGCCATGGAACGCCATCGAGAGTAAGATCAGGATCTGGATCGGTCTTGCCGCTGCATCTCCATTACAATGCCAATCGAAGACCAAGCATGCCTTTGCTTTCGCGCGAAGTTGCTCGTCGACCCAGCAATGCCGCGTGGTACGCTGGGCATACCCAAGCGGCGCCGCCAATCCGGCGAGCTTCTCATGGCACCCTAGCTCTGGCACCTACGGCTGGACCAAGTCGGTCGCCCATCACCACGAGTGCCAGGATGGGCAACAGGCACGATTTGCCAGAGATGAGTCCACCTCCCAACGCTCCGCTTCCTCTTGCGCCGCATCAGCAACCCGACGAGGCCGCGCTTGCACTTGGAGGTTGGACGCGAGAAAGTAGGAATCTGACCTCCACGGCTGCCGTCCAGCAGCAGCAGCCTACTTGCGCGCCTCCCGCTGGTCTTGCAGGCCTAAACGCTTACACGAAGCCCTCTTACATTTCACCCAAAAGTCCAGCTTTGCAACTTCAAGCACTAGATCCGCCGCCCTTTTCATCTTTTGGAAGAAATAGGAGCGCAGCATTGAGCAGCTCCACATCACCTCCCAACGCACCTCCACCGCGCTTGTCGCCCGGCGTCTTTTTTTGAAAGATCACAGAGCGGCCCCTCCATCCGTACGCACCTGCATCTTGCGCTATCCGATCACACTCTCCTCGTCGAGTCTACATCACTCTCCTTTCAATCTTGCACAATACACTCTTCTCCCCTTGCATTGCTTTCTATATATCATTCAAGATTTCGACACATCATTGGCATTCTGTTATCACCTTGTACTTTCAGCTCTGGCGTGTTCTGGTTGCTCTTGCGCAAAGGATGGGGGGGCCAAAGGTCTGCTCGCAGACACCGGCTACAAGTACAGGACGATTGGGTCGACTGCCTGATTGTCTACCTCGACTCGTGCGCTCACTCGATTGCAAGTCCCACACCATTGCAAGCCTGGCGCAAGAGTAGCATTCATAAAGAAGCATCGTCATTCAGTAGCTGTACCTGAATCCACTCCAAGCATCGCCCTTGAGCCTAGCAGCCTCTTCTCTGGTCGCATAAGTGCCACCAGGAGCTTCATGAAACATCATCTTGATTTTTCTCCAACCTGTAGCTTTGGCAATCTCCTCCGTCCTGATCTGCTGAGCTCTTTCGACACCTTGAGGAGAAGGATCATCGAGAATGTTTTCGTCGTTTGCTCCTCGCTCCCTCGCTGCATTCTCCCTCTTGACGAGGTAGACGTAAGTCAGGTTGGAGAGCATACCGATCACGATGTACATCACGATGAGACCGTGTCCGAGCGGATACCAAGGTTGGTCCCGTGGTCTGTAGACGTTCGTAGTTGCTGCGCCGTTCAAATTACCCCAACTTATACTGCGAGGGGTGCAGAGAGGGCAGGCAAGGAGGCGCAGAGTAGATTCATGAGCCCCAACAGTGCTGGATGACGTCTATTGCTGTGCCTTGCACAACTCGTGATCACGCATCACTCACACGACAGCGCTGACTACACTCCTCTTGAAACTTCCCTCAACCGAGCTGATGGTGAGAGAGATGGTGTTTGGAATGGCCGGATAGATACCAATGGCAGCGAGGTAAATAAACGCGTAGCTGAGGCCCGTGAGCCTAGAAGCCGCCAAGACGATGTAGGCAGCGATGCCAATGCCGAGGATCAATACATTGAGCATGGCTCTGTTGCCTCTTCGGTCGGCCACAAATCCTACTAGGATGGTGACTAAACAGCCGATGACGTAGATGGGAACGCTGAGCAGGTTCGCCCTGGTCGCCTGATATCCCAATTCTCGAATGACGGTGGGCGTAAAGGTGGAAAAAGCGTATAATGGCCCGTCGCTGAGCGTTGCGAAGAGCGGGCGAATGGCAGGAGGAAGAAGAGTTCATGAGCACTTCATCTCGATCCCATTCCCGCGCAAGTCGCAACTTACCAGCCCATGTAGGCCAGAGCTCCGACCCATGTCTTTATATCCACAAAGCCTTTACCGACCGAAGCCCATGTGAAGCGCTCTCCAGAAGCGCTGAGCTGCTGATCGCACTGCAACCTCTTGATGATGACTCGACGCTCGTCTTCCGTGATGAAGCGCGCAGTCTCTGGAAAGTCGTGTACCAACCAGAAGGAAAGAACTCCGACGACAAAAGTCGCCAGACCAATGATCTGAGAAGAGCGCACAACAGCGAGTGCGCAGGGCGCAATCAGATGTGTGGCGAGCTAGGTCGCGCGGACCGACCCTGTGCAGAGATGATGGCAGTGCACTCACAATGAAGATCCAGCGCCATCCCGCGTAGCCTCCGATGCCGTGCATATTGTGTATAGCAGCACTTAGCAGCCCACCGAACGCTCCGGAAATGGTAGCAGCGGAGAAGAAGAGCGCAGCTCTGCAGAGTAGATAAGCCAGACAGTATCAGAGCTCCGCATCACGCCAAGCCTCGCTTAGGACTGCTGAGCATGCACTCACCGCAATCCGAACTCCGACCTCTTGTACCAGCCAGAGAGGAGCAGGTTGACACCGGGAAACAGACCCGCCTCCACCACACCTAAGCAGAATCTGGCGGCGAGCAAGCCTCCATAGCTAGACACTACGCCCTGAGAGAGCATGGCGCATCCCACGAGCATCGTGATGATGGGAAACCAGATGGAGGGTCTGAAAGCTTTGAGCAGAATATTGCTTGGCACCTGCCGTCGATTGGGTGCGGCAATGAGCATGAAGTTTGAGTGGCGATGAGAAGCATGTTGCAAATCCGCTCGCGACTCACCTCGAACAGAGCATAAGGGATGAAGAAGATGGCAGCAGCGATGGAGAAATCCGTATCTCGCATATGCAATTCATCTTCCAATCCATACAATTTGGCATTGCCGATGGCGCTCCTGTCCAAAAAGCTAAAGAGATATAGCAAGCTCAAGAATGGGATGAGGTGAAGATCCACCTTTCTCATCAGCTTCCTCTCATCCACGCCCAGCTGCGCTGCGAGCTCGGACGCTGAAGTCGTGTCGCCCCGCGCTGTGAGCTCGTCGCTCTTGGGACTCAAGCCAGATCCTTGCTCTTGCTCATCCACCGCAGAGCTCGTCTGGTGATGCAGCCCATCTTTCCTAACATCTGAAGCGCTCCCTTCCAGCCTCGACTCGTCCGGCACGTGCCTGTGAGAGAGATGCGGCACCGACATGACGATTCGCGCCTCTGCGTGTGTAGAGGTGAGTCTGTGTGCCAAGCGGGCTAGGTGTGCTGGCACTGCGCTTTGCTAAGCAGGGTGATTCTTCTTTCCTTTGCGAAGCTGTCGAGCATGTGATGGAGACGAAAGAGGGGGAAAATGTGTGCGCGTTGGTCGTGACGGAAATGCTGCTGACTGAAAATCAGGAGAGGCGGCTTGAGTGCTTAGCCTGGGGGAGCCAGCGCTGCTTCAGGGGTCCCTGCCTCAGTCGTCACAGCCGTTGATCGCCGGTATTGCGGGGGGAGAAGCCCAGACGCAGGAACGTCGGATATGTCGTCCAAGTTGAAGCCGGGCACAGTAGCCTCAGTACAAGCAGCGCAGACTGGGCAAAGAGGGGGAATGAACAAGGAAAGAGGATGGATGATCTTGAGGCAGTCAGTCAGTCGTGCTGGGAAAAGGGCGCAAGAACGAGCAAGTGAGCGAGATGATGAGCGAGGCATATCGAAGCGGGGCGGAACCATCAGGAGCGCTGCAACTTCGCTGTGCTTGCTGCTTGGCAAAATCAACACCGCTCGTTCGCAGGCCGGCCGGCCGGCCCGCTACCATTTCAGTGACAGACTCACGCTAAGCTGTAGTCTGAGTGTAGAGTGCGAGACAGCAAGTGTGGAGGCGACGACTTGCGGTCAGGAGCAGTGAGGCAGCGAGTCCCGTCCCGATCCCTCGATTGATGGACTGAGTGAGTGAGGCTCGAGCATCCACCCCCCGCACCGCTCCTGCATGCACGCATGCTCGCATGTATGCGCTGCTCATACTGCTGTACATCTTGATATTCGCCGGCGAGTCTCCCGCCGGCGCCTCGGCGGCACGCGTTGTTTGCAGCACCCCGCGCGTGCGGAGTCGCTCTTAAGTTGCCGCGAGCTCCGCGCGTGCAGCACGCTGCTGGTCTCACACACACCTCTCCGAGGCACAACAGTCACTGTGAGTCAGTCAGTCAGCAGTCAGCAAGTCGGCAGGCAGCCTTGATCGAGTGTGGGGAGGGGATGGGAAAAGAACGTCGCGGTGCGAAAAGGTGAAGGTTATATTCCGGCCAGCATGCTCGATAATATGTGCCTAGACTCCCACCCTGTCTCAAGCTTGACTACAATCACGAATGTCGAGTAAGAGAGAGCGTCGATCTCTTTCCATCGAGTGAGCAGCTCTCCCAAATTGAGAAAATAGCGTAGGAGCGTTTTGCAGAGCCCCTACTTGCGTCGAACCGCCGGGACTATGGCATGGCACACTTACGACTCTTGCTCAGCGCACCATCTGCGCTTGAAATGGATGGGTGGACTGCATTCAAAAGTACAGTACCTTTCACCATCACCATTCTCATCGAATGCGTGCTGGTTCGTCCGCTCGATAAGGTGACCGCGTACGCAGATCGCAGATTCGCAGAATCGCAAACATCAGCACCAACTCACTGCTGCTGGGCCTCCACATCCAGAGCATGCGCGCCGGCCGGCCCGATGCAAGGCGCAAGGGACTTCACTTGAGACGAAGATGGAGACCACGTGGAGGGCACACGTGACTGCGACGAAGTGCTTCGGTTTCGGTCGGCTTCGGAACAGCGCTTTTGGGCGGGCCCCGCCCCATCGCCCCCGCTTTGGCACGGACCCCAAGCAGGCGCGGTTGAGATCGGATCGGATACCGACACGGTCACAAAGTCGTCCCTTCAGCGAGCTGTTTGAACTGGAACTGGCACGCGAACAGCTCGTGAAGCGTTGATCGTCCGCCATTGTCAATCGTGAATGCTCAAGCGTAGCAGCTCTTCGACGGCCTTGACGGATCGGAGGGATGCCCCCGGCGCCTGTATTCCTATTCACAGCTTCGATCGAGGGCGTACGCGCGGGCGCGGCGATCCTTGCGCGCACGAGATCTTCCGCGTACGGCCGGCCGCTTTGAACTTTTTTTGGGTGCGATTCATGATTTGGTGAATTGCATGCTTTGGGCTTCCTCGGAAGAGCAGACAGACAGCCAGCAGGTGTGATGAAGGGCGCTAATTCGATCGCGATCACATCCCTGCCCCGACGTTCTGAGCTGAATCATATAAGCGATCGAGCTTGGATCCCAGGTCCACCACACCCCTCTCGTGGAGATTCACCACTTACTTACCTTTATCCCCCCCCCCCACAACATTAACGCACTCCGTGTGCGCCTCCACCGCGTGCGCCAAAGCTCCTTCTCTTCTGCTCTGCTCTGCCTGGCCAACCCCAGCGAGCGCTATACAAGATCGACCCAATTCGGACAACAGTCGTTCGTACAGCTCGCTGCGAACGAGCATTCACGCCAGATAAGCTCGAAATCGTTCTCGCTGCGTTGCCATCATGATCGCACGTAAGATGCCCCTTCGCCTGGCCAGCGCGGCTGGACGATCGGTGAAGGTCGCTCAGGTGAGTCTTGCCAGCCTTGCTTGCTTGCTTGCTCCTCTGCGGTGATAGCGAGGGGCTTGAACGATGCCAGCTTGGGCTAAAGGATGGTCTGGTCGAACATGTTGATTTTACGCGCCCTGAAGGGCCAGTGGGTATTCTCACCTGCTTATCGGCGGCTCAAAGAGCCTCATGCACGAGCCAAGCACCCTGCCGAGCTTGCTGTTGCGCGACCGTGTGGGGTCATTCTTTGCGCGGGGCAACGATTGCCAAGGGTGCGGAGCGAGTTGCCCATCTCATCACTTAGAAAGCGGCTCCCCCGGTTGATGGAGCTTCAGACTTACCATCTCGAATCCGCTCTTTCATCAATCATCTCACAGCGACCCGTCAGCTTCGTCGCTCCCACCTCCTCCGCACCTCTTCGCGCCTTTAGCAGCTCTCGCATCATGTCGCAATCCTTCAGGACTGAAAAGGACACGTTTGGTGATCTCCAAGTCCCCTCGGACAGGTACTGGGGAGCTCAAACACAAAGGTCTCTGCAGAATTTTGACATTGGTGGAGCTCAAGAGAGAATGCCTTTGCCCCTCATCCAAGCCTTTGGTGTGCTCAAAAAGGCAGCGGCTGCAGTCAACCAGACATACGGATTGGACCCAAAGATTGCAGACGCGATTCAAAAAGCTGCTGATGAGGTGCGCACCATTTTAGGCTCACACTTGGTTTGCCTTGCCCGAGCTACCTCAGCGTGCTGAAGCTTTCTGGCGACCCTGCCTCTCTCCTCTTTGTGCAGGTCATCAGCGGCCAGCTCGAGTCCCACTTTCCTCTCGTCGTGTTCCAGACTGGATCAGGAACGCAGACGAACATGAATGTCAACGAAGTCATCAGCAACAGAGCCATCGAGCTCCTGGGAGGAGAGCTGGGAAGCAAGAAACCCGTGCACCCCAACGATCACGTCAATATGAGCCAGAGCAGCAACGATACGTGAGTGGCAGTGAACCGACTCCTTCGAAGGCATGTATGCCCTCGCGACCCAATCCTCGTCACAGCTTTGCTGTGTCAGCGAGCATCCACTGAACAGGATCCACTCTTGTACGTCTCTCTGCTCAGCTTCCCTACTGCTATGCACGTCTCGGCTGTTCTGCAAATCAGCAACTCTCTCTTGCCCGCTCTGGAGGAGCTCAAGACAGCGTTGGACGCCAAGAGAGCCGAATTTGACGACATCATCAAGATCGGACGAACGCACTTGCAGGATGCCACGCCATTGACTCTGGGTCAAGAGTTCAGCGGATACGTCAAGCAGCTCGAGAACGGCATCGAGAGGGTCAAGAGCGCCCTGCCGCGCTTGAGCCAATTGGCGCAAGGAGGCACTGCAGTCGGAACGGGATTGAACACCTACAAGGGCTTCGACGCTGCAGTGGCAGCCAAGATCGCCGAGATTACGGGCGTGCATTTCGAGACTGCGCCGAACAAGTTCGAAGCTTTGGCAGCGCACGATGCGATTGTGGAAGCTAGCGGACAGCTGAACACTGTGGCTGTCAGCTTCATGAAGATCGCAAACGACATTCGATACCTCGGATCGGGACCTCGTTGCGGGCTTGGAGAGCTGGCTCTGCCGGAGAACGAGCCTGGATCCAGCATCATGCCTGGCAAGGTCAACCCCACGCAGTGCGAAGCCCTGACCATGGTCGCTGCTCAGGTCATTGGAAACAACACGACGATCAGCGTTGCTGGTTCTTATGGACAGTTCGAACTCAACGTCTTCAAACCGGTGCTCATCAAGAATTTGCTGCAGAGCATCAGACTCCTGGCAGATGGAGCCAGAAGCTTTACGAAGAATTGCGTCGTGGGCATCGAGGCGAACAGACCTAGGATTCATCAGCTCCTCAACGAATCTTTGATGCTTGCCACCATCCTCAACAGCCATCTGGGATACGATTGTGAGTGAAAGTCTTCTTGACTGCGATCTTCATCGAGGCGAGGGCAGACCACAGCGTCTAGCAAAATTTGCATGCTGCCACTTTACTGACCAATCTTTCCCTTGTGCCTCGATGCGCCGCGCCGCAGCTGTCGCCAAAGCGGCAAAGAATGCCCACAAGAAGGGCATTACCCTCAAGGAGTCCACTGTCGAGTTGGGCTTCCTGACGCCAGAGGAGTTTGACGAGAAGGTCAGACCCGAACTCATGATTGTAAGTGTGACTGCTCTAGGCTGGCCATCGAGAGGGTCAAGTGCATAGCTGATCACCCCCCATCCGCATCTCTGCTCAGGGCCCCAATGACCCACCCAAAAAGTGAACGCCAGAGGCGCAAGAACCAAATCATAGAGACGCTTCTTCTCTTCGAGGTGTGGACTATCAAGTCAATAGATATCATTGCTGCGCCATGATCTGACTCGACGAGGCGCATCACGCATGGAAGGCGTCGAGATGCGGTTAGTATTACATGTAAAATCACTTTTTGACGAGCTTGGCACTCTGGACAAGTTCCTGCAGACTGATGGGGCTGTACTCATCGGCCGCATTTGACGAGGCGGTATGATGAGCAGCAGCAAAAGCCCAGACCACATCGTCGTCGATGTAAAAAGTGATGCCGGGCTTTCCAGTAATGTGAGGGGATATGCGAAGTAGCGGCGCTCCGTTGAGCGGATGAGATTTGCTCAGTGGCAAGACGAGCAACTCCGACTTTGCTGCTTCTTCCTCGACGACGCGTTTGAACGTGATGGATGATTCGGCATTCGCGCTCGCGCTCGCGATCGCTGCTGGATCTGCGGCTGCGCCTCGACTTGCAAAGTTGGAGCGGGCATTGGCGGAGTGTGCTTGCTGAGCATTCTTGAATTGAGACTTGGACAAGGGCGTGCTGTCTGCCTTTGGCAAATTCGCTCTCCCTTCCGCCGTCTTCCGTTCCAAAGCCTGATTGATGAGATCCAGACCCCTCTTGAAACCCAGCTTTATGCCTGGCAATTCCGACACGCCGGTATACTTTGCGAATTGCGCCTTCCAGAAAGAATACCATTGGCCCACTTCGGAGAATTGCACGTTGGGCTGCGTCAACCAAAGATGCAAGACGTCGAGCCATTGCGGGAAAAAGTCGCATTCTAGTAGACGCGAAGTGTTGATGGGGGCGAGGTGAGTGTGCCAGGCTACGACGAGATGAAAAGGGCTCATCTCTTGCTTTGCTGGATTGATGCGCAGCTCTTGACGCAGGTAGGAAGAAAGCTTGGGCACCACCTGCTCCAGAAGCATGGCGTTCCAATCCGCGTCCTGAAAGACCTGTGCATAATGCGTCGTGGTAGCAAGACCATCCATCAGCGGCGAAGAAGCCTGTCAGGTACATTCTCAGCACGCACAATCAACGTTGCCGGGCTCACTCACCTCTCTCCATTTCTCCAAATGCAAGGCTTCCGGCAGACCGGAGCTAGCTCGCCAGCTCCTAAGCACGGCCCTGACTCTTCTCCTCGCCTCGTTCATCAAATTCGTCATTTGCTCCCCCATCAGCTCCAGCCAAGGGAACACATAGGCATGCAGGGGCGCCTTTGAAGATGACATTTCCCAATGCTCGACCGCGTCGGAAAGACGAGGTAGGATGATCTGATTGGTCAGATTGTCAAAGATGAAGCGAGGAAGAAAAGGTTGCCAGGCTTCCAGCAGACGCATAGCACCTTCGGGATGATGTGCTTTCCAATCGTTGTTGAGAGCACTGCGGACGGGGGGCATCCACAGGTTCCAAAGCAGGGATTCGAATGGCGTCATGACAGGATCCGACTTGGAGTGCCCATTCATAGTAGCGTGGCGACTCTCATCAACACTTTGCAGCACCGAATGCCATCGCTCGAAATCTTCCAAAAGATGCCTTGGTTCTTGCATTGGTTTCCAGGCCCGTATTCTTGTGCGCACAAGAGGCACAACAGCAGCAACGATAGCTTCGTCCAATCCCAGCCCTTGGATCTCGTCCCCATACTTCTCCTTCAGCAATCCGATCAGGTCGCTCAATCGCTGCGTATCCATCTCCTCCTCGACGCCCGATGAGACCAGTTTTTCGTTCTGTATGCCCAACTCTTCAAGGTCTCGAACGACACTGAGGACCTCTCTCACGCGTTGCGCATCCACGGCAACTTTGGCTCTTCTCCTCTCCGACTCGTCTCTCTCCCTGACGAGCCATTTTTGTCTCTCGATATTCTGCGCGCCTTTTCTCGCCAAACCTTCGAGCAGGATGCGATTATTATCGCAAATCAGTCTAAGGTTGTGCCTCAACTCCGGCAGACGCGTGCTTTCGCTCGTCGGAATGCCCTTGTCTCCCAAAGCGCTGGAGAGAGAGGCCACTTCGCGCACCTGAGGACCGGTAGCATCGATGATGGGTCCGATGCCCGCTTCAAGACCAGAAGGCTCATTTCCGCCAGCCTCTGCTATGATCTCCTCATACGTCCGATGTTGCACCTTGACCCTTCTCATTTTCCTGTCAGGTCTACTCCACAATTCTCTTCTCTCCCTATCCTGATGTTCTGCTTCATTTCTGAATTGTTTCCCTTGCTTCTTGCGGCCCCCTTTCCTCTGTTTGCCTTCTCCCTCCGAATCGCTACTGACTGCTTCTCCTCTTCTCTTCGCTTCCTCCTTGGCTTGCTTCGTTTTCTCTTTCCGTCCGCCGAAAGCTATACCCGCTCTTTCAGGTCTTAGCTGCACTTCTATCGGATTGACGATTCCTTCTCCCGCTTTTCCTAATCCTCCACCTGCCCAGCCCATCTGCTGCATCATCATGCTCGCAAATTTCCCGCCCTTGCCAGGAGCGATGGGTTTCATGTCTGCTGGGGAGTTTGCAGATCTTGCTTTGTGTCCTAAACCACCTCCACCAACAAAGGATCTCTTGGGAGCTGGCGTCGCCGCCGACGAGTGGCTAATCGAAGCTCCGAGTAAGGGCGCTGAAGATAATGGTGGCGCATCGAAAGAGCCAGCTAGTCCCGCGCGTCCTTTGACAGCCTGGTCTGCCTCTATCATGTCGACATCGTCGTCCAGCGGCGCAGCCTTGCGCGATGGTGGCACATGGAGACCGGCCGTCCCCATTCCACCCCTGGAAGATCCAGACGGCGCATTCCAGCCATCATCCTCCAAAGCCCTAGAGTTTGAGCCGATGCCACCTCTTGAGCCGCTCGACGCTGATGTCTGGGCAGGTTCGCGCGACCGAGTGGACAGGAAAGAGGCGGGAACAAAAGAGGAGTCCCCTTCACTTCGTTGAGCTTGCGCTGCAGACCGCGATATGATGTCCGCCTCAGCTGCCGTAGGTCCTAGATTGACATCTTGGAAAGCGGGACGAGTGCTAAGCTCTTCTTCGGTGGAAAGAGGACGAGAGAGGAGTTGTGAGTGATGTTCTGAAGAGGTGGACATGCGCGACTCGTCCGAATCGGAATGGGCGGACGACCGGGACGCGGACTCGCCACGTCCGGTCTCGGTACCTTGGCGGCCTTGACGTGCTTGTTGAGCAGCTTGCAAAGTCGAGTTGGAAGTGGCAGAGACGAAAGCTTGTCCTCTTGCATAATTCACCGCTGCACCTCTCCCCCTCCCACTCGCTTTGCCCCTGGCCCCGCCCCTTCCACCACCGCCCGAATGGCCCTGCTCATCGTCGGACTCTGCAAAGACTCCATAGATAGCTTCCTCCTTTGAGCGCGTTGGGCGACGATCGTTGATCCTTCCCTCCGTCTCTGATCCCGACGCTGCCCCCTCATCGCCCGAATCCGAAAGCTGATCCACCAGGTAGCGTTTACGAGCCATCCTTATAGATGCCCACCGAGAGCTCGACCATCAGCAGGGCAGGGAGACAAATCGCGCTCTGCGAGAAACTTAGGTAGCAGCACCAGAAAGGCAGCAAAATCGCTGCTCTTGTGTGGACAGAGGGCGAAGAGGTGCTGGATGGTGTGCGGCCTCGCTCAGTCAAGCTTGGCTGCCTTGCTTCAAGCAACTCAGCTCCACTCAACTCGAACTCGACCTCCTCACGCTCGACGCGTGATTGACTTTCTTGGACACACGTGACCTGCTGTGCACGTCGGGCATGCAATTTGAATTTTCACCGCCGTGATCACGCATCCGCTGAGTTCCATCAAGTTTTCCTCTTCTTGAAGAAGAGCTTGGGTGCGTTGATCGAGCACCATCTTTTCCACCCTCGCCCTCGACGCTCTGCAGGCGCAATCGCGACCACGCATCGGTTTCAGCAGGTCCGGCTCAGGTCAGCTCAAGCAAGCTCAGCATGGAGCTATCCACGGACGTTCCCTTCAGCAGCTAAGGGGTGCAGGGAAGCCACACCGCATCGAATCAGCGCCCCAAGTGAGTCAACATTCGTTCTTTGCCAATGTGGTCAAGGTGTGATGGTCGGGTACATATGCTGGCATGGTAAGCAAGCTGCGACAATGATGACATGCACAACATAGAGTCAAGCACGGACCTCTTCGCGTGAAGAGACTGGCGAGATTGTTTCTTTGCGCTTCGTGCTTCAAACACACGTCGCCTACTGATTACTGTAGTGGATCGCAAATGCCGGGTGACGGATGATGCAGGCTCGCCTGCTTGGAGGTGGCTTGTGTGCTGGAGACCGAATCGAGCCAGCTAGGGTATGCTGACGCAATGTTATCCGCACCACCCTGCTACGCAGCCAGCCCAAAATCATGACCCCCTCTTTGCCTCGTCGTACACCATGGACGTCCAGTCAAGCCCTCATCGCGCTTCACGGTCAGCTGTACAGCTCGGATGTGTTTCAGCGTCAAGCAGGCCTGGGCATCATCAGTCTCTGGTTGAACCGCGGTCCATGTCCCGCTTCGGTCGAGAGTACATCCGCGCTCATTCGCGCTCAGATGCTGCATGCACACCTCCTGCCGTCGCCTTCGGACCTTGCTTCAGGCTACGGCGACACGTCGTCGACGTCGATCTCAACATCTATCGCGATGATGAACGTCAGGACTACATATGCCATGGCCATCGTCAGATTCGTAAACTCGGTGGTGGACGCGCATCAGAACGGCATGTTCGCACAGAGCATTGCAAGCATTGCTAGACGCATTGGGTTGCCTACTTGGTTCGTCGATCTACGACATGCGGCAACACACGAAGATCTGCCAAGTCTGCAAGTTTTGCAGGATGCAGCCGCCGAAGTGAGTTGATCAGTGCCCGCATCTTGATTCACCATTCATCGTGACTGTGGAAAGGAATCAGAAAGGGCTGACTTTGTGCGTTTGTGCGTTATGAATGGGACAGGCTCTGGACTGGTTGCATCATCACTATTGGTACCCCACGCTTTTATCGCTCAATCCAGCCTCGCGGACCGAGGTTGAAGCAGAACACGAACGAAAAGCCAACAGATCTACCCGTCCCTTAGCTTCCAGCTCCAAAAAACCCAGCGCAAATATCTCGGCCGATCGAGCTTCTCTTCGACAGTGTTTGCGCGACTACTCAAACGTGCAGCTGGACATTGTGAAGGACAGATCACTCGCGGGTCCGCAAAAACCGTTTCTGGAACAGACCTGTAAGAAGGTGGTCAAGCTGGCTCTGGGATTGGACGAAGCGAGGAGTCCGAGCGGAGAGGCGCGGGAAGAAGTGGACTTGGAAGAGACGCCCTTCTTGGACTTGGTCGAGTTGCTCGTTGAAGAGAACGTCGAGCTGCAATGCAACGCTTCGTGCGTATCTGGTGTGTGAAAGGAAAGCTGGCGAAGCGCTTTACCCTTGACTGACCTAGAGACAGTCCCCGGTCTTTGCTGTACGTCGTCCTGTAGACGAATCTCGGATCTCTTGGGATCCGCCTCGACGAAAGGCAGCGCTTCTGCGAACTTGCTGTGCAGCACATGGCAACAGCTTCTCACTCATACCTTGGCTGCTCTACCCGCTTTGTCTTGCTCGCTCTCGGATTACCTTGTTGATCGACTCTGTCCCGGCCCCAGCGACTCTTCAGATCGGCATTTGCCAAGTGAAGTCTCTCTATTCAGCAAGAGTGGCCGACGAGGATCGAGCGCACTGGTTATGCTCGTTCTGCAGGAGCAGGAAAGGTTGGACAACCTGGCGGCTGGGAGGAAGATGCTCCTCAATGGGGAGGAAGGTGATGATGAGATGTCTGACAGTGAAGAAGGGTTGGCGATGCATGTCGCCAAGAGGTGTCTGAACCGCTCAAACAAGCAGTGAGTTTGAGCCTCGACTGTCGTCTACAGCGGATGGTGTAAGCCTCCGCTACAGAGAGGTACAATGACTGATCTTGTGCGCCGAATTCCGCGCCATTTGTGAACGCGCAGCTCTGTGCGACTAGCCAAAGCCATTTGCAGAAACAGACCGGAGCTGGAGAATCACCTTCGCCCGCTGTTGCATACCATCACATTCTTGGGAATCGAAGGATTTGCCAGCCGAGCTGAGAAGCACGATCTGATGACCTTGCCGCTTGCGCATGAAGAGGCGGAGCAGTCGAGGAACGCGGATGCTCTGCAAGATGTCGGTGAAGAACATGCGCGTCAGCAGGTCTTGAGCACGGGATTCGAAGACGCCGTGAATCTCATGGCTGCCCGATTGAAAGAACTTCAAGCGCGCGTGAGTGTTTGCCTTGCACATCTATGACCTGGGATCTCGCGCGCACGCGCACAGCACTCATGGTCGTCTGGCTTTTCTCGCGGAGCAGAAAGTGGCTGCGGCTGCGGCGGCAGCTGCTACTTCATCCTCTCATCAGTCCGATGACGAGCAGGTTCAAAGTCATGAAGACGAGGATATGCGGGTGGAAGAAGCGCCGATCGCCAACGCTGCTGAAGAAGAGATGCAGCAGGAGGAAGAGGAAGATTGGTCGAATGTGCCCGGATGGAGCAGAGCTTCAAAAGAGTTCAAACCTTGTCCGATCGGCTGGCCGCCTGCTGACCTGTTTTTACCGATCTAGATTCGTTGTCCAAGCTCCTTCTTGATCCTCCTTCCCATCTGACTCTTTGGCGCTGCCGGCCTTGTTCGGACCGTGGACATCTGTACACAATGTGCACTTGGCTGGTACTAGGTGGAGTGTACGTCCCACGAATAGACGTTCAGACTGTATATCACTATGATACCACGATTGTGCATGTCAGAGCTAGATGATAGGATATTACCCAACGATCGAGACCTGTCTCACATGACAAGCTGCGTCGCTTGGCTCTCGGTGTAATTGAAATACCTGACTTGATTCGGCGTTGTTGCTCAAATCCCATCCGGTTGAATCGTCAATCGCGCAGTACGTGTTGTCTTTGCGCTAACACGTGACAGGCGGCCTGCCACCCTGTGATGCGCGCGTGTGCATGCGCGGAGCGCTTTGAAGAGAGCTCCTCCACGTCACGCTACGAGCGAGTTGGCATGATCTCCCGCACCTCACGCTGCGAGAACAAACAACCACGAACGCCGATGAGACTCATGCTTGCGCTTCCGCCCATGACTTCTGGAGTTCGAGTCCAACAGTCACGAAGCTTGCTCACGTCCCTCCCACAGCTTTCGAACGCCCAACCTTGATATCGTCATCGACCAGCCGAGGTTGTCAGCGTGATACGCGGAGTTAGTTTGCAGATCGGCAATTCGACCATTTGAGTCTTTCGAGACGAGCTCAATAGCGCTCCAGCCTCTCAAAAAGGAGTCATCTAAGCGCAGTGTAGAAGCGAGAGTGGCACAAAGCTTCGGGAATTGGAACGAGTCGGGACGCAGCGTCGCGGGTATCGCAGGTTCAACCCTTTGATCTGGTCTAGACCGGCATACACTACGCCCTGCCGAAGATGGACGAAATGTGAGCTGGCTTCGCACTCGTCGTGGTGCGATTTGGAGGTCAGAAGTGGCGCATATCTGCGGTGTAGCAGCCACACTGACACCTCTTTGATGGTCAAACGCAATTCGGTGGCGCAGCAACAAGATTCCACCGGTCACTCGCACCATGCTGGCTTCGCTCATGGCAGTGACCATCCCAGTGCTGCTCAAGCTCATCAGCCCCTACCACTTCATTCTTTGGTGGCCCATGATCACCAAGAAATGGCAATTCTGGAGGTTCTACACTGCTTTCTTCTTCGGATCAAGTGGCATACAGTTCTTGTTCGATGTGTTCATGCTTTTGTGAGTAGGCATCCGCATCGCAGAGGTACTGCCCTCGAAAGATGCAGGTCGCCACGCGCCAGAAAGGGCCGTTCGGCGGGAGGTGCGACGTTGCGCTTCGCGACATCACAGGAGCGTGACCAGAGTCTGACACGAGCATCATCACAATGTCTATCAGCCGCAACGCTTCAGAGCTCGAGATCGGTCATTTTCATCGTCGCACAGCCGACTTTGTCAGGGCTATCTTCGTCGTGGCCATCGTCATCGTAGTGAGTGGCAGCCCGTTGTCTGCCCAATGCCTGTTTGAAATTCAAAGATTCTCAAGCACACGCCTTCGCCTTCATGTCCATAGGCGACGAATTATCCGCTGTCCAACAGCGTCCTCTTTCATCCATTGCTCAGTGGCTTGAGTGTAAGTCGCGATTGCACAGCTCAATGCGGCGAGCGATGCACGCAGTATACTGGACGATCGAAGTGTGCGCAACAAGCTCATCCACACTTTGCATTCACCTCTCTCTACACGTTCAGTACCTGTGGTCGAGAGCCAATCCGCATGGCAGCGTGTCTCTCTTTGGATTCGTGACGATCCCGGCTCGATGGGTGCCTTACGCCTATCTGGGGCTAGACGTGCTGATGGCGGGACCACCCCAAGCCATTCTGAGCGCGACGGGCATCATAGGAGGACACACGTACTGGTTTCTAGAGCACATTCTGCCCGAGTCTAATGGAGGAAGGGGCCCAAGGTACCTGCCAGCTACGCCTGCTTGGCTTAGGAGACAGTTGCCTGATAGTGTGGATCCCAACCAGAGGGGGGGAGGAGGGCAAGGCGGAGGAGGGGCAGGTGCTTGGGCACCTAGGGGACGCGCCTTCGGTGATGGTGGAGGAAGTGCAACCACATCTTCTTCTGGAGGATCTGCTGCGAACATGGCTGGCAGAGGCAGATCGCTTGGAAGCAATTCTGGAACGGGAAGCAGCTGGACAAGCACAATCAGCAACTGGATGACTGGTACTGGAGCTGGTGGAGGAGGATCTGCGGCTAGCTACGCTGCTCCTTCAGCCTCTGGATCACGCACCAGCAATGTCGGAGGCCCAAATAGGGAAGAGATGTATCGAGCGGCCGAAGCGAGACTGAAGAAGATGAGGGAAGGCAGCATCGCCGGCAAGAACGAAAAGGCGAGCGCATTAGCCGCTGCTGCTCGAGCTGCCAACGCAGAAAGTGCGTTTACGCGCAGGACAACAGCCGGCTCGGTCGGCTCGAGCGGTTTTGCGCGATCCGCAACTTTTGCGGAGATGAAAGCGAGGGAGGAAAAGGAGTCTGAAGGGGGGAACAAGACCGGAAGTGCGAGTGGAGGAAGGGTGATGGAGGAACGAAGAGATGCGGACGATGATCCAGATGACGCACGTCAACGAGCCGGGGTGAGCTCTGATGGCCCTGCTGATAGCTGGAAAGGCAAAGGAAGAACACTTGCGGATTGATCACGACGGCAGATGACGGAGCTCTAGCACTCGGTCAATCACGAATGTTGGCAATCTGTCTGAGGTCTCTTTGCTGCTTCAATCACAATGTCACAACGATCTTGGGGCTCAGCAAATTTGGCGCAAACAGTCTGCATGGTTTGGGTGTGAGACACTACGTGATGCAGTCACCGTGACGGGTAGCTCACACTGACACTAGAGCGGGGCAGTAGAGTAGCCCTCACAGCGTTAATGGCGGATGCTACTGATTGCGTCCTCGGCAAAGTGTCAAGACCCACCATACAGGCCACGCGCGCCAGTTGTGACCACGCACCTTCGTCTCCTACCGTCAGATTTTCGCCTTCGCAGACGTAGTTGCGTAGATAGGATGCGGAGTGTAGATGGCCCTGTCACTCTTAGGACCAAAATCCAGCCTGCCTCCACAACCGCCGTAGATGCGACTCGAACGACTAGGTACCGTCGCTCGCTCGTCCAACCAAGCTCTGCACATTTCCCATATCTCTCTGGAGGCGGAAGAAGTTCCGACTTCTTTACGAATCCAGTCTATGTGTCCTATGTGGGATGGCAGCTGCTCCTGCTCCTTCGCATCGACTTGCGAAGACCCTCGAACCCAACCATTATGGTTGACGTCCAAGTGTATACGCGTCAAGGTGGAGGCGTTCGGAGAGCGTCCGACAGATTCTGGATCAGGTGGAGAACCGCTCTTGTATGCTGTGGCTCCAACCGGATCTTCCTCTCCTCCGGCCTCCCAGTAAGCCTTCTCCCGAGCACTCTCAACCAGAGAAGCATTATGGCCTAAAGGTCTCAAGATGGCGTCGACTCGACGAGCCGAGCCATTGCCTATCAGCTCATCATCGCTGAAGAGGATGGACAAGACCGGAAGATCGTAATGCTGCACTGCTCGTTGCCAGCCCGAATCTCCCTCGTATGCGCCGTACCAAGACGGAGACTCGACGATCATTCCTAGCCAATCATTCACTTGTGCCAAAGTGATGGGATTTCCTAAACCCCATTTCTTGAGGTTCGCAAAACCTTCTTTGTGAGACTCTTGCACTATGAACTGACCTGCTTCTCTGGAAAGGTCTGCTGTGGGAGAGTAGCCCCACCATCCGCTCGAAGATCCGACGGCCAAGACGCGAGAAATTTTAAAGTCTTGCAGAGCATGAGGTCCAACTTTGAGCTCGTCCAATGCCAAAGGTAAGATGGATCCACCAAGCGAATGACCGACGATGCACAGCTCTCTACGTCTAGTCGGCTCGACTATGCAATGCTCTTTCCACGCATGCAGCAGGACGGCAGGGTAGTCTCTGCGACCTATGTGCTCGTATGTCGCTTGATGTCGATGAGCTTTGAGACAAGTCTCGAGCGCTGCCACGGATTCGAAACTTGATGCGTCCGCGTTTGTCTCAGGAATGGAAGTGCTTAAACCTGTTGGCCCTGCGGCGTACGACGCAGGGAACGAGCTTCCGGTCATGCGATAGTCGAATGCCAGTACAGTGTGACCATAGCTGCACAAGAACCTGCGCAGCATGGTTGGCGCGATCGAGGCTTGATCAATTCATGCTAAATTCCACGCTCTGCGGTGTTGGCAAACCTTCTCTCGAAGGTCGCCTTTGCGACGCACGATGCTCAAGACTCACGCAGCAAAGTGCTTGAACAGCTTGCAAGGAACGCCGGTAGCTGGAGCGAGAAGGATGACGGACTTTGCTGCATCTTGTGCGAGCTGATCCCTCTGCTTGCCGGGCTGCCAGACGATAACGCCAAGGGGCCACCCGTCATACAGCGCCCTCACTGTGACTCTTGACTCAGTCACGGAGACGTGATTGTCCGACATGTTGTGAAAGGAGTCGTGAGCAGAGCCAGTGTGCTGGCTGGAATCCTCGTCCCTAGGTCGAAGTCAAGAGACAACATTGCGATCAGTCACGATGCTCAAACGGCAAATCCTACGCTTGCGAGCTGGATCGCATCCATTTACCTTTTATCTGTACTAGTGACGCTTGCGTTGCAAGCCACCGCCCTTGACCGGCGTGTTCATTTGAGGCAGACATTACCAATGAAAGCTGGTGCGCGTACAGTATACCTTGGTCAACGAGACCGGTTCTCGGCAGTACGAGTTGCCGGTATAGACATGAGGGATTGTGAGTCCTTTGGAGGAGGGGAAAAGGGGGCTGCCAGACAATTAGTGATTTGACGACTGCCGGCGGAGGATGGGTGCCGGATCACTCCCGAGACCCAAATTGCGTGACACATTCACGTTGAGAGGAAGCTCATAGGGGCGCAATCGCTGTGAGACGATTCGTGGTTCGACGAGAAAGCGTTTCATAAAGCGAATATCAAAAGTCGCATTCAGATTCAAGATTCGCATTGTTTGATTTGCGAGCGGTGGGACCCCTGCGCCTGGCCGTGTCTACATCGATCATGTTTTGGTGGAGCGCGTGGGTCATGACTCGTGAATGAGCAGGCGGCTCTCACCTCTCCCCTCGGATATTCGTACCGAGCTTTGCCATCCGAAGCGCGCGCAAGGCTGCCGCTCGCCGCATCTGCACATGTGCTCGTGGCGCATCACGCACGACCGAACTCAGCAAAAGGGCTCAATTCACGGAGCTCCGCAACAGCCGCCTCAGAAGCACCGATCACGAGTCGTGGTGTAGCGTCTCGACGAGAGGTGAGTGAGCGGGTGTGAAGGTGGGGGGCGCGCTTCATTTCGATCCACGAGAGTAGCATGTACATGCGAATAAAATTGATCGAGGACCAGCCTCTGATGACGAAGACTAGTCGAGGTGAGGTAACGGGGTTGAATACAGGTACAAGGAGCGTGTCGAAAAGTGAATTGCGAAGCGTCGATAGCCATGGCTGCGAGCGCGAACGAGTGTGTGGCCCCAAGCAGACGCGAAGGAACAGGGCGGCGGTGGACACATTAGCAAGATTTTTCAAAACCCACAGCCAGAGTCAGGTGTCCAGAGAGAATGGACGCGCGCGGATTACGCGAAGCGAAGGATCTTACGGCGCCAGCCCGGTGCTCGCTCAGAAGCTCTCTTCTTCATCTTCGTTGTAGCGAGGCATGGTCTCGATGGCGAGCTGGATCTGCAGAGCAGCTTCGACCAAAGCTCGAGAGCACGTGCCGCAGTCTGTAGTCAGCCGATTGGCAAAGTGGTGGGCGGTCAGCTTTTCATCCAACTTGACAGACAGCAGAACCCTCGGAGAGCAGCTCACCAATCTGACCAATCTCGGTGAGAAGTTTGGTCATGACATCCCGACTTTCAATAGGCTTTCTCGACCCGTCTTTGTTGGCTTGTCTAGGCCAAGCCAGCTTCTGCTTGAGTTTGGTCAGAGGACTGATGATACACACGCCTCCAGTCTGGTAGCATTGACTTTCGAGCTCCTTCGGATCAACCGTGATGCTGTTGAGTGTGTCCTGATAGTGCTGCTGACGACGAGTATGGAATGCTGCCAGCTTCTGATAGGCTGCAAAGCCCATCAAATTAAAGCTGGTCGACACGCGGCAATACCAAATTAGCGCTAGGCGGCTCCCAAAATAAAAACAAATGCCGACTCACACCAGCTCGGGAAGACGATGAATATCGTAACGGACAGAACGCTCCGCTGCAGCTTCTTCGAGCGCAGGCAGATGGTACCTGCAATGTACCGGATTGGGGGGGGGCGCAAATCAGTCAGCAGCGGTAAGAAGATCTAGACCGAGCGTACATGGTCGCTCACATAGATCCAACAGCGAACGTCATGAAGGGCGAGAGCGAGCTGAGAGACCAACGGACACATGAGTCAGCTGTGCCACATTACCAAATCGATTCGAGTGACGTACCCCAGCTGTTCTTGCTCCGCAAAGTAGGATGCGGCGACATCCTTGGCGCGAGCACAGTCATACTTTTGCGCAGCTCGAGCGAGACGCAGGACGACTTGCCAGTCTTGCATGCCCATCTTAGGAGCATTGGTGTTGTACATGAGGCTGAAGAGGACCTTGAGCGTGCCGCTGTCTGCGCAAGGCAAGCAGCGTGGAAATGAAAGGCACTTCAGCGACTGCGGCTTAGTGCCACGCCACGACGCGAGCTCACCTTCCTCGAGCGTGTGGACCTTGCCTTCAGAAGATCCATCAACCATCTCGGAAAGTACAGCAGAGTGGACATTTAGGTTCACTTCGTGAATCTATAGTGATCGGCACACACATGATCAGCATCCGTGCAGCAAGCAGCCGTGAGCGATGAACCAATTCACCTTGAATCTTGTGACAGGCTGACGAGTGGCACCGGAGCCGGCCTCGGAGCTGACAAAGATGATGTCGCCATCAGCAAAGTCAGTGGCCTGAGCGACAGGGTCGCTGCCGGTGAAGGCGGATGCGCTGGTAACGCACAATTCAAGAAGCAGTGTCAATGCGCAAGTGAATACAAAGCCTGTCGTCGCGAGCAGCTAATACTTACTCGGTCTGATCCCAAGCCGAGATGTTGCCGTATCCGGCAGCAGCACCACGGTCGACGGACCAATCCCCAGACACAACAGCACCACGATTGCTTACAGCACTGCGGTCAAGGGCGCTGCCGTTGTCTGAGGCCAAGCTCGTGGCGTTGTTATTGTCGTCTCTGACGATGTCATTGGAGGTCTGGTTGTAATGCGAGGTACTCGGGCTGCGCTGCACTGGTTCTCGAGTGTCTTGTAGTTCAGTAGTAGCTTGACGAGTAGCGCCGGAGCTTGCGACGGTGCCGGACGTCAACTTGGATGGCTCGTTGGGCAGATTACGGGCAGGTATTGGTGGGCTAGGGGCTCTCAAGTCCTGCCGCTGGATGTGTTGAACGGAGGGAGACTGCTGCTGAAGCGACACGGTGTTGTTCATGTTTCCTCGCTGGATCGTGGAGTCGAAGTTGGACGGCTGGTGACTAGTCGACACAGGGCTGTGACCACTTGGACTCTGACGGCGCGCAGCGACGCCGGGCGGCAGAGGAGGCTGCGTGACAAGCTCACTCGCTTTCGGCCTCGGCGAAGCACCGAAAGACGTCTTGTGCGACAGGCTCTTGTAGCCCTCTTTCGGACTCTTGCCCAGACTACCGCCGATTGACACGGATGTGGCCACAGTAGAAGGCGCCATTGAACGATCATCGTCGAAGACCGAGCCTCCGGATGCGCCAGAAAACGTCGAGTAGTCATCGCTGAAGGCGACGGCGAAACGGTTGCTAGAGTCAGACTCATCTACACCTCGGATCATACGAGCAAAATTTCCTGACTCACCCTGCTGTACGACCGTTGCCTCCGCCCCCAAAGGTGTCGTTTCTTGGTCGGTGGCTGATGCCCTGGGAACCTTTCTGGCTGTTCTCGCGGCTCATAGCTTCGCCCTGTGTGCGTTGTCCAGGAATTGGAGAGCTTGGTCTAGAGTTGTCTCCGCCCGACGAGCCCCCGAAGAAGCCCATCATTTTGGAGCGAAGCTTGATTGATGGTGAGTGGGAGATGTTGACGGAGTTGAGGACGACCTTTCGCGGTCGCAACGTGACTTAGAAGGGAAGTATTAACGAGAAGACGCTGGAAGTGCAGGGAGCAGTATCATTAGCACAACTTGGGCATTCGGGGAAGGCTGCAAGGGCAGAACAGGGGTTAGGTCTCATCTTATATAGAAGCCACTCAGGCCCGGCGTAGTCCTTGAACTGGTACTCGAACAGTCCTGCTTGCGCGTCGTATGGGCCTCGATCTCTTCCACGAGCGCCTTCTACTGCGCCGTGCCTGGTATCGCGAAGAGGTCAAAGCGAGTTGTGTGCGGGGCCTGAGCGCTGATCTTAATACAACGCATCACAGCTGTGAAGCCCCATCCAGCTTTGACCTCGTAATTCACGAGTTCAGATCGCCACGGGGGTCAGTCTTTGAGTGTTCAGGCTGATGCGCGCTGTTCGTACGTCATGCGGGACGTCACAAGAGCGATCCGTGCGTTATGAAACGAGGATCCATGCGGCGCAAGCCGGATCGCGCCCACCATCGCACTGGTCCACACTAGAATGGGGCGCGAAGGTATCGTGCAGCATTGTCCTGCACCGATTTTCTCCACAAAGGTGTGTTCGCCGGTGTCGTCGGCATCGTCAAGTGAGCAAAGGTGAGGGGTTGAGTCAGCGTGTACAGCCGATGTCGCCTAGCGATGTACTCGCCACGTAGGAGGGGCCCGTGCACTGTATACGCGCGGTGTGCACTCAAGATTTTGCAGCACCGATTTTCAGCGTCGTAAGCACACGCCCTCTAGAAACAGGATCAACGACGCGGAAGGGGCTCGAGCCCTCCGCCGGTGCTAGTCGCATACATGGCGGCGATGAGATTGATCACGCGAATGCGGACGGCCAGAATTGCTTGCGCGACGCGATTGGCATGAGAGGCAACCGGCTTCCTGCGAGGATGCGCTCGAGCCCAATTCTCGGTCGAGCCAAATTTTGGCACACAAACGCCGTGGCTGGACCTGACACGCTTGAAACGTCGCAGGCGATTGATCTCGGTGAAACGTCGCAGGCGATTGATCTCGGTGAAACGTCGCAGGCGATTGATCTCGGATCGAGAGGGGCACGCATGCCACAATCCTACGCAGGTGCGCTCAACAGAGATTGACGTGGCGCGCTGGAAGTCGCTCTCAAATTGATATGCCGAACTCGAATCGAACCTCTTTTGGCGGATGAAGTGCGTCCAGCGACATTGGTGAGGAAGTGTCTGCAGCTGAACCCGTAAGCAGCAAGAGTTTAATGTCCTGATGACGTCCTGATCACCGGGGCAGACTCTGACGCGTCTCGTACCTTCCGACTAAAGATCTTCCATTCTCTAAGGCATCGCGAGTGATCTGAGCGCTTAGAGCGGAATCCTCAAGGGTGCCGAGCTAATCATTGAGAGGTTGAAGGAGCCAGAGGATGCAGCCGCAGCTTGCGTACCGGCTCTTAATACATTGCGCGTCCAGAATGTGCAACCCTACACTCATCTACTCTTTCTCTGGTATCCTCGCCCAGGGCTACCTATTCGTCTGTCCAGCGTCCGATGCGCCATTACCTCCTGCCGCTCCGTTCCCGTTGCCACCTTCGGCATTTTCTTTGCCCTTCTTCAGGATCTCGGCCCATTCCGCCTCTATGCGTTCCCTGGCTCGGACAATTTTAGACTGCACGTAAAATGATCCTTGTCCGCCACCGGACTTGCCCTTTGGGGCTGGCGGGGCATTCGTGTTGAAAAGTTGCGTATACCTCTGCAGCCAGGGTAAGAAGCGTAAGCCGGGCGTACTGTCAGACTTTTCACGTTCGCGCCGGTCGCCAAAGAATTCGATCGAAGTGCATCCATCTCACCTTCTCCAGCTCCTGCGCAATCTCTTCGCCACCACTGGCGACCTGTTTGGCGTCCAGGTTGAGTATCATTCGAGCCTCATCAAGAGTCATTCGGTGCGTACGCGTCAAGGCATCTCGAGCAGAATTGCCAGTCGATGCTCCCGCCGCACCGGCCTCCACTGGGGCCGCCCTGGCATCTGCAAATGAGCGCGGTCGAGCAGTAGTGTCAGCACGACGCATGCATCAACCTTCAACAATACATCTCGAAATTCTGGATCGGTAGCCACGACTCACTTCGGGCGGCTTGCCTGCCAGCCTCTGCGAAGGCTTTGCCAACGATCTGAGTGCCGAGGAAGAGAAACTATAATCCAGGCGATCAAGAGGGCGTGAGCTGCTTCAGCACTAGAATATGCAGGGCAAGGCCTGTCGCTTGTACTCTACGCTGCAGCGTGTGATCGAACTCACCTGAGCCAACAACCTGGGCAAAGACATGGTACCTGCCAACCCTTGGGCGTTTTACCTCGCCACCCCGTTCAAGGGCAATCTGCTGACAAGACGCCAAATATAAGCGTGTGTGAGTCGTGGTGCACGGCTTGAGATGCGCTACCCCGGTGTGTCAGATGACCGGGCCTGGACGTTGGATTTCGACTGTGTTGAATGATGAGGAGGTCTCCAGCCGAGTGGGGAACCTGGTGTGACAGTCAGCGGAGCGAGGCCTGCAGTCCGATGTAGGAAGAGGAGAATAATGGCTGCAGAGCTCGTGTATCTGGGCGACGTACGACTGATGGACGAGCGAGTGAAGGATAATGATGAATGCTGGCGCCTAGCTAGAGGTCACATTCTCAGAACTTGAACGAGGGGGGCTTGTCGTGAACAGTCAAAATCACGAATCACCCAGCCAAACTTATTCTGTCAGCGTTGGGCCGCATTCGTGCGAAAGAGTCGTCTTGGTCGTCTTGTCACGTGAATAAAGCTCCGCTCGAAGTTTGCGCGCGCGCGTGTACGCTGGTCAAGCACCTATATACATCGTGAATACAGTTTTGAGTTTTGAGTAGCTCTTCTCGTGTCTGATGCTGCAGATGCTGCATGCTGGGCACGCTCGCGGTTGTCCGCGTGCGCGCACGCGGAAAGATATTTGTATTGTAAGTTGGTTTGTAGTTGACGGAGCTTGTAGGTTTGGATCGACCCACGCCGGGCGCAGTCACCTACAGTGTACGTCCCTCGTTGCAGCTGATCACAACTCCTCGATCGTTCTCGACTCATCAGACTCTTCCGCTCATCACTCACGACTGAAGATTCGATCGACTCGCGAAAAGCTATCAACGCAAGTCCACCTCTCGGCGAGCTTGTTCAGGCTGCTGATTCGAAAGCAATCAATCACCCAGACTGGTGACTACTTTGAGGCTGAGCGCGACATTGCGCGCACGCGTTTCTCTCGCACTCAAATCAGGTGTCAGCGCAGCCGCGCCGCTATACGCCAATAACGCCTTCATCAAGCATATAGCAGAGCGTGGTAAATTCTGCTTGCAACGACACCGCCGGCCACTCGCTTGGAGCCCTTGCCGCCTCGGCCTTCTGTACTCGTCGATCTCGCCCCCTCCTCTGCCCTCTTTGCGGCCCGTCCCTTTGCCCACCATGGCTCCAAATGACCCCGACGACCTCTACTCCGACTTGTATGGCGAGGAGGGCGACATTGGCGCCAACGTCGTGGATGAGCAAAATCATACAAACAACGACGATATTTACGGTACCTCGTCTACCGCCAACAAGTTTGGGCCCGATTCATCCGCTACCGCTCACGCACAATCCACCGCCTCTCGTTCCTTCATTCCGCCCCCTCCATCGGGCAAGGGGGCAGGATCCTTCATCCCACCAGATCCCAAAAAGGAACCTTTGCGAGAATCTGCGACTCCTGTGCCAGTGCCTGTACAAGCTGCTATTTACAACGACGACGCCCGCGTTCAGTCCACTCAGTCTGCTGTGCAACCTGTATCTCAACCAGACTCTACTACAAACACCTCAGGGACTATACATCGAGTAATGCCGCACGAGATGCCAGATGACGGGTGAGTTTCTGTCTCACGAGTGTCCGGCAGTGAGGTCGAGGCGCAAGTGTCATGGCGATGTAGGGAGCATCTATCTTCTGAAGCTCTACGTTCAGGGTGCGGGGACTTGTCCCGCTGGATGTCGATCTCTTGAGAACTCGACTCCTTTGTTTGCTGGGCTTGCGAGGTGCGGCGCACACATGCTGCTCGAATCGGCCCTACGGAGTGTATCTAGTACCCGCACCCAAAAGGCCATCAGGCCGTATCTCTATCCTAGAGCTGGTGCAGCCCCCAGCCAGGCTCTCCATTGGTCTACGACACCGCTACTGCACTGCGCACACATTACAGCCTCAGCCCACGTCCTTGGCGCTGTGGACAGACAGGTACACCACGTCGCACGCTTGATCGCTGGTTCAGCGTTCGGGCTATGCTTTCGAAGCCCAAGTCGGCCTGCAGAAATAGTCAATAGGTGCATTGTCTGCGAGCGTGGACGGTGCCGGTTGTGGGCGCAGGCCAAGGGCTGCAGATCGTTCCTCTCGAGTCATTGTGGCAGGAGCACCGACCGCTGGTCACATTCAAAGCTCGCTCTGACACTGGTGCCCAATGGCTGCACATCTACTTACACGCTGTCTCCCCATTCTCTTCCTCGCTTGCGATGCCCTTTCATCGACCTACCTGCGCATACACGCAGGAAGATGTTTGTTGGAGGGCTTAGTTGGGACACCAACGATGGTGAGCACCCATCATTCCCCGAAAGAGCGCACGCTCGCCCGATGCCTTCTTGTTGCTGAAAAGACTGAAGTTCCTCTCGATCCGATTTCAAAATGCGTCATTGCAGAGGCTCTTGCGAAGCACTTCAGCCAGTACGGCAAGGTCACCCACTGCACTATCATGCGTGAACCGGGCTCTGGGAGATCGCGAGGGTTTGCCTTCCTCCGCTTCGCCGACCCTTCGACAGTCAATGTCGTCATGGTGAAGGAGCACTTCCTGGACGGGAAACTTGTGAGCCTGAATAGAATTGGGGGTCATGAATCACTGTTCGGTAGTATCTGATGGCCGATGGGTACTGCATCCACCTACAGATCGACCCCAAACGCGCAGTTCCTCGAGGAGACAGCCAAAAGACGCTACGCTGCTTTGTTGGTAGCATCCCTCAGACAGCCACATCCGAATCCTTTAGACGCACCTTTGAACCCTTTGGGGAGGTTACGGAGAGCAACCTGATGATGGACAACCAGACAGGCAGGCCTCGAGGATATGGGTTTGTCTCCTTCACCACTGAGGAGAGCGCCGAAAGGCTGCTCGCCTCGCAGCCACTCTATCTGGATGGCAAACAGGTATGTAAGCACCAAACGCGCCGCACCGTATCGATCAGCTCAGCTCACGTTGAGCGTTTTTTGATATGCAGATCGAAGTCAAGAAAGCACAACCAAGGGCCGATCGCAATGCAGACAATGGTCGAAGAACCAACGTTCGCGATGTGCAGTCACAGCGCGACGCAGGCTCGTCTACAGGCGGTGATACCTCCTCGAGCCTGCCAACGGGCATAGGCATGGGAATGACCAATGGCGGAGCCTTCGACCCTCAAGCTATGGCGCAGTTCTTCCAACAGACCGGGTGGGGCAACAACTTCAATCCGATGATGTTCCAGCAGATGATGATGGGCGGGGCCATGGGGGGCATGCCAGGCATGATGGGTGGTATGGGCATGCCTGGTATGATGGGTATGCCGGGCATGCAGGGTATGCCGAACATGGGTGGCATGGGCATGCAAGGGGGTTATCAAGGACAGATGGGTCAGAATGGGATGGGAGGTGGCGGAGGTGGAGGTGACAATTACGGCCACTCTTCAAGCTGGGGACAAGCAGGGACAGGCGGTGGGAACGCAAATGGCCGATCAACTCACCGCGGCTCGCCAATGGATCGAGCGACCGGTTCAGGAAGTCGCGATGGAGATCGTTATCACTCGTCTAGCGCTGGGCACGACCAGAGCAGAGGAGGCAGAAGCCCCGTGCCGCCGCAAACCCATGCGCTGCCTCGTAGACCGGAAGCCAGCCTACCACCCAGACCCAACATGTCAGCGCGCGGCATTTCTTCTTCGGAAAGGCACTCAGCTCAGCCCGGCGAAGGAGAGCAGTCGAACCAACAGCAGCAACACGGAAGACGATCTAGGTCGCCACAAGCTCGAGAGGACTCGTCCAGGACGCGAGAAAGGTCCCCTAGACGTGGAGGCGACTACGGTCAGAGGCAAGGGAGATGGTGAGAAAATTCATGTAAGAATCTGGGACCATGTGTCGCACACCAGAATGACGGTGCTCGAAATGATGCGCACGCAATATTATCGTCAATGTACGAGAGAGTTCATTCGTTGTTAGTCGCACACCACTCTGCTTTGAATGCTACGTGGGTGCGTCGTGTATGGAAGAGAAGTGTCTCCGTCAAGAGCTGGGGTGTTTGATTCGAACGCTCAAGAGTATGACATCTTCCCTCACGTGACTAAGCTATAGCTTCACTTGAAAGGAGCCGCTCGATGACCCGACCGACTAGACTGCTGAGCGAGGCTCATCATTCACGAATGCGGCTTCTGGTCACAAAGGATCGCACATGTGACTGTCCGTCGGACGCAGGATATTGGTCGAATCGCGTGAGTCGCAGTGTGAGTGTCAAATCCTCAGCATGTGGCTTCTCGATCTTGCAGCTGCATTCGTCATTTCACAAATCCACACCTTATGGTGTAAGGTGGAGGGGGACGCGCCCTGCTTGCCTCACAAAGCCACCGCGCGTCAAGAGCGCGGCACCGCTTGCATCATTCGGCATGCCTTGCCTGCATGCACCCTCGCAAGCCATGCACCTCGCTTACACCGCAAGCGTGATCGTGGCTCGTGACTGTACCATTTCACGAGGAGGTATCGTTTTGTATGCCCGCATCGTGCTGAGCAAATCGATCACCAGCATTCACAAAGCAAAATTTGTGGCTTACAAGGACCCTGACCCTGAACTTCGGAGTATCCGAACTACCTGCGACTCTGGGTTTGCGTGGAAGCTCTGCTTCAATTGACGTCGATTTCAGCAAGCCACCACGTCATGATCCTCGGACATTTCGAAGCCGGCCAAGTCCGCCACACATCATGGCATCCACTCGACAGCACGCCTTTCAAAAGTTTTGCATCAAGCATACTCTCACAGTCTGCGTGTCAGGCGAGGAAGTATGTTATTCTCGTTTGGATGCCATTGCGTGGTGGAGTAGCGTGTGTGCACGGCACGCACAGGCCTTTTTTGTGCTGATTTGAGGAGTGCAGGGTGTAATGTACCAAGGCACTCGAAGATGGAGCAGTGGGGATTTGTGGAGGAAGAGAGGCTTGCAGCGTGCTTGTGAAAGACGGTGAAATTCATTGAGGTCCAGAGTTGCGGGATACATTGAGTTGATCGAAATCGGTTTGTTTTGATTGCTCTTTGAGGGCGATTGGAAGGCGTGAACGTTTGGCGTGATAATAGTGGGTTTGAAAGAGGTAAGATGATGGGGAAATGCAGTGCTGGGAAAGGATGTGTGATGGCACGGGTTGGGTGCGTCCGGATGTGATGATCGAGGCCAGAATGCGACGTGTTCACTCCAATTCGAGATCGACATCGTCGTAGCCTTGTTCGGCCACCGAGTCAATCGACCGCAAAGGCGCCTTAGGACCGGGCAGGCTCACCGTCGATGCTGACGTTTTGAAGTTGACCAGATCCTGGCCAGGCTCGACTTTGATATCGCGATTTGCTGACGTCCGACGACGCGAGTCGCGTCGAGCTGAGACAGACGATTGACGAGCAGTCGGGCTTCGGCCTCTTCTCTCTTTGACAGAATCCTGATGGGTCTCGACCGAAGGCGAAGCTGATCTGAGTTCACCGCGCGTGCGAACTGTGGAGGTACGACCTCGCTCGGTGCTTGGCTCCGAGCGCTCCGCTGAAAGCTGTCGCGACCCGCGTGTTGTACTTGACATGCTCATTCGGGAAGAGAAGGAATCCTCAGAAACTCCTCGCCGAGCATTCAAGCGCTTGGGACTGGGGCTGCGACGAGCTGTGCTGCTCTGTCCTCGCGCATGCGACCGGCCTCTGGCGGGCGGAGAGGAGGGGCGTCGATAGGAAGCGCGTTGATTCCTGCTGTAGCTCTCCAGCTTCTCGGCGGATGATGAGCTAGCGAGCCCTGCGGGCGCATTTTCACGCTGTGCAGCCTGTTGCGCGACTGCCTCAGCAGTACTAGTCGCAGGCTTCAATGCTGGAGTCATGAACAGGCCAGCCTTGGCCGCACGTGCAGACAGTTGAGGCTTGCCGGGAGTGATAAGATCGTCTTGGCTCTCTTCCATAGGTCCTGAAAGGCCCGCGCGAGCGCTGTGTATGTGCCCTTCACCGTGCGCCTTGGGCCTGACAGGACGTCCAAGGACCGGCTCAGGAGACACAGTAGATCTCCTTTCCCGCGAGAAAGTCGGATTCCAGCTGGAGGGATTCGACTCCAAGGGAACGCGGTTCGTGTTTGGACCTCGGCATCTGCGCGAGCAAAAATCCATTCAATCAACACCGAGACTGAAGCAAGCGCTGAGTATGATAGCAAGAAACTCACCCTGGACGCCCACAAACGACGCCGGCCAGTGCCCTAGTTGGCGTCTGAGGCGACATAGCGCGCAATGTCTTTCCTGCCGAGCTGGCTGCCGAGACGCTTTGATCCGGGCTTTTGGACCCAGGCTTGCCCGTAAGCATAGGCATCGCATTGACGGTAACGTCCGAAGTCGCTGCGGTCGATGTGGAAGAACGTCGAGCAAACATGATTGGCGAGGTGAAGGTGTCCATCTTTATGGAGGCGCGCCGACCCGTTGGCTTTTGGGTCTGAGGCATTGCAGATTGAGCGACGAGATTTTCCACGTCGGCGAGAGACTTGCGCTTGATGGTACGCTGTTCTTTTCGCAGGGCTGCGTCGGCGGGGCTAGCCTTGCTTGCGACACGCTGTACTGCAGTCAACGCCGGTGAGGTGAAGAGAACGGGCGGAGGAAGATTGGTCCTGCTTGGCCTTCTTGCGTAGCGCATGGTGGCCGTCGAGGTCGCAGACGAGGAAGCTGGAGGCGATTTTGGTGTTGCGTGATGAGAAGACGGCGACTTTCGCGAGAGACTTGGCGAAATGGCAGCCGATGAGGGTGCCACATGCTGCTGCGCAACAAGGGCGGGGGAGTTTTGAACGGTCGCCTTGTCTCTAGAAGCAGACTTGAGCAGCACTGTGCTGGCAGGCTTGACGCTGGGCGGGAGCACAAGAGAGGAAGGCTCAAAGTCGTCCAAGTCGTCATCCTGCGCACACACTGCGGGAGACGGTGTGCTTGGCACCGTTGAAAAGTTGTCAGACGCTGATGAGAAGGTGCTGCGCGATGAGCTCCTCCTATTTTGTGCTCGATCAGCGACGGCTGAAACGCTGTCGTCGCTTGAGGAGATTGAGGCTGATGTAGTGTCTGCGACATCGTCCAGCGCTTCGGATCCACGCGGCAAGCTTCTCTCCAAGGCCGTCAGAGCTGGCGATGTCAAAGCCGATGTCTTGTAGCGAGCCAGGAAATGAGGTGAGGGCGGGCATGGGTAGCGAAACTTGTGCTCGAACTCGTCAGCAGCTGCAGGCCTACCGTCGCGTTTGGCGAGTGCTGGCGCAGACGAGTCAGCGCTGTGCAGATGAGATGGCCTAGTCGCCGGTGAGACTGTCGCTGCGTTGGCAGCTGACAGAATGCTGGGACCAGCCACGGCCAGAGCGGCAGGAGATCCTTCTTGCTCCGCTCCAATGGACCCGCAAGCGAGGTGCTGACCACTGCGTGGTTGAGCATCCCCCTCCCTGCAGGCGTCGGAACAGTAGAGCCTGGCACCTTGGACTGCGCTTCCACAGTTGGCACAGATCTCATCGTCTATCCATCCTGCATGCTCATTGGCCGGTGTCGAGGGCATCTCCGTCGACTCTGTCCGCCTGCGGAAATGTGTGAAGGAGCGAGCGACGATGCTAGCCATGCTGGGCCGACCGCGTCCGACGCGGCTGGCTGACGTGTTTGATAGAGCTGCCTCGGCTGCTCGACTCAAGTAACCATGTGGCGACTTGGACTGGGAACGTCGGACCTTCTTATATGGCGCGGTGAGGGCTCTGCGAGTGGCAGATTGGTGGTTCAAGGAAAGGGGGAGACCTTGCGTGTGGTAAATTAGGGGACGGCTCCTAAGGAGTGGGCCAATAACGCGTCTGTGGGTGTGTGCGCACGAAAATTTCCAAGGGCTTGTGGTGAGAGTATGACCACAAATTGGAGGAGATGAAGTATCGGCGCTATGAGACCGCCGAGAATGTACTACTTTGGGGGAGCGTGTTTGAGGTTGTCGAGAGTCAAAATGAGGTCGTGCCGAAGAAGAATGCGAATCAATTGTGATGCCACATTCGCAAGTGGGTGTCGGTTAAGTCACCCTGCACGGCACACACCGCATCGCACAGCACAGGCCGTCGAGTCAGCTCAGCATGGGTCGCGATCACGAAATCATGAATATTCAAAAGAAAAAATGTGGGTGAGCCAAAGGGTTCCACGCAGGCAAGGGTGAAATGTCCGCATAGGGCCGAATACAAAGATCGCTATCATGGCGCCATCGCTGCATGGCTTGCTTTCAAGAGGAGATGCCAAAGCTGCATATCACCTATGTATACAACAAATCGTGAATATCGGATTGCGATTCAAGATTGCGTGTGGAACCGCGCGCAGGCGCATCTAGCTGCAGCTCAGAGGGGGGCAGCGGGTGGGGGCAGAGGGGAAAAGGAGGGGCGGCCCTTTTGTCTTGCTGCAGGTCTTGAGCGTCATGCAGGGCGTTGGCAGCATACTTTAGGGTGCGCGAGGTTCGCAGGCACTTCCCCTCGAGCCGTGCGCGATTATCATCTTCAGCATCGCAGCAGCAGCGCCTGCACATTCACACAGTGTGAGTCCAATAACCTCATCAGCAGCAGCATGTCTCCACATCATCAACGCGGCCGCGGCATGCATGACGATTGCTGATGATGACCGCCGCGCGTGCTGCGAAGGCGTGATTTCACGGCCGTTTCAACGATCCTTTCTTGCTTTCTTCTTGACGGCACCAAGCCTTTACCTATCTCCGCATCTTGCCGGTGTCGTCACGTCGCTTTGACCTGTGCTCACACCAGCAGAGCGCCATCGACGGTGCTCACACACTCACGACTGGCTTGTCGCTCAGCTAAGTACGTATACTGCACTAGATAACGAGATACGCGGCGCCGCAACTTTGGACTCACACACAAATGCACCCCATCGAGACCAATGCAGCGGTGCATGCCTAAGTTCACGCAAGGTAACGCGCACCTTCGACAGCAACGTGCTTGACTTCTGACTTGGCATACCGAAGCGAAGCGAGGCGCCACCCTGGCAGCTTGGCACCGCCACGCTCTTCTGAGCCGTGGATCTTTGCGAAAGCGCAGCGTAGAACCAGCTAGCATACCGCGGTGTGCAGTCCTTCTGCAAGACGTGCTTGCATGGTAGAGGGGTGGATGGCGAGCAGTGCATGATCACCTGCTGCCATGCGTCTTCATGCACTTAGCTGCGTAACCGGCATCGGCAGTGGACACCCCGCTTGAGGGTCGCCTCCGTTGTCACCCACAGCACGAACGTGCCGTAGGGTCCCTCCCTCGTATGCGCACGCCATGACGCACACTCCCTGACTCGCATCGGCCTTCCAGTACCGCTTGCCCCACTCAAACGCACCTCACTCCTCAGCGATGCCCCACATACAACGATGCGAGCCGAGGAGAAGGCCGTACGGATAGAGGCAGCAAGCAGTCTTTGTAGGCGCGCTAGGCTAAAGTCAAAAGTGCTTTGATGATGAACAAACAAACTCTCCTCTCCTTCGCAAGGAGTCGCGAGATGAGCAAGCAGTAGCTCCACATGTCGTGCTCCTCGAGCTGCGCATTTGCTCATCGGCTCGAACGTTGAATGACGATAGATAATCTTCGTGCGCGGACATCGATAAGCCGCCAGCACGGCCCCCCTATCGTAGCATTGATCGACTCCGGCGTTATGCTAAACGGCCCGAGCTGCCTTGCATTTGCGCAACGTAGCCTTGAGTGCTGCGATAGGGGAGGACGTTTCCTGGACTACGATGTAGCGGGACGAGTCTGACACATCTGCGAAGGTCGTTTGCCTGACCCTGCGAAGGTCGCTGAAGGTCACGCCGACGACATCGAAAGAATCACGTCATGCACCAATCGTGACTGACCACTACTTACTAACTACTGAGTTGGCAGTCAGCATGGGATCGAGCTCGATTCGTGATTTTCCTTTCCACGCGCACGGCTGGCTGTAGAGGGTCACGCCTTGAGGTCAGCCCAAGCCAACGTTCACAGGGATCCAAGAGCACGTCTTCTTCGCGAAAGGCGACGAGCTGCCGTGCCGAACCGCTGCGAGGCTCTTGAGCAGCTTCGTTCGTTGTGATCTGCGCTCGCTAGGAGTCGAGCCCAGACGCCGAGAGGAACATTTCCATGTTGAGGCAGCGACCCAGGCGCTTGAAGGCGCAGGGGCAATACTTTTCCACTCGAAACACCAATGAAGGGATGGCTCATCTCCCACCCAGCAGACTGAGCCCCGACTTCGCTGCTCTGCGCAAGGTCCGCGTGGCGCGATGCCTGAAACGGCCCGACGAGTAGCAGCTCGCTCCGGCTTGGTCATGAGAGGTGTCGATGGGAACGAGATTCACAAAGCGACCCGTGCTCGGGTCGCAACAGCATGTACACCAGCTGCGTGCTTCTCGCCTTCAAGCCGCTCACAAGATTTGCGAGCGATGTGGTACCATGCGAATACGTGTTGGTTTCGATTGTGAATGTGAACCCTTGAACGAGCTCGCGTCGAAGCGCTTGAGGATGAAGTGGCGATGCGATCGAGCCCCACATTCACGATTCACGATTACAGCTCCTGTCGTGGTGCAGCAGGCTCGACTCGTGATCGCTCCTCGCCCACACGCCTGTCGCAGCGGCGCGTAGATGGCTCCGTGCGACGATGCAGCCACAACCCTCCCCGTTCACTTCCGGCTTCTCGTCCCGCCGACAAAGCAAAGCCACTCAGCCAAAAAGGTTGACATGCAGCACGTGCCTTTTGTCGAGCCTTGGCACGCCATCCAGCGGCCTGATAGTTTTGCGCGCCACTCGGACGGTGGTCTGAGCTTGGCACGATGAGCAAGCGAGGCGGCCCGCATGCTTCACATGGTAGGAACGTTTGCTTGTCTTTTCTGCTGCTGCTGCTGCTGCAGCAGCAGCAAGTGGGCTGCGCTGAGAGCAGCGCGTGGAGGCAGTGAGAGCGCAGACCTTCGCGCATGGTTCTCTAATGCCCATGCAATGATGCACTTCGGTACACGATCCTCCGCGCTAGCAACAGTTATGAATCGAGTCTTCTATGGTGGAAGAGCGTGTGAGTCTTGCCCGCGCCTTGCACAAGTCAATCTTGAATCTTCGACCATCAGCGAATTGACTTGATTTGATCACGCCGAAGGATACAGTATATGGGCGACACTCTGACTCGCACGACGCCGAATCATGATATCATTCACGATTCATGCTTGCTGCGCCCGACCTCTTCTGAACTTCGCATTCGTCTTGCTTTCATTTACACGCTGAACAGCCGTCCGATCATGCTTGTACCTTTCTTCTCTTCAAATCGCGAACAGCTATCAATCACAAATGACTTGCATCGCGCTATCATCACCCATGCAATGCGCTCCTGACTGCGCACCACCGCTTCTGCGTCAACGTGTAGCGCCGCATTCACGTTTGACCACGGCGCATGGCAGCAGCTGTGAACCTTTTCTGTTTGACCAGAACAGCGCGCAGAACAAAGGGTCGCTGCCCTTGCGCTGACCTCGCGATTCTGATCTGCTCACGACTTTCATACCCTGCTGCTGCCAGCAGCAGGATATCGCTTTTGAGCACGCAGCATGCCTTCTGGAACTTTCAAAAGTGATTTCGGAGCCTTTCGAGATCGGAGCCTTGATAAGCGGCAAGCGCGGCCGACTAAAGCCAAGGGGCGCCGCGGGGCAGCGAATGCGCCTTGTCCGAATCGGCCAAATGATCTTCTCTGATCATCTCGATGGCGAGCGCCACGCCATCTCAGCGATGAGGCCAGAATCAGGAGACACCGATATGATTAGTCGCGTGGTCTAATTAGTGACGATCACTGAACGGTAGCAGTGACGGCAAGATACACAGGCTTGGCACTCTGTCACCTCACAAACGACTGGCGGCGTGCAGATTGACGTTTGGATTGTGGTAATCATTTGGGATTTCAAGAGATGCTATCGTGATGAATCACGGGCAACACAAGCACACTGAGGCTAGATGCTCTCTAGTCGGGCGCCGAAGCTAGCTCCACAGCTCCATGCGACCCGTTGATGCGGCCTATACTTGGCAATGCTCGTCATATCCGATGGGACTTGATTATGACTCGACGCGTACCCTCGCAGTCTCAACGAGACCTCTGCAAGGTGCCTTCACCACGAGAGTCCGCACCTCTACTACAATCAAGAAGCATAGATGTATGCGGTAATCGCATCGCGGATACCTCGTCGAGGTGAATCACGAGGAGGGGACCCATCAATTCAAAGAGGTGCTGTCATGCAGTGCTCTTGACCCTGCTCGAAGCGGCATCGGGCCAATTGCTTCACTTTTTTCGGAACAACAGCAAGTCTGTGTGCAGAGAATGTCAAGTCAGCAGGCAGTCGAAATCAAAGCATAAGCACAACTGACCCGTCTTGTATGGCTGAGCAACATGGGAGCGCAAGGGGGAAATCTCAATTTTAGCACGTAGACACGACTGGGTGTGCTTGTCCTACGTCGATAGACAAGATGCTCACGTAGGCAAAGATGCCTTTCTCCTCGTCGAGCCATTTACGGTCCGGAGACGATTCCACCACTTTCCGGCAGCTATCAATGAGCTTCGTCCTTTCCGGTTCCCCGAGAACCGAAATGTAGCTGTAGTGACCCATTACGTCGTACATCAGCGAGGGTTTACGCCGCAGATGCTCAAGATGTAGCACACTCACGACTTGCTCAAGAGTCGGTCAGTGACACCTTCGATGGTCGTTGGCAGCTCGCGAGAGAAAGCTAATGGCTGGAGGTGATCGAAATCTTTCAGCGCTGGAGCGGCATATGTTGGCTCACGCCAGAGCATTCGGCGGTCTACGGAGGGCTCATGACTCTGTCAGCCTGTCGCTATTATAGCAACAGATTTGGAATTCTGCAAGGTACCTACATTGGGGTGTGTCGTTCTCATACTGCTCGTAGTGATCTCTGAGGCCAGCAACCCAGGAAGCTAAGTGAAGCAGACGTCATCATCACCTTGGACCTTCCAGGAAAAGCGCACACCTGGACCCTTTGACTCACCAGCATCTCGGTCCTCGAGATTCCACATCAGAGCAAACACTGTAGGAAGAATCACCGTTGAGCGTCCTCTCGAGGCCCTTGGTACGCGCCACAAAGACGCCAATCAACATACCTCCGCCAGGCCTTAGGGTGGAGGAAATTTCGGCGATTGCTTTCGAAAAGTCGCGCGTCCAGTGCCAGGCCTTGGACCAAGACACAAGCATTCGGTCAACAGCCACCAAAGATCACTTTCAACACGCGGCACCATCATCTCTGTACTCACTTGCGCCACGAGCACAATATCGTTGTCATGACCAGCATTGATGTTCTCGAAAGCACCATCAACAGTCTTGAGCTCGACGTCGTGCAAGGTTTGCCGGACTGGAGCAATAGCCGTTTCCCAGCCTTGTCTCATACCGGTGCTAGGTTCTACAGCCACCAATTTCGCGATCCTATCGTTTGATTGAGCGAGCAGGGCACGAGTAGCGATGCCTGTGCCCGAGCCAAGCTCTACGATGCTCAGCTTGCTCTTCTTGCCATTCGTTCTAGCAGTAGGTGCCGTCAAGATGGCCTCGATGGCCTCTGTGGGGTAGGACGGACGAGCTCGATCGTACAGCCCTGATGCACCGGAGAGGTCGAAGCCGGATCTTGCAAGTGGATGCATGGGCGTCAAACGCGACGTCACAGCTTCGACGGCGCTGCTCGTTGCAGACGAGACCTTGTCTACGACCGATGACATTTCTCTATGCTCTATGCTGGGAGACAGCGCAATGACTTTATTGCCAGGTTGATGAAAGCTTGGTCTTGCGCAATTGGAGACGGATGAGACAATCCTGGAAGAGTACCAGAGACTCGTGCGTAGGGCTGTCATGACTCTTGCGCGATGCCCAAATGAATCTTCTTGTGTGTGGTAGCTTTATATCAGAATCAATCCTCCTCCTCTTGTCGAGTCAGAGAAGCGACCAAGGTTGACGTTGGATCGAGTCATCGGCACACATTAATTAAGAGCACGCAACACCATGCACTGCTAGCCGCCCGCGGACATCAGCCCCATATATGCTCCTCATCAAGACGCCGAGTCTGGCGCATGGCTGCAGCAGCAAGGCACAACACGCTTCACTGCCGGCGTGCCGAGTTCGGCCCTTTCGGATTTACAATCATGCACCGCGTCCATAGCAGCAGAGCAGCAGCATGCGCGCGGGCGACGCGTATTGGCCTCGTGTTGGGCGCGTCGAAAAGTAACACGTACCTGATGAGACCAGCTTTGACGACCGGCCAAGCTTCATCATGCGTCACTAGTTGAGAAGCAAGGACAACGGTCCTTCAGTCGTGAGGTTGCATTCTTGCGGGACTGATTGTATAGAGTCATAGTGCAGGTGCAATGCTCGACACACAGAAGACAAGAAGACGATTCACAGGCGTGCAGGGTACAAATTACAAGGGAGTGTCCAGGGCGATACGAGGGGCAAAAGCGGGTTTCAAAATACATAGAGCATCAAGCATTCGGTGGATGACGGGCGGCGACGTCGGAGAGATTCAGCAGTGTACCAGTAGGTCCATAGCTGCGCGCCATCTTCGCATCCACAAGCAACGTGCTCGACTTTCGACGTTGCGCTGCTCCGACAGACAAGTGCGAAGGGCGAGAGATGGAAACGGATTCCACCCGGCGTCGCGCCAGCATCGTGGGCGTGTCATCGCTGCCGCCGCCGCCGCCGCCGCCGCCGCCCGGTGTCACGCTCCTTCTCGAGCTCGAAGAAGGAGTTCTGACCCGCTCATACGACCCCGACGGTAGGCGACGGCCTTCAGCAGGTGTCAGGACGATGCTGGCGACCTCTTGTGGGGACACATTCGCTGCACTTGCTGAATCGTGGAGCTCTGCGATGGTGGACCTCTTTAGATGGGTAGGTGTCGCCGTCAGCACATCACCTCCCTTGATCCAGGGCAAGTCGCTGGCAGAAGGCGAGACTGCAGATGTGGCGCCCTCGGCCATCAAGTCGGTGTAGTGGTGCTCGATATATCTGGGACGGATTGTAAGAAGCAAGCTAGGTCAATGACTGCAGACGTTTGCGCTACAATCTGGGACGCTCACCTCCCGAGTTCTTGCCAGCCACCTCCAATCCGAACCATGACGATACGACTTCGCAGAAAGCGGCAGAAGCACAGTCTTGGATTGCGTGATCCTACCCAGTATCTCCCGCTATCGTCTTTCCATGCGTCCCGTGGTGCAGCGTCCGGCGCGGTAGCAGCGTGCGCAATCTGAATCGGCTGAGGCAGCTGATTCACGATTCGAGACACGGCAACGTCAAGCTTGTTGTTGACGTTGGGTCGATACCGATTAGGATGTCTCGAACCTCTGCGTGACGACACTTTAACCGAAGAGATGGAAGTGGCACGGCTTGGCGTGCGCACTGGCAACTTGCTGCCCACCGGTGTCGACAGGGCGCTCGGCAATCTGAGATGTCCCAGAGCACCTGGTTTTTCCGGACCCGCTGTCGTCTGCTCTGTCGTCGCGGGATTCACCTCGGACGGCAGCCGTTTCCGGGGTGATCTAGGAATGCCGCTCCTTCGAGCCGCGCTCGACGTTCGACTGATTGGCCTGACTAGCGGGCTACCTTCCGAGACCGTGCGTCGCGAAGCCGAAATCAGATCGGTGGCAGCTGCAGCTGACAAGGTACGGATAGACTGTGAAGGGAGTTGCGCTTTACGCCTCACAGGAGCAGGGGACGCCTCCCTTGATGGCGGTCTGAACCCCATCGCATCGTGTGGAGAGTCCCTGCCATCAGACAAGGCCTCATATTCCGCCGATGAGACTTCCGTCGATGAAGCCGAACTCAGCGAGAACGCTGGCGAGGGCACTACGCTTTCACGCTGGCGTTGAAGGCGACGCAGCTCGGGATCGCCTAGTATTTCGTCGGCCATCGCCCGAGTTTCTCGGTGTAGGGCGTTGACATTCGCCAACGTGTTCTTGACCCGCACATCATCAAGAACGTGATCTGCAGCGATACTTGTCTCAGCAAGTAGCGTCTGTGCTCCCTCTAGCCGTTCGTTCACGACGACTGTGCCGGCGGACTTGCTCTGGGCCAGATTGCGCTCGCCTTGTCGTGATTGCGATCTGTGGTCGTCTTCTGCATCGGCATCAAGGCTGTCCAAAAGCTCTACTAGCTCTCCGAGCTGGTTCTCCAGTTGTGATGCGAGGTCGCCGAAACGCGAGAGGCGGGAGTGCCTTCTCAGTCGGCCTTGCCGTTTTGCAAGAGCGTGCGCGAGCTCGGTGCTCTGAGAACTCGAGGGCGATAGGCTCGATGAGGCTGCGTAGACTTCCTCTTCGTGGCGGCGCATCTGCGCTTGGGCTTGCTCGTCATCAGATGTGGTTGGCAGCCGCAGTAACTGCCGCTTCTGAAGGGAGCCGTCCGGGAGAGTTTGAACAAACACCTTGTCTTCTGCCTCAAGGCGTCCGACCAGGTCTTGAACAGTATCCAGCTCTCTGCCACGAGGTGCTGTTGGAGCGTCAGAGGATTTGGTCGAGAGGACACTCTTCGGTCCGAATACATCGATGCTGACATCGCCGACATCAACCTCAGCGCCTGTGCCGTCAGATACAGATTCGGTGAGAGCGAGCTCAACCTGTGGCATTTCAGAAGCGCCCTGCTGCTTCGTGTGCGCGTTGTCTTCGAGCCGACTCGAGGACGAGCTTTCGAGGTCATCCGAGCTTGGGTCTAAAGAGACTGGAAATTCGAGACCATCGGTTGCCGGGGGCGCCTCCTCTGTGGCAAACCTGCTGCAAGACTCGATGCTTTGGTTGATTGCTGCCACGAGACTTGCAAATTGAGCTTCAAGCTGCGCTACATGTGAGCGAGCATCAGCAGTCAGCTGCTGATGCTGCATGAGAGTGCTCTCAGTGCAGCCTAGGCGGGCAGCTTCGTCACAAGCGTCCGTCAGTGAGGCAATGGCAACGTGCAGTCTGCTCGTAGATGCTTGCGTCCAAGAAGCTACCGTCTCTTGCAGCTGATGTAGCCGATGAAGTTGACGCGGATCCTGTCCAGCTGCAGTCGCCTTCATCTCGTCCTCATGTTTCGCTAGCTCAGCTTTCACGTGCTTCACCAGTCCATCGACGGCGGTCGATGCATTGGCAACGGCATCTAGGGCATCGTTACGTTTTTGCTGCGACGAGCGCTCTTCGTCCAGACGGACCTGGCGTTGTCGTGCAAGACTTTCGACCCTCTCCTTCAGAGTCTCGAGCTCTGTGCTCCATCCATTGACGTGTTTTCGAACCTCCTCGTCAACAGAACGGAAGGAGGGGTCAGCGCATACGACGGGCTCGAAGAGAACTGTCGGCGCATCTCCAGTCATAGGCACGGACAACGCCTGCTGGGAAAACGTAGCGACCGAGCTTGCCAGCGTTGCAACGCTCTGGCCTGCGTGCTGCGAAATCAGCTCGGCTACCTGATGTCCTTGAGCTGTGGCTTCTTCGAAAGTCGAGCGTAAGTCAACAACGGCGCCGAGCTGATCCAGACTGACTTCGAGCCATCGCAAAGCAGCTTCTGCCTGTGAAACGCGCCGATCTGCCTCGAAGCTCGAATCAACCAGATGCCGCTGAATTGAAGAAGCTTCATTGGCCTTCGCGAGGCCAGCTGCCAGCTGCAGAGCGCGCTCCGACGCAGCGCGAGCTTGGCGGGTCTCGGTCATGCGCTCGCGGGCCACCTGAAGAGAAGCGCGCAAATCCCTGAGGGCATCGGTGGAGTTGACGGATCGCCACGGGTACGCTTCAGCCACCTTGATGCAATCCTCGTTGACTCTTTGAAGTAGTGCTGCAGCATTTTTTTGTACCGCATCGATGAGCTGATCCGCCGTGCGAAGCTGCTTGAGCATCACGACGACCTCAGATCCGTCTTCAATAGCGGCATCGGTATCTCTCTTGACTTGCTCAAAGTTTGCCAGACTTTTGTCGAGCTGTCTGCGAAATGCAGAGGGAATAAGCCCTGCTTTGACCGCTTCAAGGGTGGCAGCGTCGATCTCCTTGCGCAAGTCGGCGCCCTTGACGACCAAACCGGCTAAGGTGGGTCTCAGGCCAGGCAGCCGGCTGAGATACACGTCGTGCGCAGGTGCTTTGAGAGCCTCAAGTAATGTCAAATCCGGCTTTGAGCCCGGATTTGCGAGCGACCGTTGCGCACTTGTGTCAGCGCCTGTCGAAGGAGACTCGACTTCGAAGCCAGAAGTTGCCTGCTCTGCTACGGCGCGACATTGGTTGGTCAAAGAGTCGAGCGACGCGACGAGCCGCTGGATGAGTTGGAGAGCGCGTAGAGCCCGAAAGTGTCGCTCAAGCGCTGATTTGGCCTCTCGAACAGCGGTGACTGTCTTGTGCATTTCAAGTGAAAGCGCATCTTCAAGAGCACGGGTGTGCTCAGCTTGGTCAGCATAGATCTGTTCCTGGGGCTGCACAGGTCTCAGATGCCTTCGGAGAGATGGTTGTGCGCCTAATGGCGTCGCAAGATTGACCGAGCTAGCTTGTTCAGGGCCTATCAACGTTTCGAGACGTTGGCAGAAGCTTGCGATCTGACCGCTGAAGTCTTGCGCTCTTTGGCTGTCGGGCACGCCCTGCTCCTCGTCTCGTAGCTTGGCCGTGGTGCGCTGAGCGTCCGCCGCCAGCGTCTGCAGAGTCGAGTACGCGCTGTCCGACTGATGCCATTGGCGCACGAGTTGGTCGAGGAGCTCTGATCTTGCGGCCATGCTGGATGTCAAGTTTTCAAGACGGTCCTGCTCGTCTAGGAACTCGTCAGGTAGCTTATGACACTCCATGACTCCGTCCAGCACGTCCCCACATTCTCCAGTTGCCTTGGCAAAGGCGTTGATGCGATGTGCAAGCTTCTGGCTGTCTGCATCTAAGCGCGCAGAGACTCGTTGCCGAGAGGCGGAGCTTCGCTCTCGCAGTGGCGATCGGAGCGGTGTTTCCGGACTCAATCGGTCACTGTCAAACGAGCTGGCATTGGAGTCGGGATTGCGCCCCACTCCGTGCAGATAGACCTCCGTAGTCCATCTTGCTCGCGCTGTGACGAACTCATCGACATCCGCAAGAAGTGTACGATAGACGTCCCAGCAATGCCGTCGGTGGCTTTCCCATTCGAGGCGAGCCCGGAGCAGCTCCAGCTGATCTCGCCTGAAGCCACACAGGTGAAGCAGCTTGTCGAGGGCGACAAGCGTTTCAAGAGCCAGCTCCACCAGATCAGCATCCTGAGGAGACATGTGCCGCTCGGAAGCCTCTGAAAAGGGAAGGCCGCCAGAGACCGGTTTGCGCGGGTCAACACTTGGTTTCACGAAGGCGGGCACTGATGACACTAGCCTCTGGTCTGCTCTGACTTAGACAAAGAACGCTTGCTGGCATCCGTGAGCCGACTCACCTTTAGAGACGCGCCTTAAGCGCTCAACATCAGCCGCATTCCAAGCGGTAGCCTCCTCCTCTATGCGCTCCACCTCGTCGATCCAGCTTTCCGTCTCCGCTATCCTCGCATCCAAATCTGGCCAGATCTCATCCGATGGCCTGTTGCCCGCTTCTTTGCAATCTGCAAGAGGTTCGAGCTTCGGTCGCTGGTCCAAAATCTGGAATGAGAGTTCATCGAAGTCGAGGCTTAGCACAGCACGCACCGCTCAATCGCCGAGCCACTTACTTGCAAGAACTCCTCGATGCGGGACTGGCGAGAGAGGCTAAAGTCGTAAGCTCAATGAACTTTGATGCTCCGCAAATCTTGTCTTAGATGCGCACCTTTCCCTCATTGAACTTATTGAGCTCGATCACATCCTCGCTACTGAGCTGCTGGCTAGGCTCTTCCTCTAGGGGTGATGGCATTTCCGCGCTGTTCGCCACATCATCGCCAGCGCCAGTCTGTGCTGCCACGACCGTGGCACCTTCATCCCGCCAAGCAGGGCTTCCGCTGTGCTGCAACGCAGAGGAGGTTCTGGTGGACGGGTTGGTCAGGTCGTCCGTCACTGTACACGCCCGTGAGATAAGCTCATCTTCTGATGATACCCGAGCGAGCTCCATAGCATCGGGGGTTGCGCTTCCATCTTGCGTCTGAGATGGCAGTCCTTCAAGCGAGTGTTCGTCACTCGCCTGGGGAAGGCTCGCTGAGTCACTTGTCGTCGCCATCTGTCGTCGCTATCGCTGTGGCGCCTGCCCGTGAAACATCGTCCTTTGTCGTTGGTTGGAGGAGCTAAGGAGCTTCGTCGAAGACACTCGAGCCGATCGACTAGAGCTGACTGCTGGAAAGCAAGGCATGCCGAGACAGCAGTGAAATACCAAACGGCGCCCGCGGCCCTTTTGGCATGTGATCACCCTTTGTGCAGGAATATGAGGGTAAGTCGGAGGTGAGCTTGAAATGAGCGCCGAATCCCACGAGCGATTCGTGTTAGCGTGATAATGGAAACGATTGAACCGTTGCCCCAGCACAGCATGCGCTACTCACAACTGACTCATTTACGGTGGCTTCGACTGCCGCGAACCTTGACGGACCGACCCAGCACGCATCCGATACGCTAAGATGATGATGAGCTGCTCGGCGCGTCGAACGCGGCACGTAGTCCCACACGTGACTCACTCAGATCTCGCTTTTGACTCTTGACTCAAATTCAATCGTGAATTTAATTTGACTTGACTCCTCACCTCGATGTCCGTTGAATCTTGAATTGGACTTCTTGAACAATCGTGGATGGCGTAGACGGTGCAGAATCGTTGCTACAAAGTCTCATCTTTGCATCTCAGCAGATTTCCTATTGTGATTGAAGGTCACCCCACGAGTGTCGGCCGGGAAGAAGCGCTAGAAGACTGGGCTGGGCCATGACGAGACGTTTCAGTCTCATATGAGTATACCAGACACTTTTTCTTGGCTATCTACGTGGCTGAGACGGCCCGTGAGTGAGATGCTGGGTGACCGTTGTGCTCCCCTCTTCGAGCCTTGCAAGGTGCATGCGCTGCTCCAGCTTTCAAGGTTCGAGCGGCCCGCCGCGTATGTCCTCGTGATCCTGCATGTCACTCGCTCATCATGCTCCTACATCTTATTTTGTCTTCGCAAGATGACCAGGGCTAGGCGGGAGGTTTGCTCAGCTCAGCTCGCAGCGTGTCAGCTCAGATTGCGATCGATACGCGCAGCTAGCTCGATCTTGACTTAGCTGAGACAGCACCGGATGATTGTGTTTGCGATTGGGTGTTTGATGTGGCACAAGCCGCGTCCGATAGCGAGCCCTGGTTTTCCCGCGGCTCTTAGACGCATCAAAGTCCGTCACATGCTGGTGCGCGTACGTACGCCATGTCCACGTCTGCAACTCATTCAATCCCCTACAGCTGCTGGCGCTATGATCGGTAAAGGTGGATGAATGGTGCGCAGCAACAGCCTCACCCCTCTGCACTTACACTTTGACTCACTGATTGATGCACAGCTTCACTCGATTTCAGTTTACCATTCACGATTGTATATATGACGGACCGATGCCCGCGGGTCCCACAGCGCGAACGCAACTTGATGGATCCTGCCAATTTCTTGAGCATTCACCATTGACGCGCGTTTCACCAGAGTCTGATTCAGCTTGCGCCGCGAGAGTCGAGACGCGGCTCCGCGTCTCAGCCCGAGCTGGCAGCCATGAGCAGCAATAATGATGTGAATCTAAGTTCAGCGCTCCAGGCTGCACAACACCGCACTCGATCGGACGCGGCACCCCGCCTATGTCCAGCCTTTGTCAAAGGGCTACTACGCAAGTACGCCGACTTTGAGCTGTCAATCACGAATCGCTTCTTTCGTCATGTACAATGAGTCTGTAGCCGATTACGGATTGAGGATGCCAAGAATCGGCTTCGAAATGGCTCCACCGAGCCGACACAGACACAAATTTTCGCGATGCAGGTGATAGATGAAGCTGTTGTTGTTGTAGTGCGTGACAAAGCCGCCGTCGCAGGGGCAAAAAGTCAAAGAGTCAGAGTGACGATGTGCAGAGTCGTGGAGTCATTCACTGATTCAGATACTCGCTTCATGGACACCGCCGGTGAACCACCAGTCGTGGGTCAGAACTACTCAACATCGCCGCCGACAGCTCACAACTACTCTTCTGACTGCACGCCCAAACTGTTAGGCAAAAGGACCATATCATGCAGCAGACACGAAGGTTGCGCTGCAGGGGCTCACAGCTGCTGACAGCAGAACCCCGCTCAGCCTGGAGGCAAAAGAGCTAGGTGTCCTCAAAATTTGGCTGCAGCGATGCCCGATGGCTGCGACAGCAGCTTCGGCCCGCTCATGCCCGCATGCAAGCTAATGCAGAAACGCGCTAGCGCAACACGAACAGCAGTCGTTTCCCACACCGCCGTCACAATAATGATGAGGAGGACGCCCACGCAGATGAGTCTTTGAAGTCGCGATTGTTGTGAGTCTCATCAGCAGGTTTTCTCGATCGAGCACCTGGCAGAATCAAGACACAGCGGAGGAATAGCGCATCTCTCCTTTGGTGCAGCGGACGTAGGCGCCGCATCTGCGCCTCAGCAAAGCGGGCAGTGGCGTGCTTAGCCGCGGAACCGATTCCACGAGAAGGAGTGGCGGTGTTTGACCGAGTCCCATTAGACGATGCTTACTCCACCTGAGCCAGTCCCCATCAGTCAAGACACACAGCTGCTAGCCGGAGCAAAGTCTACCAGGCCATGTTTGATCCATCAATCCGACGCCAAAGCGCTCTGATTAGATCCATAGAGACGCTATCAGGCAGAGGCGCGGAATGAGCCCCCACCCACCCCTTGCTCGGAAGCTCGGATTTCGGCGGCGCCTCTTTTGCGTTCGATGGGGTGCCTTGGCCCAAGTTTCGAACACTTGAAATGTTGTGGGTCTGAGTGTGAGTCAAGAACTATGAGTGCATCCATCGAGTCACGAGTGTGGAGCACGTGGATTCCCCGCTCTCACTCTGCCGAACGCACCCGCCTATGCACTACTGGAGTGCTGGGATCGTGGTTCGTTCTGATCCTGCGAGCATCAATCCTCCTCAGTGAATAGCATAGCAAGGCACCTCTGCGTGAAGCTGCATGGGATCGCCCCACCGAGTGGTCTGGAAGCCAGCTCATCGAATGAAATGAATGGCGCGCATTTCAACTGCTTCTAGCTCTCCTGACTCACATTCTTGATTCTCAGGACCATGCAGGCATCCCACTCCAGAATTGCTGCACACAGCTCTGCTTGTGCGCCGGTCGGTAAGCCTGTGAGCGACGTTACGATATGTAAGACTTGACGTGCGCTAGATCATGCGAAAGCTTGTCGTCGCAGAACCTAGTGTGTATTAAGCATGCTGCTCACGCGCTCTGGCTTGCTCAGCAATCACGAATCATGAATACACTCACGCAACACTACACACTCACGAATTACTGTAACTTGTCACTACAGTCCAGCATGCCTCCTGCTGGCGCCTACTTGGCCTCGAGACACGGGTTCAGAAAAGATCAAAGTGGACGCTCATCAATCTGAAGCACGGGTGGGCGCACCTGACTCGTCGCGGAGAAAGCGTTCAGTCGAAACGGCGCTAACGACAGCAAGGAACACATGGTAAGGTTGCGCTCAAAGCCGCGTCTGCATGATGCTGATGCGTGCGTGAAGCTTACTGGCGCGTTCCACAGTCGGACAAAGCTTGCTGTTGCATATGTGTAGCCACGCGCTTCTCGTGCTGATGTCGGTTGCGTGGTCTAAATTCTCGGTGGACTGTCAGCAGCGGGATAGCTGCGCGGCGTTCACACCAACAGGCTTCTCACGCTTGCACGATGCATCCCTCCCTATTGGAGAGCTCGAACAGATCAGGTCTGCCAGCGCCGCATGATCGGACGGGCCTTTCTGGGACCAGATCATGGTTTGAAGATGTCGTACTTGCTGGCGAGTATGAGCTCGAGGGCGTAGGGAGGTGTTGCGAGCCGCTGCGCCGCATGCACCACCTGCCCAAGATAGGCTCGGTCCTCCCACCCAAGCCATGCAGCAGTCGTCAGTCGAATTGCCTTGGCTGCCGCCTCAACTCAATCGAGAATTTGAAGCACGGACACGGACACGGGCCCGTTCGCCCCACCCTCGCCATCAAAGGGCAATCTCCGGTATATGGAACACAAGCAAAGCGACTCCCACATCAGAGTGAACAGCAGCAGAGCTCTGCTGCCTGCCCACGCGAGGTCAAGCGCAATCCACCGCTTGCTCTGCAAGGTGAGTCAGAAATCGCAACCCTGCACCTTCCTTTTAGCTTCCTATTCACGATTACAAGTCTCAGCCCCTAAAGTCTGATCTTACGAGGAAGTCTCAACCCCTCCACGACTTCCCATCCTCGGGGGCATCCTACCATTCGCGATCAATACTTCGTACTTCACCGCATGCATGGCACAACGGTCGCCTGGCTTCTCGACCGGTATAGGCGCTCAAGCGTGGGTAAAGTAATCGCCTGAACACAGCCTTGGCCAGGCGCAGTGCAGCTCCGCTCGACCAAGCAGCGACGCTTTTGCATAGGACGAAAGAGCTTTCTGGCTGGTCCTTGGATGGACGCAACCTCTCGGAAGCTTTCCTCACTCACTCGTGCTGATAGACACCAACCCCCGCTTTTTGGTGCTCTCATCTGACATCGCGAATCAAAAGCGTCGACAAGGTACAAGAAGAGAGGCCTTCGATCTAATCTCTTTCTCCCTCGTCAATCACACACGCAAATTCTGTCGACACCAGGAGCCTTTCGACCACTCAACGCGGTTGCTGCTCTCAGCGCATTGGACTCGGCAATTTGCTTGCTGCTGTCCGGCTCCATCGGACTCCTTCGCAACTACTGCTTGACAACTTTGAGGCCTGAAATCGACGACGACCACCAAGCTGAACCAGCTAACCTTTTTCGCCGAACTCTTCTCGCTCTAGTCATGCTGTCTATCACCGAGAAGCGATCTATGATCCAGCGTTCGGTCATGGACTGGAGCAGCCCTGCGTATGGAAGGCGTCCTTGTCCACCCAACCTGCGCACGGTAGCTGTGACAAATCTGCCCATGTCTGGTGAGGCAGCGCGGCACGTCTCGATGTTTGTCAAAACCCCACCTTGCTGACGCGGATCACGACACCTTGTGCAGTCACTGAAGAGCATGTGGTCTACTTGCTACAACCTTTCGGCGAGATCGTTGGCACCCGCTCGTCCGAAAATACGGATGCGCATTGGGTCTCCGTCACCTTCAGCACTTTTGAGAGCATGCGCCTCTCACTGTGCGTCAACAAGCAGTTTCATTTCGGACGCGAAATGTGAGTCGTCTGTAGTTGTGAAGGCTTCACGCATGCGTCTCCATGCTGACCCAACCTGAGTGCCGGTGACTTCAACAAGTGGGGCTCAACCATACATGGCTCTCTACTTGCCCTCTGACCAGGAGCTCTTCGAGCGCGACAGACATCAGAGTAGACTAGCACCAACGGGACCTCACAGCTTTGCCCCACAATTCTACGGCCAACAGCTACAGGCCGACATGTTTGGTAATCGTCAGGTGTCGAAGCTGAACGATGAGGGCAAAACCCAGGAGAAAGTCTTGTCCACCAACATCTACGTTCTCAACCTCCCGCTCAATGCTACCTCGGACAGCATGGCGGAGCTCTTTGGCCACTGTGGCCTAGTGACGCACTGCGTCATTCTCGCCATCACTGACAGCCAGGCTCGTCGACGTGGCTTCATCGATATGGGGGCTCCATGGCAAGCACTTCGTGCGATGGACACCTTCAATGGCTACGTCTGGAATGGATATCCGATCGAAGTATCTCATGCGTTTGTGCAACGCAACGGAGGCCCTCTAGCAGACCACAAGTCGGAAGTCATGAAGTGCAATCTTTCGCGCAATCGCTCCAGCGTCGGATCCCGCCGAGCGCTCGAAGACAATCGGTCGATGTGGGGCTCAAAACAGTCTTGGGCATCTTGGCACCCTGAACCTCTTCAGCTTCGTGGCACCTCTCCAAGTGCGCACGGGTATCTTGGACGAGATACGTCTGCCCTACCTTCGCCTCTTACACCGCTGTCCAGCCGTTCGAGTCTCTTTTCCGCAGAGAGCGGTGGACAAGACAGCATCACCACCAACAATTCGTTCATGATGCACAGCAACCCTTATCTTGGAGCGACGCCGGCCTACTTGGATGCGCACTACAATGGCACTCCCAGTGACTTGACTTCGCTGACCCGCGACCCCATCACCATCCTGGTACGCGGTCTGGATCCCTCGGCCATCGTAGATAACGAGGACTTTCGACGTGCGTTCGAGCCGTACGGTAGCGTCGGTACGTGCTCTCTCGCCATTGATGAGCATCAGATTCCCAGAGGCTATGGGTTGGTGTCCTTCTGCGATGCCGAATCTGCTCGTCGGGCCTTCCAAGACATCAATGGCAAGGTGCGCAATGGGAAGATGCTCACGGCCGAGTACGTCGCCTACAGCTCACCACAGCCAAAGAGAAAGCCCACCCCGGTGCCTGCAAGCGCTTGGTCGCCGCCTTGGATGAAAGCAGGGTCTGGCCATCTCTGCTTCGGCCAGTCAGCGCCGAATGATCTGCAAGTCTACGACCATCCGTTGAAAATGCCAAGCCCGAGTGCTGTGAACATCAATATGAGCGGACGTGGTCAAGTCCCTCAAGGCGTCCCCTTCCCATACGGACCTCCGCACTTCAAACAGCCCCATGGGCCTAGCCAAAGTGCGTACCGGTCCTCATCTCAAGGTATGCCGCACTGGATGGAAGAGCAGATGTGCACGATGGGAACCGCAATGTCATCGTCGACTCAAGCGCCATTCGGCGCTGGCTCCCCGCACAACGGTCTCAGCCACCTCCTCGGCGAGCCTTTCGTTCCGACGCCATCGTCTAACGTTCATGCTTCGCAAGATCATCATGCAGCTTCTGCTTCACAACTTCAGGCTTCTTTGAAGCCCACCACGAAATCAGACAGTCTCGACACCAAGGCGAAAAGTCCACCACCTGAGCTGGCTCTATCACGCATGACGTTGGAGCCGTGGACACCGTCCGGTCAATCGACTCAGACTGGTGCCACAAGTCCTGGGAGTGCTCTGAGCTACGGAAGTACAGCCACGAGCGCTTCTAATCTTCAGACGCCAGAGAACACTTTCAGTCGACGGAGCATCACCAGCAATCAGACTTGGCCCTCGCAAGCACACGACGTAGGAGCAGGCGTGTGGTCGCCGACCCCGGACGACAAACATCTTCGCATGTCGGGCTTCGACAGCTCGGCTCTACGTGCTCTGCAACAGGACAGTCCTCCTCACGTCCCGAGCAGGCGTCGCGCCACGCTGGACCCGGTTGGACACGAGCATGCCACTGGCTCGCCGCCGCACACTCTTCCCGACGAAAAGTCTGTGCTCGGGATCACCAATTTGCAGCAGTCTTAAAAGACGTCGCACCCTGCCTGCGCCTTTCATGGCCATCGTCTGACGATGGTGTTGCCGAACGCATTGCTCTTCTCCTGTTCTCTTCTCCATACAACACGCACCTTGCTATGCGTCTACATTCGCAACGCGGATGGCGAGGTGTGCTACACTGCGGACACGCTCAAGTCGGATGGCTCTTGTTCCTGAATCCAAACATTTTTTCTATCCAGCGGCACAATATCAACCCAATAGAATCCAGACTTGACCCAGAGAAAGCTTTCCGACCCCACATCAATGCTACATCCCCACACTAACTCGTCACGACTAGCTCGATATCGCCATCGCCGTTGTCCTTACCCAGATCCGTCACATGAGTGTTGCCGCTCCCCTTTGCCTAGTCATTACCAAAGTCTTGCTTGCCCCTGGACTTCTCGACGCATGCTCTCATTGCGCGTTTCTTCAAGCAGCAGCACAGATCCCAAGAAGCACAAGTCTGACAATCACAAGCTCTCGACCCTACACACAAGCACACAATTATCGAAAATGGCACACAGATTGAACAGTGGAGCTGAAAGTGGGCAAATGATCTCGATTCAGTGATTTTCGAAGTCGTCTTGCTTGCGAATACATCGCGCGCACGAGGGGATGATTGCTCAGAGCATCTTGCTCATGTAAGGACCGTCCAAATGGTAGCCTAGACGGGCGTAGTAGTCTCTCGTTCCGACACCGCTGATGACCGCTAATTTTTCACTTCCGTGTTCCTCCCTTGCTATCCTCTCCGCCTCTTCCATCAACAATGTCCCGAATCCCTGGTGTTGGAATTTCGTAGGGTCTCTAGAGTGTATAGGTACGGCACTGCCGTACGTGTGCAGTTCCCTTACGATGCTGCTCGGACCCTTTGTCAGTTCGGGTCTGAATGTAGCGTCGGAGCACTTTCTCAAACGCAAGAGAGCCACCAGCACATCCTTCTCTGGATCTTCGTAGGCCAAAAAAGTTTCCCAACCTCCATTGGCAGAATAATCTCTACGAACCAGCTCCACATCTGTAGGTCTCACTTTGTCCTTGATCTCGTGAATGCCGACTTCGCGCGATCGGACGTCTCTGCATTCCAGACCCAAATCTCTGACCCGATCGTCGGCCAACTGATGCAGGTTTCCGTTCTCCACGCCAGAAGTGACGATGGGCATCGGAATGTCCCGCTGCACCCGATAGATGCGCGTCCAAGGCGGCACGAGAGCCAAGATTCGCGCCACTAGCTCGACCAAGTAACTTGCAGGGTACGACTTGTATCTACCTGTCCTCCAGAGCTCGTAAAGTCCCGTGCCACGAATGACGAGCGTGGGATAGAGCTTCAAACCATCGGATCTGAAAGCCGGGTTCTCAAAGTACTCTACGAATTGCGCCATGTCCCTCTCTGCTGGCACCTGCATCACGGCATGTGCGTCGACAGGAAATTTGGTGAGCTTGCAGCGCGAAGGCAGCCATGACTCGCGAGATGGCCGGCAGATGACTCACGTTGGGCAAGTTGGGCATCATGTGAGCTACGACTTTGTAGCCCGCATCTTTGGCCAGATGAAACGTTTCGCAGGTAGCTTTGACGGTGTGGCCCCGATTCGTATCCCGAGCTACATCCTCGTAGACGGACTGAACACCAATCTCCAGTCGTGTGCAGCCGTACCTCAGCAGTTGGGATATGTGCGGTCGAAGGCAGTAGTCTGGCCGCGTTTCTCTGCAAGTGTTGGGGAAGAAAGCCGAGGATGTGAGCGGAAACGTATGCGGTGCCAACCACTGAAGCTCCCTACGCACATAGTGATCCCAATGCACTTGGTCGACGATCTTTCGGAGAACCTTGCGATAAGAGAGCAGACGAATATTGAGAGAACGGCTTCTTGAGCACAGCATCCTCCAAGAAAACGTACCTGACTGCTTCGTCCACATCCTTTCCTGTCCATCCGCTCAAGCTGTTGTGCAGCTGAGCAATGAACTCGTCCCTGTAATCCTGAGGCAGGGACATGAAGGTCCCGCCCATCACGATGAATTCGACTTTGTCCGTCGAGTGGCCCAGTTCTCTGAGCTGAGATATTCGGCTGCGCGACTGCTCGAACGGATCGTAGCGAGCACGAATCGCCCTCATTGATGTCGGCTGTCGTGAGGCACTTGTAGCGTGAGCTGAATCTGTCACCTTCATGCGGCTTCACCTTGATTCTTCATTCCTCAAGACCGCCCATTCGGCCACAATAGCTCCGGTCTTCCTGCCTAGATGCACCACCGTCGACCTACTAGACAGGCCTACTCACCTCGTAGCCCGTGTAGCTCTGCGTGCTGTACTCGAAGTCGCTGTCCGGTCCACCTGGACAGTAGACGCAGACATTACCAGTCAAGCTGATGTGAGGGCACCTGTGCGGCTTGCTCATGACCGCCACCACCGCAATGCCACTAGCGCTTCTGATGGGCTTCGCCTTGATCAGAGGGATGATGCTCTTCCTATGAGATTCGGGAATGGAAGCAATCACTTCCGTCATTCTAGGAATTCCAGAATACCCGTGCTTCTTGCATGCTTGCTTTCGGAAAAGGTTCACTTCCAGAGGCAAGCCTTTGTCGTAGGCTTGCACTAGCAGAGAAGCTATGTCGGCGCATACTCGGACGAGATTCTCGGCAGTGTTGCCTTCTTTGGAACTGCCTGGCTTGGGTCCTTTGCGACGCTTGGTCGACTGGTCGCCCGCTTTCGAGCTCGTTCCATCCCGCGTGGATAGCGTCAATGTCGTCGTGGCGGTCGACGACATGTTGCTGGCTTGCATGCGCTGGAAATGAGCTTTGGACTGGGAGCTGAATCGATACGAGGAACGGTCTGACGAGACTTGACAAAGGTGTACATTCGTAGTCCACCATTCTGATTGTGATTGTTGATTGTCAAAAATGGCGCACTCCGCGAGGTTAGAGGCATTCTTGATTTGTCACACACCGATCCGTCTCAACTTTTTTCGACTCCAAAATCATCACGTGACCTCGAGTTTTGGTGGAGCGCCGGCTCAAATTAGGCACCGCCGTGACAGCCCCTAGGACCTGTTTTTGGCAAAGCGACCTTTGGATCGAGCTTGTCATCGCAGCCCAGCCGTTGTTTCTGGGTCGAACAAATGAAGGCTCCGAAAGAGGCATGGCAGGCAGCAAGATTCATGATACTTGGTCGTCTGTGCCAGAAATAAGCACAAGCGAGTGAGAGCCTGTCCAATCACGAGGTGTCAAAAGCCGACAGCCGCCCAGGTGCGCACAAGAGCTTAGCATGATGCTCAGGAAGAAGCTCTATAGTCTTGAGTGATGCATCTGGTTTAGCGTCAATCAGACGTACGGCAACTCAAGACTGCAGGCGTACCGATGCCCGTTCACGATTTTGTAGCATCGTTCAGGTGCTTTCATTCACAACAATTCGAGAACATCGTCCTCGGTACTTGGTACCGCACCTACTTACCGCGCCCATCTGCCGCTCGGACACGCCTTGGCGCACTCGAGACATATGCTACCAGTCCCGAGTGGTGCACGCAAGAAGACTCAAGACTCTGATCGCGCACGCAGCCCGGATTTCCCAAATTGCCAAACCCCACATTTACAACCCACAAGTCGAGGAGGACTTCCGACTTGTGAGCCGCGCACACCTTACTCGGCAGTCTGCACTGGGTCGCGAGTCCGAAGTCAGCAGCTGTCCACGTCGCGGCTTATTCATATGTATGTGCATGACTTGCCTCTTTGAGCAAACTGATCGCGCGTGTTTCGAACCTCGAGATGCTGGTGTTGGCCGCTGCAGCCGTGAGTGGAGTCTGGAGTCAAAACGAAGCGCGCAAGCTAGGCCAGCCAGCAGCATGCTTGACGTCGATGGGTCTACGAACACGACGCAAAACACGCGCAGCGCCCATGCGCGGATCTCGGACCCCGCGCGGTCGCACGCACCGGTGCATGCATGCATATTTGTATTCAATCACGAATATTCACAGTCGTGATTCAAGATTGTACACACCGCAAGTACTGCAGCATGTATACACTGCTCAGGACTACCACTCGCACACAGTCTCGTGTACAGTCAAAGCCCCAAACAGATTTGGGTCCATATCCTGGAGCTACATGGGGAGACACTTTTGGACAGAGGCTCCGAGAGAAGCTCAATCGACACGCCAAGTCCTTCAGCACGTGCGGCTTTGTGAACGCGCCTTCATTCAGATTGCAAAGCTCAAATGGGGTGCATACCGTAATTAAAGCTTTGAGCGTTACGCGTGCTACAATTTAATCACGGGCGCTCGATCGATCGCTATGAAGTCTACAGTGAGCGCGGGGAGGCTGCTGCTGCTGCTGCTGCTGCAGCGCGCAGGCACCTCGATTGACCGAAACTTGCTCTCGCAGCTCTGCTGCTGCCCCGAGAATAAGGTCCGCGACTGTACAAGAACTAGCTCTCACGGGTCTTGGCCTCGCTCCTCATCTATACACGTACCCACGACCTCCCTGGCTTTTCAGGATTACCACGGCAGGGCTTGGCTCTTTGCTGCCCTGATCTACAAACGCCTACTTGCTTGCTTGTCTCACCGACCGACTTGCCAAACATCCATGCATCCATCGACACATCGCACTGGCACCGGCCGATCTTGCATATGTTTCTCCACATGCAAATGAGGACCGCACAGTAGATCAGCACGATGAATCAACTGCCGACCGCCGCGCGTCGTCGCTCAAATCTGGGCATCGCCCCTTCGGCCGCCGCTGCGGTCTCGACTCAAGCCGCACCATCATCATCCGACACGAGCAAGAGCGACCACATCCAGTTGCCCACATCCTCGTCCCGCACCGCAATGACAGCATCCATCCCTGCAGCGGGCTCGGGCGCGTCTGCAGCTACATTATCCAGCTTTCCTGATGCATCTAGCGCTCCTGATGTCGAGACAACCAATTGGAACGCTGTGAAGCTGTTGGCTACCAAGTATGGCATATATCTGAGGCCTTATGAGGAGGAGGAAGCAGCAGCTGCTGCTGCTGTCGCATCTGCTCAAGCCTCATCGTCCGCCTCTTCATCTGTGCATCCATCTCCCTTCGTATCGTCCGACGCTACCGCCTCTGACGAACTCGACTACGGCCGCGGCACGCCTTTCAGAATTACAGCCAAGCGCATTGAAGGTGGTAGAACCGTGTATCGTTTCAAGTACAGGAACGAACCAGCGTCTCAAGCAGACGCAATGGGCCTAGATAGCAGCTCTCCGACTATGCCGCGCTCGAGCTCGGAGAGCGTCGCTTTAGCAGCTTCCCATGACATCGACACGATGGCGCGTCTCAGTGTGGAGGATCTCAGCGCGGGAACGGCAGGCGACTCGGCGTTCAAAGCTCGACGAGGACGTGCAGGCAGCAAAGGGAACGGCTCGGCTGCTGGGTCTACTGGTAGAGCTAGTAAAGGCAAGAGCAAGGCTCTCAAGACCAGCAAGAGCATCCCGACATTACGAAGCATGGGTTTGATGGGAGCGTCTTCTGGACAAGCGAAGAACGCCGCAGGGTCTAGCTCCGCTGCTTCTGGCTGGGTCGTTGTGCCTCCTCTCCCCAGTCAAGCCAAGTCGGGGAACACTCCTCCAATGCCTCAGATTCCTTCCACATTGTTGTCTCCGCCTCAAGAAGCAGGTCACGCCATGAATCAATCTTCGCGATCCTTCAGCGCCCCTTTGAACGTGCGCGATAGATTGACAGCAGCAGAGGCTGACAGGTTGCAAGGCGGTGATGTCTTGGGCGCTATCTTGGGACTCAGACAAGAACAGCAACAAGAAGTACAGCATGCTCAAGAACAGCAGCAGCAGCATATTCTGTCCAGATACGAGTCAAAGGGCGAAGACGTGTCTCTGAGGACGGGTCTGGAAGCCCACGCTGCTGCCAACCTGTCGCGCAGAGCAGCGCCTCCATCCAGCTGGCGAGGGGCTAGTCCTTTTGGCCACCCAGTTGTGCCCATGGCCAGAGGAGGCAGCGCAACTTCTTCCTCTTCTGCAAAAGCGGCAGTGACAAGGGGCACCTCTTGGGACACGTCGCCCATACCTCAGATGACAAACTTTGGCGAGCCGCTTTTCAAGGATGTGCACAAGTTTGCCGCTGCTCAAGGTCGGTCGCCTTACAGCTCAGACCAAGACCAGGGGCCCGACGCTTCTGGTAATCACGCCTCTGCCCTGCACGCGAGAAGCTTGTCTGACTCTCGCTCCCCCGCTAGCCCGCGCCAGAGGCTGCTTCGGGAGGCCCAGAGCTTCGAAAGTGCCGACTCCGCAGCCACCGCGCGAGCTGGGGAAGAAAAAATCTTGCTGTCGACACTTCCTCCAGCCATCCTGCCGCATCTCGACATCAGCGAGCGCGAGGAAATTCTTTGTGACGAAGGGTACAGAGACGAGGACGACGAGGCGGAAAGGATGGTACCGCTTTCTGCCATCAGCGCCAAGGATGAAGAGACCTTGATATTTGATGTGCTCCAGCATTATGCCTTGACTGACGCGGCATCAATCATCTCTCCTACAACTTCCACCAGCGGCGGAGATTCGAAACGATCCAGCTTAGCAACAACACTGTCGTCGTCGGGCGAAGATCAGAGTCCGGTGCACACTCGTAGCCCTTCCTCGACGGAGGATCCCGCCTTGGGTCCTTCAGGCGCACCCACCAAAGAATCTGCGCGCGTCACGATCGCCTCTGCTACGTGTGGAGATGATCCCAGATTTGCTATCTGGGCGATGCGGTCCTCTGATATGGACGGGCAGCTGCAGCTTTGTGGTCGTGATGGAAGGGTTCTTCCGGATAGTCCTCAGCTGGGAGACACACCCTTCGGTCGACAAGCCAAAGCTTCGGCGGGCAACGACGGCTCTGCACCTTCTTCGCAGCCTGGAACCAACGCAGCAGCGAAGCGCTACAGCACTGCTCGCGCTGTGACGGGCGAGGGCGGCTCGGCTGTCGCTGCTACCTCTTCGCCGACCAGTGCTGGACAGGGCACCCAGCAAGCCCATGGGAGAGCTCGAAGCGGAAGTCGCTCCAAGCGCACAGGCTCAGCCAGCGGCGCAGGCTCCTTCATGTCATCAACTTCAACGCAGCCCAAGCCTTTCCTCATCGCGGGCACGTCCACTCGTATCGTCTCGGAGCTGACGTCGGAGATCGATGGCAGGTTGTTGACGGATTTTTTCCTCACCTTCCGAAGCTTCATGACGGCCTCCGATTTGCTATCGCTATTGATCATGCGCTTCAAGTGGGCCATGGCCCAAGCGGTAGGACCTTCCGACGAAGCGCAAAGGCGCATTGTCCGGGTTCGCACTTATGTCGTTCTGAAGCATTGGCTGTCCAACTTCTTTGAGGCCGATTTCTTGCCCGATCGCGCGCTCAGGCGTCAGTTGACGGAATGGCTGAACAGAATCGGATCAGAGCAGGAGCTTCGATCCAGACCTGCCGATGCTGGTATCATACGCAGCTTGAAGAAGCTCGTCAGGAGTCTGAAGGAGCAGTATCAGAGCGCCGGCATGAGCGGCCTGCTTCTTCACGAGAGCGGACGGTCGGACAGTAATCAGAGCGAACCAAGTCCCGAAGCGGGTCACTCGTCTGCCGCGTTCGCTGCTTCGTCTCAAGGAACACAGAACGTCGAAGCAAGCAAAACAGAAGAGGTGGACCTCAACTTTAGCGAGGACTCGGGAGAAGATGCGCCAAAGAAAGCTCCCTTTGCCATTCAGCAGTCACTCATGCCCTCGAGGGACGCTGCGCCAGAGCTGTCCTCGGCCGATATCGCCAACGTCGAAGAAGCTGACGGCGTTCGTGCTCTGTACGGCCGAGGGGGTGCGGCACGCCTTGTGCGCCATCGTCATACCTTGGCGCCTGCTACGCGCCAACAAGCAGCGCCTCCCAGTCCTCTCCAGCCTTATA